CGAGTCCACTCACTTGTGAGGCGAGCATGCTGACCATTATACCACAAGTCGCCATGCTCCCATCATAATATAACAGCCACTACCACAACATATGTCATCACTGTGGGTGTTCACTTCTTCATCCTGCTCATTAATTAATCACCTTATACCTGTAACCACCTTGCTCTAGTAATCATCATATTTCAGTGACGACTTACCTTCAAATACGTCTATGCTCCAGTGACCATTTGTCTCCAGTAACCACCTACACCAACAACCATTTCACTTTAGTGATCAACTTGCTCAATGTTCATTTTATTTAAGCCATCACCTAGCTCCAATGACCACCTTACTTCAGGAAGAATGGAAGTATGTACTGTGTATTATGTTCCCCACTATTTTAGAAGCATTACTGTACACTAAAAAAAAAGAAAGAAAAAAAAAGAATATGGTACTTTTATGAAAACAAAGAATCTTTTACTGAAACTAAAACAACTTAAACAAAGCTGCTTTAGTATCAAACTCAAACAGAAAAATGATCCCAAACCCAGGTAAAATAATCACCATAATCCCATTAAACAATACTTGCAACACCAGACTTCCCTAGTGTGAACCAATATAAAATCACATAACAGTCTATGATTCATTCATCATTGCACAGAAGATTTTTTTTTTTATTAATTTCACTATACTGTAATTATTTTGCCTTTTACAAATCCTAGTAGGGCTCTATCAAGAACCTGTTAATCCTCAAATGCCAGGTAAAATCATATGATCGTCCTAATACAACTGCCAGGCATAATCATATGACTACAAGGCATTTTTCAAATATCATGGGTAAAATTTTTCACACTTAGGCCGTCAGGCATCTTCATAGCAACCTCTCGAGCCGACTAGTCAAGCCAATCACTGTACAGTATGTCTCATGCAACCTCAGTCCAATACAAACAGTCATGGAGGAAAGAGTTATGACTGCTGCTCCTGCTTCTCCCCTTGTAGGAGCTAGTGGGGAATGTAGCAGAGCTAGTGAAGCAGTGTTGCAAACATTGGCAGATCCCAGGCCATCACGGAAAAGAAGATACAGAAGAAAGAAAAGCTTTCTAATGAAGGAATTGATGACGAGTTGGGTGGGATTGAAGATGTAAGTGGTAACATTGAGTGGGAACCAAAGGATGAAGATGTAGGTAATTCCTCAGAGGAGGAGGAATATTGGCAGCGTTGCTCTACACCAGATGATGCACCAAAACAAACAATGGCTGCTCCTAGTATCCAAGAAAGTGACTCTGAGAGTACTCAAGTAAGTGACCCTAATCCACCACCAGCTACTACTATACACCAAGACAGTACAAAGTGTGCTTTTGTTTGGAGTGAAGGGAGAGATTTTGTGCCAAACATTCTCAACTTTGATCCATCGATACCAGGCTTGTGTCAGAATTATCGGCTTCCAGAAGACAGTGAATGTCAATTATATTTTACAGTTCATGGCCACATATAAGGTGAATACGACTGTAAATGAAACAATCTATTTTTGTGTGAGGTATAACAGCATACATGGTGTCACTGTGAGTCCACATGCACATAAGTGGTATGACACGAGAGCTCAGAATTTATGTCTGGTTAGCATTAGTTTTACTAATGCCACATAAAAAGAAACATGATATTAGAGAATACTGGAAACTTGATACATTAATAGGTACACCAGCCTTTGGTATCTACATGGCACATGACAGGTTTTTACACTTCGCAATCAACCAACTTCCTCAGACAAATGATCACTTATATAAATTATGTGTAATTTTTTATATATTCAAAGTCAGATTTCCAGAGGTTTTGAACTCATTTCAAATTCTTGTTATTGCTGAAAGCTTGGTTTTGTTTCATGGCAGATTGATTTTCCACCAATAAATACCATTAAAATGCCACAGATTCAGAAACAAACTTTTTATTCTCTGTGATTGTAAAACTGGAATTATTTTAGATACAATTTGTTATACAGCAAGTGATGTGGACACACCAGCTAAAGATCCTCATAGCTTAAATGATGCAGTGGTACAAAATCTCATAGAAAAGTACATTGGAAAAGGAAAGATTCTGTACATGGAGTCACTACACAAGCCCCCTTCTGTGAAAATATCTGCTTGAAAATGTCACAGGTACAGTTGGTACAGTGAGAGCGAACAGGAAAAATATGCCAAAGTTCACAGGGAAAATGGTGAGTGAGGTTCAGTTGCGAAAGTCGAAGAAGATTTTGGCCGTGAAATGCACTCACAGAATGTCCCGTTTAAAAAAAAATTCTTTTGTAAGAGGCAAAACTTTTATGCAGCTATAAAGATGAACTCTGAATACAAGGGAAAGGAACAAATTAGAAGTTTCAAGAAAAAATTTATGCTTGAAAGTAATATGATCAGCATATAAGATGTGACAATGAAAGAAGCACTGGACAAAGAATGAATCAGGGTCTGCTCTGGTTGTATGAATATACTGTACTGAAAAAATAAGAGGAAATTATGGGTAAAACGAGTACAGAATTCAAAGGTGGATGATAAGAAAGACAGAGAAACCATGAAGGAGGTAGAAGGGAGTGGTGAAGGATGCACCAGAAGAGAGGGGAATGGACACCCAGGAGGCAGCAGTATGTGGATGAGTAGAGGGGATAGTATCAAGAGATTTTTGGGGAATGACATGCAGCTCATGAGTGATGCAATAAAGGTGAACCAGAGGGAGATAAACCTATGGAACAGTTTACCAGTATAAGCCATGAAAGTAAGACAATAACTGGGCTTCAAAACAGCCTTGGACAAAACCATCAAGAACAACATAGAAATCCTACAGACAACCAGAACCTTCCCCTGATGAGGCCATCACTTGTTATAGAAGACATTTCATAAGCAAAGTAGGTTTTTTTATTATTATTATTATTATTATTATTATTATTATTATTATTATTATTATTATTATTATTATTATTATTATTATTATTATATATATATATATATATATATATATATATATATATATATATATATATATATATATATATATATATATATATATATGCATATATATATATACTGTATATATATGTATATATATAGCATAACCAATTTAACATTTCTTATATCATCTGATCAAACCTTTGATACAGTTCTGAGTGCACTAAGCACTGCTGTTCAGAGCTCTCACACCTTAAGTGTAGAGATAGAAGTCTTATGACTCATTCAAACCCATTGTCTACTACTTTATTACCTTTGGATGCATCAATGAAACTTAAAATATAACACACAACCATAAATACTGTATGAAAAACATGCAAAATATATCATAAAGTTCATTCACAATGCACATCATTAAGGGCACCTATGTACAGGCAAAATAATATAAGTTCTCAGTAATAAAATCATGTGTAATCCTTAAAACAATCCAGAATTTTTATTTTCAGAAGACAAGAATAATCAAATTCATATTACTGGAAAAAAATAATTACAAGATGTCAGTGTTACTGTTTTATGTAAAAATTTAAATTATTAAAGCACAGGCTTGGTAAAAAAAAGATCTTAAGAATTCAAATTGCTTCTTGTGGCTTACAGTTGCAATGGAATATTTCACTTACACATTGGTCTACGTTCATTAAAAACTTACAGAAATAAACAATACCAGATCTCTCTCAGATACCCTTTGTTTAAGTGCCAGAGACAATGTATACACTGTTTTAAATTAGTTTTTATTACTGTGCTCTTATGCTCTTTTGTTAAGTATTCTATTAGTACTATGTAATAACATGCAAATTCACCCTTACAATCCATTCTGTGTATAAGTAAATAAAAGAATTATAGTTCTTCAACTTCATAAGCTACCATGCACTTCATGCACTGAACCTTTAATACTGAAATATAATGATATTCTACACATGCTGAATTATACCATAATAAGAGAGATATATAATAAGTTGAACTATGTTGCTGAGATCTTAAAGTAGTTAACATGAGATTTATATGACAAACATCATGTAAGCAAATACTGTATATAATGGAATCCTTAACCTAGTAAATAATAAGAACACTTAAAACATTATTAATTTCTATTAAAATCCCTTCTTTTATGTAACAAGAACCCTACATTGCCATTTCTACACACCACATTCTTGGTATATTCCTAAAACATAAAAATATAAGCTGTCATGTCTCGCCTAATTCTTTCTCTACAACAACTTCCATTCATCTTATTCAGGTACACTGACCTGTCACTACCCCACACTCATTCTCCATCCACGTCTATAACTCCTCTGTACTTCACCTTTTAATTAGTGATAAAATATTCCATCAATACCATTTATCCCTTAAATTTAATAATGCCTTAGTCTATCTAATTTTATTACCATACCACCTACTCAAAAATTGATGCTGTACTTGCCATCCTACTCATACATATGTCCTTTGCTGATGTAATGACAGGAGGGTAGAATCAATCACAACTTTAACTCTCCCTCAATCACTGACTGTCATTTGTTCTTTCTAAGTACCTCACTAGATGTGTTTTGTTACTGTGTTTTCCTTCGACAAAAAAGTCCCCAAATATCCAAGTGGTTTATCCATAACATACCATATATCACCACAGTGACACCCACCGGGCTTCTTTACTACTATAATACAGTAATGTGCTTTGTACTATTCCACAAAAACATGCCCTTTTAAACTCTCTCTCTCTCTTATACCTTGGCTTCCATTCTGTCAAGCATACTGAAGTAACAGAGAAGTACTGTAGTCACACTCATAACTTCACCTCACCTTCTTTAGTTCAATCATATTTTTCCCCATTTTTCTTTTCTTCAGTATAGTAGTTACCTTTTATTAAAAATTCTAATTTTCCACATCAAAGTTAAATTACTAATTTTTAATGTGTTACACATAATGTAATTGTCATACACTAATGAAAATTACTTGAATCAAAAGTGTAAATACAAATTTAAATTACACAAATAACAATAACTAAACAGAAAATAAGAAAGCAGCAATATAACGTACCTGACAGCCAGATATCCCTTAATGCAGAGCTCAACAAACCACTGGAAGGGAGCTGCTTCAACCTTTCCTCCCATTACCATCACCATTTCTTCTGTCAGTTTAATATCTGGCTCAAACCCTAAGTTACCACCAGGAGAACTCTCAAACATAAATCCAAAATCTGCAATTAGAGGAAAAACTTTTACAAACTTAAGAAGGTGTATAGGTCATGGCACATGAAAAAGCTTGTCTAGAACTATTAAAAATGTCAGTCATTTATTTACTATGACTTTCCCATTATGCAATATCCTTCCTTTAAATCATCTTTCCATTTGTATTTTTGCAAATCTCATTCGGATTTCTTCCTCCCTCCATATTGTAAGTACAGGCATGTTAATGATGAAGTTAAGTTTCTATAATATATGCATAAAAATATCTACCATACAGTATAGTATGCTCTAAATTATTCTCCATTAACTGGCCATGTATCTTACTGAATGCTCCACTGTTGTCCTTGTTAATATAATGAATTTTACATTAAAATGTATTAAAACACAAGAAGATATACCGGTAGTCATCTGTTATCTTCACTGCAAAGACAATACTGTATTAAAATTTTAAAGACAATTCCCCACCAAAAGGCATCTCTGTATGAATAGTTGAATCTACATACAGTATATGATTTTTAAGTTATGGTCAGAAATAGGTGCAGACAACTTATTTCTATTCCTTTAACTTTAGTGATCAGAGTGAAACTTACCAATGTGAATGATGTGGCCATCAGTGTCTAGCATGATGTTTCCGTTGTGTCTGTCCTTAATTTGTAGCAGAAATCCTACCAGTGAATATGCTGCCATTGACTTGACAAAATTTGTACGCGCTTGTTGAAACTTGTGGGAGTTTTCATCTCCATAGAGATCCAGGAAGTACTGGTACATACCAGTGTCAGTACTACGTCCAAGTTGGTCCCGAGACTTGGCATTGGGTACACACTCAATCACACCACACTAGAGATAAGAAAGTCAAACTAATGTAGTATTCATGCTGATATAAAAATACATGTACTAATCACTAACATCAGTCAACACTCTAAATATAAAAAAAGGTTGCAGATCTATAAGTTCTACTAAATTCATGATCATTTACAATTTTATTTACAAATAATATGCATTACTTGTGAATCAAAGCTGAACGTCGAACTTAACATAACGTTCATTTATCCAAAAGTATGCAAATGACCAAAATTATATGGAGAAAAAGAGATATTATTTGATGATCACACTCATAAAGCCTAACAATTATACCACCTGCATTACTTACAACTTTAAGGGTCATTTCAGGGGTTATTGGTGGTACAGTATATTGCTGGAGCGTCTCAGTAGACAATAATAACAATATTGACATGGCTGAGCCAATTGAGAGCCTGAGCCCATTAGTGGCACCTGATATATACTGTACATTTATATATCTTGTATAACACAGTGGTAACGTAAAAGGAAGAATGAACATGACTGGTGTGAGAAGTGTGATGTATGGCAGTGAAACATGGGCAGTTAAAGAGGATGACATAAATAGACTAGAGTGAGCTGAAATGAGAATGGTGAGACGGTATAAAGGCAGGTTGAGATGGTTTGAGCATGTCGAGACAATGGGTGAGAACAAATGGATCATGAGGTGCATGAACCTAAATGTGGAAGGGAGGCAAGCCAGAGGTAGGCCAAGAATGACATGGGGAGAGGTTGTAAGAAATGACATTTAAGAGTTGCGAACCTGACAAGAGAGACAGCAAGAAACAAAGCAGTATAGAGAACGGCCATCAGATAATTGCGGGCAACACTTGCAAGCATGGAAATTGGCCGCAAACGATGATGATGATGATGATGATAATGATGATGAAGATAGGCTCCTAATGAAAATTTGATCTATGTATTCCATACTTAACCTATGAATAATTGCTCAACAAAATTACATGAATCATTATGAATTTAGTTATGAAAATATGTGATCATGGACTCACCCCAGGTGAGGTAGCAACAACACAGTATGGGAAGAGGAACAAGTCAAGTCCAACAGTTTGGAATATATTCTTGAAGATGGAGATGACTTGGAGAGCAAGCATGTCCTGCCGCACATCATCACCAACCTGTAGATATAATGTTGTAATTCACAAGTGCATAAACACTGAAAAATGCTGAAGTTGCATGTAACCAAAAGTTAACCATATGAGAACTAAAACCTGGAAACAAAACTGTAGTAAAAAACGAGAAAATGATTAAAGACAAGGAAATTATTTTTGTGTAAAATAAGGAGAATCTGGAGAGTAAATCAATAAAGTGAGGAGAGGAAATGATTCACTGTACAGGATATTTGGAAGAAAACTGTAAACTGAGATTGGTAAAGCCTTTTCACAACATGGTGGAATAAGCAGAAAATGAACTAAATATTTTCAAAATACACATCAAAAGTGTGAGACATGGGTGAAGGAACAAAGGTGAAAACAAATTGTCAGAAGCTGCACTTGTGACATACAGGAGGTCCCCGACTACGAACGCCTGCTGATACAAACGGGTTTATACTGTAATTAAAATTTTCACAATTTTATTTACCTGATGATTTATATTTTACTTTCATTTACTTTTTTTGTCATTCCATTTCTTCTTTTATCTTAAATTAAGTGATTTTAGATGTACTGTATATAAGGATTTAGGCTATGATATAGTGGAATTTTAAACTTTGTTTTGGAAGTACGGTTTGCCCATGGCAAGTGTTCCGACTTATGTACAAATCCGACTTAAAAGAACGTCCCCAGGAACGGAGCCCATTCGGAATCCGGAGACCCCCTGTACTGAATAGGGTCCTTCATGAAGAACAAAACTTGTAGTGTGAATGGAAAAAAATGACACCCTAAAAGGTGTTCAACTAACTGGGAGAACACACACACACACACACACACATACAAATATATAATAATTGGAAAATCATCTCACAAATAATCAGAAACAAATTTATTAAAAATGTGAGTCTACCCTCATGTCCGTGCTTTATTACTTTATTAATAAAGCATGGACTTGAGGGTAGACTGTCACATGTTTAATAAATTTGTTTCTGATTATTTGTGAGATGATTTTCCAATTATTATTTATTTGTATGTGTTTTGTTTTTGTGTGTGCGTGTCTACACACACACACACACACATATACAGTACTGTATACAATACAGGTAAAAGAAATAATTGTCCAAAGGGCAAACACATAAAGGGAATATACATTTCTTTGTACACAATTATATATGTAACCCCCCCACCCCCCTCGTCAGCAAATGTTATTCGCGGATTTGGCGATTCACGGCCATTTTGAGAACCTAACCCCCACAAATTTGGGGGCCCCCCTGTATATATGAAACAAATGACATATAATGAAAATTTCTTCCTATACAGTAGTACCCCGCTTAACGCAGTCAATTGAACCCACAGGGTACCGCGTTAAGTGAAAACCGCGTTAAGTGAACAACAGAACATATGGGATTAATTCCAATAGAGACTGGCCCGACCCCCTAACTCCACTTTTTGACGACACACAACTATGTTGTAGTAAAAATATTATCTTAACTTTATGATGGTATGCACACACAATTAATAATTAAGAGAAATATCAATAATATTAGGTTTTTTAACACTTACATTAGTAGAAAAGATGGCTGGGCACACGGGGATGGGGGGTTGGTTCCGAGGCAGAGGGCAGATTATTGGCCCTCACCTGTATCACTTGTATCAATTGTATCACTATCCACCACAGAGGCTTGCAGGGCCTCTTTGTCAAACCCCTCAAAGTCCATATAAGTCCATATCCTCACTATAATTATCATTATCACTGACTTGGGCCGGCTGTGGTGGGTGGTGGGTGAAGAACTCGGTAATGTTTTGATGACTGGGCGAACTTGTGCGCATCGTGCCCGCGCCGCTTCCCGCGTATATGAGTAGATGAACCGCGTTAAGTGAAAGTTCGGTTCTGGCGAGGCACCGCGTATATGAGAAATCGCGTTAAGTGAAACCGCGTAAAGCGGGGTACAACTGTACTTGTTAGTGACATACAGTACATGTGAAATGATGTACTGTATATCGGTACAATAAATAACAAGGACCCCTCATACAGGTATCCGGCTCAGAGTTGACAGTTTCAACCGGTACCTTAAGAAAATTGCTGTGCAAATATTGCTGTCACTAAATACAATATATGAATCTGAGTACTGAGGTAGTGAAAACAACAACTTATAAAAACGGTTTGTTTATAAGTAAGTAAGAACTGAGGAGAGATGGACCAAAGATAAGGCAGAGGGGGAGTGAAGATTGTGCTTATTAGGAAAAACATTAATGACATAATGTTTGGAACAATGCAATGACTGAGGTGTGAGGTATTTGTTTTATGTGCATAAGTCAGACATCTTGAGGGAAAATTATCTACAGCGATCAATTGAATAAGAAAATAAATAAATAAATGAATTAATAAAATAGTCTTTACAATATATGAAAGAAAAAAGAAAAAGAGAGATTTACCTTGAAAATGGCTGCTTGCCACACTACAGGGCCAATGCTGGTGCTGACTTCCTGGCCTGAACTGACTGCCATTCCCTGCTTCTCCAGTTCACTTATTCCACATTTACACACTTGGAATCGTGCAAGGTATGGAGCTTTAGCAGCACTATGGATGATAAAGAAAATATATAAAAATTTTCTGGTACTTCTATACAACAATTTATTTGCCTAGTTAACCTGGACTGTGGACTTATTATTCACTATAGGAGTATTGTCCATTTGCCTGTCTGTCCAGGAATTGTGAACATGATGAATTGAACATACTGTATAGTAATGGATTTAACTCAAACTGGTAAAGCAGATTACAGTATTTTAATTTTGACAACTGACACTTTTCAAAATGGAATACTGTAGTATTTCAGAGCAACTTCCCTTATGAACTGAACAACTTTAAGTTTACAAACAATTTCAATCCAATTAAATACATACTGGTAGTGAAATAGTATATAAGAAACATTTTTTTTTCATAATTTTGATGTGAATTATGGATAAGAGTACATATAAAACATCCATTTTATAATTACTCTATCTCATTTCTAATTCCTTTATGGTCAAAAAAATCCAAAAATGTATTTTCATTGATGTCACTTAAATGTGAAAATTACAAGATTGTGATGGATCTTTTACAGAATATAGTATACATGAAAACAAGTTTTGTCAAAGAATAATTATAAATATCTAATATCATCTGATACACTATATACAACTATAATAAAATTTTATTTAAAATTCCTCAAACAAGATATAATGATTGGTGATTGGGTTGTAGTGTGGAGGCCACACTTACTCTATCTAGTGTCAAGCATTTACTCTATCTAGTGTCAAGCATTTAATGACTTTAGTGAGACAGTGAGATGTAGTAGCCAGCCCGATACACCACCACTTACACAGCTGACACATTTGTAATGATACTAAACTTAAACACATACTGTACACCATTTACCTAGTGAACAAACTAGTAGAATGAAAACATGAAGACCTATCAAATGGTAAACACTTTAAGCATCCAACTGACATTTAAAATGCGACGTCTACTGTGGAATTAAAAAAGAAAAAAGTTTATGAAAGTTTTCATATCTTTGTTCACATTCATCTATGGCTGCCACCATCCCATTGAAGGTGTTTGTACGGTACCATAGGTTATCTTATTGTGTTTTCTTGTAGGCATGTCCAGGTATCCAAACTTTCTCGGTATCCGAACCTTCATTGGTCCCAATGAGTTCGGATAAAATGAATTGTACTGTATTATAATTACTGAAGTCTCATATGTTATAAAATATTCATACACCAAATCTGGTTAATATCCTCTACCACATATTCAAAACTCCCAAATATACAAATGGACAAACAAATGCATGGATGAATAACATTAGATCACAAGTCCCCTCCCAGAACAGCAGGGATAAGTAAGTTTAACTGAACTGTAATATAATCAATGTCTGAGTCATTTTATTAGGTCCTGTTATTGTCTCAGATGTAACAATAAGAAAGTAAATCTATTTTAATGTTCACATTACCAGAATTTGTAAGCTGTTTTCTGGAGGAACAAGTTTACTATTTATTTTTATTTTGCACATGTATGTATTACAGCAATAGTACAGTACATGTTAAATGGAGTGTGCATTCTAACCTTTGCATTGGTGTTCCACTCTTGCGGTCAATATCTAGGATGACAGACTCCGGATTCGATGGCAAATAGCAGCCTGTCTGGACTATGATATCATGTAGAGCCTCCAAGCATGCCTTCTTTCTCTCTTGCCCTTCAAAATGAAAATGATACCAAGCATTACTTTGGATATATCACATAAAATGAGAAAATATAAATTAAGATGCCTACTACACCACTATATCTTCAAAATTTGTACAGCCAATCCAAAAAGTATCAAGACCCCAGGGTCCGGTGGAATAGGTAACGAGTGATAACCTCACACACATTTATGTATCAGTTGGGTTGGTCTTTGCCTGTTGTTTCATATTCTTTCAGTTGCCTGGAGTCTTGAACATTTTGCATTGGTTGTACTATAAAAAATTATTAATTCACATTATATATTAAAACTCACAATTTATCTTTGAGACTCATAAGAAAGAGGAAGTATCCTATATCCTGACTGTGATTATCTTGTTCATTGAATTTTCATACCATGAAACACTACACTCGTTAATTGGTTATAAATGGGTTCCATTCTTGAGAATGTTCGTAAGTTGTATTTGTACGGAAGTCGGAACACATGCTATATGCATACTGTACTTACAAAACAATGTTTGAAATCCCACAGTAAATGAAAGTAAAAAATAAGTCATCAGGTTAATAAAATACAGTAAATTTCAAGTTTAACCCCATTTGTATTGCGGGCGTTCGTAAGTCGGGGACCTCCTGTATGTATAAACGTGTTACTGTGTATAATACTGCACTCTTTATATGTGGGTCTGTGTAACACTAAGCCTGTATACATATGTGTAGAACCGCTGTTGTATAATACAGTAATGTATTATGTTTGTGTATAAAAGCTGTATTATAACCGTTTACAGTACAATTCATAGCAAAAAATCTGTAAAGCCTTCTAGGAATTGTTGTAAGGCTATTCTTCGTAGGGCCAAACAGAATTTTATAAACAGAAAGACCGCAGGCCTGACTAACTCTTCTTCTAGAAAATCCTTCTGGTCCTTAACCAAAAACATCTGTAATAACTTCTGCACTCCCTCTCTTCCTCCTCTCTTCTGACCTGATAACTCTACAGCCAACTCTCCCCCTTATAAAGCCAATCTCTTTGGCATCTTAGATGATTCCCACTCTATCCCTCCTACCCCTGCTCCTCCTACTGAACCTATGCACTTTCCTATAATCTCCACTCACAGGGTTGCTGGTGTGCTATCCAGGTTGGATGTGAGTAAGGCGCATGGACCAGACGGAATACCCCCTCGTGTTTTGAAATTCTAGCCCCTGTGCTTGCTTGCATCTTTTGCCTTTGCCTCAAAACCCAAACTTTTCCTTCTTCTTGGAAGCATGCCTTGGTTCAGCCCATCCTGAAGAAGGGTGACCATTCCAATCCCTCTAACTATCGCCCCATTGCCCTAACTTCATCCCTCTCTAACATTTTCGAAACTATCTTAAGCTCTCATTTTCTCTGTCACCTAGAAGCTTGAACGCATTTCTCTTTTGTCAGATCACCAGTATGGCTTTCGCCAGGCAAGAGCTACTGGTGATCTGCTCTCTTACTGCACCCATCTTTGGTCATCCTCTTGGGGATTATGGAGAAACTTTTGTCGTGGCCCTCAACATCTCCAAAGCATTTGACAGGGTATGGCACAAGTCTTTGCTCCCTAAACTTCCCTCTTATGGTTTCTCTAACCCACTTTGTTCTCTAATTTCTAGCTTCCTTGAGGACTGATCAATGGCAGTTGTTGTCGAGGGATCGATCTCTTGCTCTTTCTCTACCAATAGTGGTGTCCCACAGGGTTCTGTTCTTTCACCTACTCTCTTCCTTCTAGTAATCAATGATTTACTTCACACTACAACTAATTCTATCCATTCTTACACTGATGATTCTACTCTTCACTCTTCATCACATTTTTCCTTTCCCCCTAATTCTCAAACTAGATCTGTTTCTAGAACTGATATCATTACATCTATCAATGCGGATCTGTGCAACATCTCCAAATAGGGAGGTAGAAATTTGGCTAAATTCAATAGTAATAAAACAAAGTATTTACCAATTACATTTTCCAAATTAAATGATCTCCCACCAATCACATTTCAGGATGCAATCATTCTGCCAAAGTTCTAAAATAGATATGCTAGGCCTCACCATTTCCTCTAATATGTGATGGAAGCCACACATCCTCAACATTGCTAAAGCTGCCTCCCGAAAGCTGGGAATGCTTTACAGATGCCGTAGCTACTTCACTCCTGAGCAGTTGCTTCAATTATATAAGGGATTCATTCGACCTAACTTGGAGTGCTGCTCTCATATCTGGGGTGGCTCTTCTTCTGTCCACCTGTTAGATAGAGTGGGACCTAAGGCATTGCATCTTATTGACTCTCCTCCTTTAGTTGATAATATTTCTTCCGTTTCTCTTTGCTGCAATGTTGCTTCACTCCCTCTCTTTTACTGGTACTTTAACTGGCAATGTTCGGTGGATTTGGCATCCTGTGTACTACAGGCAAGGCCATGGGCTCGTAACACTCGTCTTGCCCGTGGTGCCCACAGATTCTCTGTGGTTGTTCATCACACTAGAATAACCCTTTATAGTACATCCTTCTTTCCTCACACAACCAAAGTGTGGAAGGCTCTGCCTTCTTCTGTGTTTCCACACTCATAAAATCTGTCTCACTTCAAAAAGTTGGTTTTCTGGTATCTTCTTGGTGTAGATTAATATAATCTTTTTCTTTTCTATTTTTAATTTCTTATTACTCTTATTTTTTCGCCCCCTAGGCCCTGTTGTGGGTCGATGATCTGTGCCCGGGTAGGCGATTCCCCGTAAAAAAAATGTATAATAAATAAATAAATAAAAAATAAAATAAATAAATAAAAAACTTATATATACATACAGGTATACTGTACTGTATATATATATCTGTATTTTGTATTCTGCCCTAAATATGAGAACTGCTGTATCCTATTTATAAATTTACACACACTTGTAATATTATGGGATAAACTACATTGCTTCATGTACAGAAACTCTTACCTTTAGGATATGGCTTAATAATAGCAGATATGTTAGTAACTTTGCCAAAGAAGTCAAACTCTCTCTCGTAGAATTGCTTTGCTGGTCCCGACAAATTTGCTAGCATTACCTTCTCAAGATTTTCAATTACTTCATGCAAATCATCTAAAAGAGAAAATAAAGAAATGATTTGAGACTGTGCATAAGATTATAAAATAGAAAACTATGAGGCATTTATGATGTCCAAATTTTACATACACTATACACAAACTACATGTATACTATATATATACAGTGGTCCCTCGATTAATAGACACAATTGGTTCCACAAAGTCGGTTGTTAACCGAAAATCTTGCTAACTGAATCTATTATTTCAATGGAATATTGGCTAATTAGTTCCAACTCACAGAAAAAGTATACATACAAAGTACTGTATACCGGTAATAGAATTAACAAAACATTAAATATAAACTAAATACAGTACTGTACTGTACTGTACAGTATACTGTACAATAAATAAAAAACAATAGAATACGGTACTGTATTTTAACTTACTTTGCGGTGTGTATGTCGTATTCACGGCAGCTTTGTTTACATATCAAACAGCTGATTGTAGAGGCAGTCGATGATGACAAGCCATATTCTTTACAGAGTGCATTGGTTCTAATGCCTTCTTCATGTTTCATAATAATTTCTGCACTGTACATTATCCCAATATGTCAACTAAGTTTAAGAATGACCAATAATTTTAATGTAAAAATGCAAAAATATTCAAGACCAACAAACTCGATGTTTTCTCCACTGTAAATATAGGGAACAAAAACTGTTCCCTGTACTGTATATATTATCAATATGTTAACTAAATTTCAGAATGACCAATAATTTTAATATAAAAAATGCAAAAATATTCAAGAGCACAACTTTCATGATATTTACTCCACTGGAAACGAATGTAAACACAGAACCGATTACTGTATTGGCGGACTAGCCGATCAGCTGATGAGCACAACAAGGCGTGTTTCTCGTAAGGCTTTCATTAATCAGAGTTTTGTTCGTTAATGGAACTGAAAATCCTTATGGGAGCTAATTCGTTAACCGAAATTTCATTAATTGAACCGTTCGTTAATCTAGGGACCACTGTATTGGCAAAAGAAATATCATGGGAGGGAGAGAAAGCTGTACAGTGGAGTCTGCATTTAGGCGGTCAATTGAACCCGTGGAGGCCCGCGTAAAACGAGAAACGCGTAAATGAAATAACAGAACATATGGGATTAATTGAAATAAGAGACTGGGCCGACCCCCAAACTCCACTTTTTCCGACACAATACCTACGTTGTAGTAAAAATAACATCTTAATTTTATGATGGTATGCACACACAATTAATATTTAAGAGAAATACAGTCGCCGGTTAATGTCCATTCAAATAATGGACTCAATTCCCCCCACCCTCGCTGGCTCCTCCCTCTCTGAGAAATGTTTGGGTGAAAACAGTAGGCTTACATTTTTAGTAATAAATAATACCTCAGACTAAAGTTAGAATAATATAATTGACATTGCTGGATTCCTTGCAAGACAAGGAATATTTTGAATATAAACGTCATATTTTGCACAAAAGATAAAGTTTTTGCTCTTTCTAATCAAAATTCTTAAATTAGATCAAAAATTTGTATGTCTAATGCAAATTTTATGAGGTTTATATTTAAAATAATCACAATCTTATAAGAATTCCAGCAATGTAAATTATATTCAAGCCGGGTAATTTGTATGAATTTTATGAGCTAAAACAAATATCTTCAGTAAATACAGTAAACAAATTATACTTCACCCGCGTAAATGACCAAATTTACCACGTAATTAAAGCATTTCGATTCTGGCAAGGCACCTGAGTTAACCAAAACCGCGTAAATCCAGACTCCACTGTACTTTGAAACTGTAGTCAAAGGGAAGGCATTTGACAGTATACCACATGAGGTAGTGCAGTGAACAATGAGAACGTTAGGGGTCAAGGAGTGTCTTGATCAATTGGTTATAGTAATGAATGAGATCTCAAGATTTGTTGAGAGTAAATAGTTAAGAAAGTGAAGAATTTATGGTGAAAGGATGTATCCATCAGGAGCGATCTTACAGCAGGAGGTTACCCTAAGCTGAATAAAATGGTCTGGCGGTAGCCAGAATAATTTGGCAAGTGCGTGACACACGGTGAAAGGGTTAATCGAGATAGGTTTTAAACCATAACAACTTTAAGGAATATAAACACCCAGAATGAACACTATTTCTTTCCATTCCTCAGTTATGCTCAGGATATACACATTTTAAAGCACCGGTAAATATATACAGATTGTACTCATGTGAGCCTGTCAAGAGACAAATACTGAAGTATAAAGGCAATACATACTGTCTTTCTCATGACCCTCCTCATCCCTGAACTTGTTGGTCTCCATGTTCCATATCAGCTGATGGAGAAGCAGTTGTGACTTCTTAGCTGCTAATTTGATCAATTCAGTAACATAACCCATCTGGGAGGAGAAAAATGTACAATTCATTGCAATTGCTGTATTTACATTCCATGATCACTTAATATAAACATGATATCAAATTTAAGGATGTCAGCACAAGAGATACTGTAGTTATATTAAACCAAAAGCAAGGCAGCTTGTGAAGGTGGCCTCTGCCAAAACCATAAACTGGTATAGTGGCCATAATTCTAGTAAATAAGTTAAAGTCACTGATTATGTGATTCATTTTATATACTCCTAATGTGAAGCTGCAGACCAAATTTCAACTTGTTCCACAGAGCCTTTCTCAAGTCTTTGGACAAAAAGACAGGGTTCACCCATATTACTCAGAAGGAGTTATAAAATATTTTCAAATATGTTGTACAAAGGTCATGTAATGCATGTGATAGATAAAGGGAGCAGCCTTCATCAATGGGAAAGAGGGTAAGAAGAACAGAGATGGCAAAAGACATATCTTGTGTTAGGACAGCCTGGAGGCTCATCTGTTGTGATCACACCCTCAGAGGAGAGTTCCCTTACGCTTAGAGAAGTTAGTTTTCATAGGAATTCCTTGATCCACTTGTTCTTTCCCAAGTAAATAAGTGAAGAGTACAATTGATAAGACATAAAAATAAAGTTAACATTTACAAGTGAAAACTCAGCCTTACAGTGTCATAGCGAAGTGCTTGAGTTAACTGAGGAATGTAGAAGAGCAGCGTGTCTGGGGGATAACTGGTGAGGACCCGAACAGCATACTGCGCTGTCAGTGGATGTGGTGAGAACTGGCGTGAGAAATAAGCCAGAGCCTTCACAGGTGGCACTGGTGCCCACGTCAACATGTAGTTCAGCTGAAGAAATGAAAAGTAAAGAATAAATAATACAGGTTGACAACCCTTTATCTGAAATTCCAAAAACCGAAGAGCTCTGAAAACCAAAAAAAATTTTGTGGGCAAAACTTTTTTTTTTTTTAAACAGAGATTAGCCCACCCGGGCATAGATCACTGACCCAACATCAGGGCCTGGGGGGGTGGGGGGGGGAATGTAATAGTAATAATAATTATAATAATTATTCATAGTAAATAAAAATTTTAATAAGAAATACACCAAAATAAAATAATAATGATAATAATAATAAAACTAATAATAATAATAATAATAATAATAATAATAAAATATAATAATAAAACTAATAATAATAATAATAATAATAATAATAATAATAACACTAATACTGTAATAATAAAATAATAATGATAATAATAATAATAATAACAATAATAATAATAATAATAAAGAAATACAAGAATGAAAAAACGATCAAAAGTGAGAAACATGACCTACACCTATGAAATGTTATTATTATTATAATTTTTATTACATTTTCGCCACCCAGGCCCCAATGTGGGTCAGTGACTTGTGCCCAGGTAGGCTTAAAAAAAAAAAATAATTAAATTAACCATTCTGAAAACCAAAAAATTCCAAAATCCGAAATGCCTCTGGCCCCAAGGATTTCGGATAAGGGATTGTCAACCTGTACTATAAGCACACTATATTAATTACAAACTAAACAATATATATACAGTGGGGTATGCTATAACGAATCTAATTGGTTCTAGAACCTTGTTCGTTATAGCATTCTTTCGTTATAGGATTAATCCGTTACAGGCCCCCAAATACAACCACTTAACACTGAAAAATATAATATAAAATTGTAAAAATTTAAAAAAAGTGCATAAATATGCATCTAAACCCCTGAAATAAAGAATATCATTAATACTTGTAATAAAAAAACAATAAATTAGTAAAAAAAAAAATAAATAAAAAAAATTAATGTTCGTTGTAGGAGTTTCGTTCGTTATAGCATTCTCAATTTTATAGGTAAAACTGTTCGTTATAGGAATATTCGTAGTAGAATCCAACCTTTATAGCATACCCCACTGTGTGTGTGTGTGTATATATATATATATATATATATATATATATATATATATATATATATATATATATATATATATATATATATATATATATATATATATATATATATATATATATATATATATATATATATATATATATATATATATATATATATATATATATATATATATATATATATATATATATATACATACAGGTATACAGTTTTCTCTTTATTCTTAAGACAATTATATGGTTACTTACATATAACACTTTAACACTTTACAGAAAATAACAATCACCTCAGTGACAACAGAGTTGTTGACAACCAGACTTATGTCTGATTTTCAACCCAGAGAGTTCTGTTTCATATACTTTGTTTATTGTTGATGTAATATTCTTTTAATAACCTTGTTATATACTTTAAGACCTTAGTTGCTGAAGAGCAGTAATAACATAATTGATTAGCTTGAACTGTTTAGCTAAGCAGTGTTATCCACCTCCCCCATGCATATATAAAAGTAAATCTGGGTTAACAAGATAATATGTAATATGGATTACATATTATGTAATCCATAAAAAGACATTCTAGTGCACGTTTTCTCACATTATTCTGTACTATACAGTCGACACTCGTTAATTCGGACCCCTTTAATCCAGATTTCGGATAATTCGGACGAAATCTGAACTGTCCGTATCAAATTTCTAGTTCTGGGATTGTCCCAGTTGCAATTGGGGTTGCAATTTCAAATTCTGTGTCACTTCTAAGGAATAACAAAGTCTCTGGTACACTAAGATTAAGAGAAAACGGACGACTCAGGCGTCCTCAAGTGAGAGAAAACGGACTCCTATGACGGGGCACTCAAATAAAGAGACATGGCTACATGTTTTGTGGACTACCCACTGTACAGTATCCTTTTCATCACTTTGTAATAAACCTAGTCATGCCTATGTGTGTTTCTGATAATTACCATAACATTATATATTTATATATTTAGTGGTTGTACAAACACAAGGCCTTACACATGCCACTCACACTGACAGACTTGACAAGTTTTACCAACCATAAAGACAGTTGAAGCTATAAACATCACTCACAATGGATCTTGAATATTCCAAGTGTAATCAGACATACCTAAGTTGCCTCAACAATTGCAACCCCAGTTGCAATATCAAATTCTGTGTCACTTCTAAGAAATAATGAAGTCTCTGGTGCACTCTAAGATTAAGAGAAAACGGATGACTCAGGTGTCCTGAAGTGAGAGAAAACGGACTCCTATGACGGGGCACTCAAATAAACATACACATAGCTGTATAATGCAATATTAACCCCTAAATCGGTTAATTTGGACAATCGGCTAAAACGGACACCCTTCCCCCCCTATTAGTCCGAATTAACGAGGGTCGACTATTACATAGTGGATGAGACTAGGGGCAAATATAGACTCTCTCTGCATATAGAGAAATTATTTAAGTGATGAAACTCTTTGTTGTGCCAAAAATCACACATGCATTATTGCTTTGTACAAATATTACATGATGTATAGCAGTACCTCTTATATTCCTATTATAAATCATCTAAATATATACAGTATAAAAATTACATCAAGATGTAAAGCAAAATGGGTGGGAGGATTAGTTAACTGAAGCAATGATTATTTTACTAAACAGAGCAAAAGAAAGTAAAAAAAAAAAAAAAAAAAAAAAAAGATAAATTACATGCGAATAAATCTCCTTTGCATCACTGGTATGGTATACACAAAAAAAAATGTAAACTGGATTTTTGCCTTTTATTTGAGATTCTGTACTCCTGATCCACCTGACACACCAGTGGGAAGAATAAAGATATATAAAAACAGAGATATAAACCATTTGCCTAAGTCTGATGAATTTAACCATAGAAACTTTGGGCATGCATGGAAGACTCTTAATGTTGTACTCATATGTAAGTTTATATTGTGGAAATACTACCAGGAAGTGAAAGAAAATTTTTTAAAAATAATGGTTTCACATTAATAGTGCCTGTACTGTATACCAAAACTATATAATGTTACAACAGCTTCTGGTAATTAAATATGAAAACAATGAGAGCTCTTGAAGTCATGATTTTCTTTCAAAAGTTCTTTTTCTACAGTTTAGTAATTCAGACTTTCCTAAACTGAAACTGAGATGAACAGCTACTTCCTGAACTATGAAGAGGAACAAAAGCTTTAACATTCACCAAGGCGGATGAGGTTGACTTTTTTTCTTATAACAAAATATCCATTAAAAACCCATATACAATACAGTACTTCCTTTAATGGTGTTACTGTTTCTGAAATATTTAGAGAGAGTATAAGTAGCTAAATAATAAAAACAAAAAATATGTTCCTAATAACTTTATTTTTGGTTAATGGTGAGGATTATTTTTGCCTGGCCGCGACCAAGTCATGAATAGAATAATAAAGTGAAAGACTTCTTGATGATAAAGGTGAAAATGAGCAAAATATTGTTTTTTATTTATCCAATGAAGATCACATTCTTCTTAATAATAAAGATTAGTATTTAGTACTGTACTTATACAATACTGTATTTATGGATTTGTAATATGTAGAAATGTTCAGAGTATAGATACATGTTTGAAATGAATCTTACAAAATCCTTACATACCTCTGGAATGTCAGAGAGAATATTTTCTGAGGTAGCCAAGTACTGCAGGGCATCTGGCAAGTGACTAACAGCAATGGGATTGTCCCGTACCAAGTGGCTGATTTCTGCATCCAGTCCTTGTACATTGTGAATCCTGCAAGTCCAAAACTCATGTTATTTTGAGAAGTATATGATGAGGTGACTCACAGATATACAAAAAATTAGGTACAGGCTTCATTTTCCAGCTGGTGGCACTCAGAGACCCAAACCCATGTGACATAGGTTTAATCCTATGACAGGTTTGGTGAGGTATTATTTGGCTGTGGTATGCACTGTGCTGGCCATCCACTGTGCTTATGCCCTAGGCTAAGTGATCCCCTTTTACCTGAAAATTACCACCTTAAAATCAAGGGAAATAACAAAGATGTAATCATTAATGGAGTTCTGGTCTACAGTTATTTACACAACACAAACATCATCTTTATTATCATACCTTGTGGGTAAAAATAGAGCTAATGCAGGAGATATATTCCATGCTAGATTTGTGTTGCCACTCCATGCCTTAGGACTGTTGAAGCCACCTGACAGCCACTTGACAAGAGCTTCTTCCTGAGGAGTGCTAACCTCTCCACCTTGTCCTGCTGGCCGAGGTGTCTGAAGCCATACTTTCATAGTCTGAATTTCAACAGCCTGAAAAAGAAAACAGTTCAACAGCTCAACAACATATTTTCTTTCATAGGAACACATCTCCCATTATATATAATGCAATTCACATGGGTTATTTTAAGATTTTATGAATAATTCAATATTTTTGTCAATAAAAAAAAAAAAAAAATTCTACCTCAACAAGAATTACTGAATTATCCTGAAATGTCAAATTGTGAATACAGCATTGAATTAGTAAGGGGTCAGTGTACTGGTTTCTTTTGTTTGAAAAATTTACTATTGCACATTACTGGAATTGTAATATGTTATAGATAAATAACATGCATTACAGGTATTATTTTCAAATAAAATACATAAAAATACAGTACCTGTATTTGCAAAGAATCAAGAATATACTATTTTTTCTTATGGGTTTGTAAACTACAACTACACTGAATGAAATGTCTCTTGCAATATATGAATCATTTTATATTCAAGATGTATAATTATTTCCAGCTGAATCCTGAAAAAAGTTTGAGAATATTTCATCCCAAAATAACTTCCTTTAAGCAAGATAATGAAAGGTACACTATGCTGACTGCAGGAAGCGCAAGGCACATAAATACTGTACTGTCATATGGGACAGAGAAACACACATCATAATGCTATATCTTGTACATTATTATAATACATCATAACCATAGTACAGTACTACAAACCCTTCTTTCTCCATAAAGGTTTCAACTCTAAAGGGGTTAAGTTATCATGAAATTGAACAATTGTGAATCCACTGAGCAATGAGGCAATTAAGGTTAGGGGGCAGAAACCACGGCACAACTAATTACAGCAATTTCTTTCTCTATTACCGGTCCCGGGTAACTGTAATATAGCTTTTATTACATAATAAAAGAACAATCAAACAAATCAAAGCTTTTCCTGTTCACAGTAACCATTTATTGGGTTTATAATTACCTTTTTCATCAAATGATGGGAAAATAAAAATTAGCTTTCAGGAACCATCCATCACATAATTCATAACCCCTTCACTACTGGACGTCACTATTAATATTTTATTTGGCTAACACCAGACAGCATTCTTTAGTACAGAGATATCCCCATACACAAGGGGTTAATTTACAAACAGTATTACCCTGTACAGCCCTTGTATAATATCATACGTACAATTAAGTTGATAATTAAACCAAAGAAACATGATTTTTCAAAGGATTTATATTTTGTTTATTTCTACTGTATAAAACATATCAATATTCTTCATTGGATGTTTCCAAGATGGGATAATCAAAGAAGTTTGAAAATGCCTCTAGACTTCTTCAAAATGTCCAGAAAACCATAAAATTGCTCACAAATATTTATATGCCATTTTGATGTAAATACAGTACAGTACAGTAGTAGTATCATAATATATCTTGTATTAATGAGGATTTTTTAAATTTGTGAAATATTGAATATAAAAAAATCCCACAAAATTTGTTTTCTGCTGGATAAATTATCATCTACATGATGCCCACTGCCTTAGCATTTGTCTCTTTATCATATACTGTACACTGTGTGAAGCAACACTGTTTATTTTCACTTTCTGCAGACCCTCTTCACAGAACACTTTCACTAACACTTATTCAGTCATTTTGTCTGGTTAAATTATCAGGAACACTCCCATCACAAAGTAAATTTTCTTGAAGGTTTATGCCTGTCTATGTATGTACTGTATTGTATAAGATAATAATAAAAATAATAGTAATAATAAAGGTGTACTCACCAACAGGGACAGTATCAGGGCTCTCTTCTTCAGGTAATCTTTGACATAAATGTCTGGATTGATAAGTCTCTTACTACGTGTTGATCTTTTAGAGAGAGTGGATGTGTTAGATGAGAGAGGGACAGTATTGATCCATCCATTAGTCATTACAAATTCACCCGAGGTGGAGCGTAGATCTGAGGCAACTGATGGTGAGAGTGAAGCGCCTCCGCCATACTGATAGGATGTGAAGTCTGTGGGCAGTAAAACAATACAAAATGATTTATTACATACAGTACATTGTACCTAAACAATGAGTATCATATCTAGTGCTTACAGAAGAGAAGCATTTTTAAACTAAAATAGCCTTTCCTGCACTTGGACCTTAAGAAACAACACACCAATGACTTGTACTGTACTGGTCTTAATGGGTCCAACACCGAAAACTTTATTAATTTTAACGCTCAATTGCAGTTCTCCCCCTTTTGGATAAAGTAACAAATTTGTTTTTTATTTTTAAATTACAGAAAAAAAAAGAGCAAATGGTATTATGAACTACCAAGGGGACTTGTCAACAAATTACATTTAAGAAATGTAACGTATATACTCTGGTATAGTTTAAGTTTTTATGATAAAATTTGTATGCCAAAAGTAGGGAATCGAACTACTGTACTGTATATATGCATAGTATTTTTGAGGGGTTAAAATTCATGCATTTCCGCGGGTCATTTACGGTGAACAATTGCTAGCCGGGATGTGCTCGCAGTAGGCTAACCTTACAGAGCTGTGAAGTGTTAGGGCTCTTTTTCAACTCGTAATTTCGGGTAGATACACGTAACTTAAAAAAAAAAAATGTATTCAGTAACATGCACATGCAATCCTGCATATATATATATTGTGAAAAAAAGAAAATATGAGAAATATTATAAGGTCAAACACATAAATGGAATAAACATTTCCTTGTGTGCGAGTTAGGAGGCTGAGCGGATGGGTCTTTGCAAGGGAGTTGGCAGAGGCAGGTTTCCAGGTACTGTATGCTCCATTTATGGCGACTGGTTAGCGTTGAGGCCCAGAAGCCAGCATCCATGCAAATGACCGTTGTGTTTTAGCTGCATTTTTTTCATCTAGATTGCATACAAATGTAGTTTGAGGTAGCACAATTGTTAAATAAAATAAGAATGGTAGGTGGTATAGTTTATGAATGCTGGAAAAGGAGGTGCAGGGAGTTGGGAGTTTGCTTCAGCCATTTGACTTACTGTGTAGGCTGTTGTAATAGTAACATAAGACTCGGCACTACAGCTTGATGGGGCTGGTTGATGAGTTCCGAGGCAGGGAGGGCTGATTACTGCTTCCTCCCTGCTCCCTCCTCTAACCTCAGAACCAAATCCCTCAAAGTCTTCATAAAAGCAACCAACCAACCAACAGAAGCATTGAATGGTGGTGGAGAGTAAACACATTTCTTCTGTGCAACAGCAGTGTAATAAACATATGCCTGATGGCTTATCTGTGGCCTTGATCACGGTTTCTTCTTTCCACCCACTTGTGAAGGTAATGTTCTGTAATAACTAACAGGAGGTTTCGTTGTGAAGTATCGGAGAACGTCCTGCTACTAGAAAATCTTGAGAATACATTCACAGAAGCAGTTAAGGCTTCCTTGTTCTTCTTAAGGGAACGTATGGTTGATTCGGGGCAGTAGAACCTACAGTACGCATGTTTTTACAAGTACGAGCACCACTTTTGATCATTTCAAGCATCTTGCGTTTCATTTCAAGGGTGTATTTCCTCTTCTTAACCCCCTTACGGTAGTCATGCTTGGCTTGGGGCTTTCCTTGTTGATCTTCTCTACAGCCATCATTACCACCAGAACCGCTCCCGACATTTACATTATGCACTTCACTCATAGTTATTACACAAGAATTGTTAATAGTTAAACAAAAATCTCGCGAAACGTAAGCTCAATGGGTTATATTATCCAAGGTCACTGCACCGCTCGCTCATTTAAACTAACTGCCGTTACGCCGTAAACAAAAAACACTCGGCGGGTTGATGGACAACAAAAGACCATGACAATGCGCGCTGTCCACTCAACAATGACTTGCAAAACTGGTAATGAAAATCACTATTCTTGAGAGGCTGGAAATTTTAAAAGTGACGCGAAACATATGACTCGCGAATCTAAAACTCGCTAAACTTGAGATCCTACTGTATACCCCAAAAACATTAAATTTGTTTACAAACAACAAAAGAACCTACCTAACTTATGAAATATAGTACCCATCTACTGTAATTTACAACCTAACACATTAAAAACATTAATAAAATACTATCTAGATGAAAGTATGTAGTTAAAACCCATGTGCATAAGACACATCCGTGCGGCCTCTAAGTTTGCCATAACAACTCAGCCGTGCTAGGACACTGCCACCGCTCCCTTCTCCAGCTCCCTCGTTCACCGTGCTAACTCTTCCACACAAGAAATGTTTATTCTCTTTATGTTTTTTATCTTATGATAGTTCTTTTTCACATCATGTAAGTAGGATTGTTTGTACTTAACGGAGGAAAAAAGTTTATCTACCTGAAATTACATGTTGAATATTAACCATAAAGTAGCTTTCAGCTCAGCATGGTAGCAAGAGGTTCTAGGGGGATGTGACTACAGTGATGAGTCTAACTTGGCAACAATGTCACCAGCAATGTGAAGTGTAACATGTAAATAAGCACACCACCATCCTCAGCTGTAAACTGAAACAAATGAACTGAATGGCAGGAGCGATTACCTTATGGGAGGGCAAGCAGGGCTGACCACAAGGGGTGGGGAATGGCGGAACAAAAGCTGTGGGCTGGGAGGAGATGAGGGAGGGAAGTGGGTTCGTTACTATCACTGAGCAAGAATACGTCTCTGCCTATCCCTCCAAGATGGCTGCCCCATTGATTCCTGGGGCAGGAGATTTGAATTTTTGCCTAGACCCAAATTCGTATAAGGCGCTAATTTAGGAAATTCATATAAGCGAATTTTTGTCCCTTGAATGTTCCTTAAGTGAGGGATACCTGTACATATATAAATGAAGATCTGGATATAAAGGCCCGAAGTCTTAATACAGAATTAACCTGACTAACCTAAGTAAATGAGTGAATTGAAAATTAGGTTACTAAAAAATCATTATAAAAGAGATGCAGCACAAATCATAAGCAGGAAAAAACTAACCTCCAATTATACTAGTTTTCAAATATTTTTTGTCAGCATGAAGTGAATTCCAGAAATTGAGAAGAGCATTAATGTCATCCTGTAGGCGCCCTGCCCGCTGGGTGGGACAGCCACGAGCAGCACAGAAGTAGTCCAAACAAGCGCAGTAGATTCTCTCTCTTAATACATTCTTGCTCAATGACTTAGGAATAGCATCACCTGAAAGATTTATGTTATATTACAACATAATGAATTCAAACTTTAAAGATATTTCACAAACAGAGAAGATAATATAAAAAGTTTGCCCAGGTTGTCCTCATTTATGCCAGTGTTGCAAGAGCTGGATTTGCAGTTGCACAGTTTACTTTTCAGTTACCTTTTTTTTTTTTATGCTGACTACAATTTGCACATACATGCTGTACATGGGTAAACATCATACTCTTCATCTTTGCCATGTGTAGTACATAATGAAAAACATCTTGCATGCCAGAATGAACATTTGTTCTCACTGACTTCATTTCATCTTTTTGCCATCAATATTAGCTCTCTTAAAGCTTCAAGTTCTATAAATAAGGAACCCCAAGAAAAGCCTAAAAAGATGTTAACATTTGTGACTATGTTGAAGATGCTGAAAAGTTAGCCTCTCCAGTAACCCTGCCAGCACACACAATGTGTCCACAGCAACACCAGTTAACCCACCTGAGCAGCTCTCTTCTTCACTTAACATGACTCTCCCATTACCCAAGAATGACCCTGATAACTCTAGAGCCTCTCCTCACAACCATGTACTTCTCTATGTGCACCTAACACCAACCCCTCCTCTTTCGGAAAACAACACAATGTATTAGTGAGTAAAATCATTAACTAAACAATCTACACTATATCCACTATAGTACACTACATATTATAAAAAAAAAGACTTTTCAAATGCAAAGGTAGAATTTACCTAAGAGATCAAGCTTTAGTTTAATACATAATATTCTCAATGTCTGTGTGCTAAAACTTTTGATTAAGGCACAAGCACACCAGTCTTTCAGAAATAATAATCTATACATATGACAACAGCATTATGCAATTTATCTTTAGTAAAGACACTATTCATGAAGACATTAGTATATAAAATACGAAATTTTTAGTCCACAGAAACATCCCGAGTCATCATTCTCCCTTTTTAATAGATGAAAAGTGAGATTAATGCAAAAAGTCAGATCTCATGGAAGATGGAACAGCTTGCTGAGACTGTCAGGGAGGCTGATGCACACATAGGTATCTATTTAAATTTCTTTCAGTTCAGTAACTCATCAGCCATGATCTTTGAGATAATATATGTACTGGCTATCATCACATCCACTGAAAGGAAGAAAATGGTAGTTTTCAAGATATTTTCCCTCAACTAACAGGGAACAGGTAGTTCCATGCCATGTTCAGCTTGGATTAGCTTGAAGATTTGAAATGATACCACAGAAATAATTCTAATGAAAATTAAACGAAATTAATTAAAAACAGATGTTAGCCCTTGCTTCATGGAACAAAATGTGTACCTTTATGACTAATTACCTTGAATCAAAGTGAGTGCACATGAGAGGAGGCGGAAACGGGTGCCAAGGGCACCAATATGACGGTTGATCTTAGAGTCTGGGTTGCCCACAGTCATGTGTAGTGTACGGTGAAACATGCCGGCGAACATGGCCACTTGAGCATCACTGTCATATTTGGCTATCTCAATGCGCTCACTGATGAACTGTTGAAAAATATTATTGATATTAACTTGGCTGTTTAATACTGAACTTGCTCAGCACAAGATTAATGATGAGGGTGCAGATATAGACAGCATTAGAATTTTCATCATGTTTTCTTCTGGGTTTAATTTAACTTGTTTCACAGAATGTATTTGGGGATGGAATAAGATGACACAATGAGAGGAGCCAACAAGGGATGAAAACTATGGATGTACAACTGTACACACTATAGTGACGGGATAGTAGGGTAGCAAAACTGTCAAGACCACAGGCTTAACAGTACAAATAATAATGTAGGATCAGCATTCAAAGAAGGATTATCAGGATAAAAGGTAAATAAGATGACACAGTTACAATTTATAAGACTGCCAGGCATGTATCCTGACAGGAATGGCAGAAAAGTGACCAGAAAGCCAGAGAAGTATTCTAACAAAACTGGCACAGAAGAGATGAATACAGTAAACCCTCGATAACTCGGCACATATGGGGCTCTGGCCCTGCCGAGTTATATTAAATTCTGAGTTATTAAATGCGGAGTTCTCAAGGGTTTACTGTATAGTGAAGAGATTGGCACAATACTGCAATCTGATGACAGGATAACTATGTAACATCGAAAGAATAAACAGATGGCAGGTTGGCAGTATGATAAGATGGCACGTTAATATGTTGGCAGAATGGTGGTAAGAATGACAAGGAATTGAAGTGTCAAGGCAACATAAAACCAAACTGATTGGTGAGTGGATTTATGAAGAAAGTTACACGGCAAACCAGGAAACTAGTCAATGGCTAAAAAACGTTCATATGGTATATAAAAACCCTGAAGGTGTTAATTCCAGGCTAAAAATTACAGTACAGTCAGTGTTCTTAGGTAGCTTGAGTCGGAAATCCCCCATCCCCCTCGAATTTTCCACCTTGTAATAAAGAAATATGGACCCCCGCCCAACCTGAACAACCCAATTAGTCCGAAGTTTACTGTACAGTAAAGCCTCTGATAACAACGGTTCGACCAACAACTTTTCATATTGAAGACCCGAGTTAATTTAGGACCTAATTCAATTTACATCCTTATCTCATTCGTATTTACGACCAAAATATAATACAAATAAAATAAAATTACATTTTCTTATAAATAATAACTAAATTCCGATATGTATTAAAAAAAAAAATACTGTACAAAATATGAAGAGCGCCTTGCGCAAAGAAGCTGCCTGGCTAATGAGTGGTAATGCACATCGCCAGTAAACAACACTAGGAGCTTGGCGGTCCATTGTTTTCACGCATCTGAACAGGAACAGGAGAAAAACTTTCTCAGGTTTCTTACAGCATTTTTGCACCCCTATTCAACATGAGCAAGAGAGCAAGTGATGGTGGTTTTGTTTCAAATGCTAATATAAAGTGCATAAGCTTAGCCGAGAAACTTAATGTGTTTAAACGATATGAAAAAGGTGAAAGGTCTGTGGATATTATATGGAGCAAGCAATGAGCATATTTTCTGAAGTGGATCCATTAACAGAACGAAGCATTAAAATTTAAATAAAAGCAAATAACCTCTACATAAAGAAATATAATGAAAAAATAAAGCAGCTGTGCAAGGTTCTTTCGACAGCTTTATTATTCGAAGGCCTAAACCATCAACTTCAGCTACACCATCAAATTCAGCACCATAAGCAGCTTCAACATCAACTTCAGGTTCAGTAACAGTTTCAGCAACAGCTTTATGGAAAGCTACAGCTTCAGCCAGAGTTGAACCAGATGATGACTTCATTATCTGAGTAAAAATTAGCACAATATTCATTGGCTGACCTTATGTTTTAGACTTTACCACCATTGGTGAATAGAATTTTGTTTTACATTCGTAAATATTATTTAGAACATATATGAACAGTAATTAAGTGTTGCTTTCATATTCATATGTAGAGAAATGACGATATGTTTTCACATGTACGCACTTACTATACATACGTTGGCGTTCCCAATCGTCTCGCTTTATTTATTTACCCTCAGTGGTTAGCTACTTCCAGTGTTCCATTTATTACATTAAATAACATTACTTAAAACATACATACAGGTATTAAATTTTTTTTAAATTAGTTCACTACAGCTACAATCAGGGTCTTATTTTCTTCAGTTTCTTATGTAGAACCATCGTCACTCACGAAAACAATAACGTGTTTTAATATTCTACGTATTATTAATGAATTGCATTGTTCATTTCACATATATAAACATTAATTCAATCAAATACATATTAGTTATAAACAATAATGAATCTTTTGCACATATTCTTAAGATAAATGACTATGTTTCCTTGAGTGTGCACGTATACATTGGCATTCCACTATCAGTCTCACTTTTCTTTAATATCAGTGGTAACTTCTACTGTACATTAAATAACATTAATTAAAACAAACATATTTTTTACATTAATTTTACTACAACAACCAGGGTCTGATTTTCTTCAGTTTCAGAAGGATAACTGACATTATGGATGTAAACACCGACAACAATGCCGTCTCTTATCCTCTTGTGTGTTTTAATATTCTTCGTATTATTAATGAATTGTATTGTTCATTTCGCATATATAAAGATTAATTCAATCAAATACATATTAGTAATAAACAATAATGAATCTTTTGTATATTTCTGAAAAAGATAAATGACGCGGTATCCGTAAATGCGCACGTATATGTTGGCGTTCCCAATCCATCTCACTTTTTTTTTCTTTGCCATTAGTGGTTAGCTGCTTCTATTGTTCCATTTATTAACATTAAATAATGTTATTTGAAACACATATATTCATTTTTTATATTAATTTTACTACAGCTACAACCAGGGTCTTATTCTTCATTTTCTCGTGTAGAACTATCGTCCCGGACTCCCGGCTGTAAACACAAACGAAAACAATGGCGTCCCATCTCCTCTTGTGTGACCATATTATTATTCATTTATATTGTATAAGGTGCATTCAGAAACATTATTTAAAGAATATAGTTTGCACTTTTCATTAATTGTATTGTTTTGGGGGGAAAAGAGGATAAAAAGCCACACAAAAGATATGAAAAGTTCACACTTGGAAATGCGTCTCATTATTATTGCTTTATTTTAATGGTAATTAATGAGTCATGATATGATGATTCACCCAACACTGCAATATTGGAGGACACATTACCGTCATTATTGGAGGCTTTACTGTATACTGTATATAATATTTAAAAATACAATACTTTCTTTACTTCACTAATCCATCATCTAAGAACGTACTACAGCATTAAAATCTACCTACCTTATCCCACTAATCCTATCACTTATGAATCTAATATTCAAATAACCTTCTTCATCTCATTGACATCATCACTGGAAGTGTTCTTATGTCTAAAATGAATTTAGTATAATAATAAGATACTTACCTTTATCCACAGATCATGGGCTCCAACCTGAGGGACGTGTGGCTCTAACTTACAGCCTTCATAAGCTGCCAGAGGGTTCACTTCCTCTGGCTGTCGTGAAAACAGACCTAATCGACGATCTACACTATCCTGGAGAGAGCAAGGATGAAATAACCAGGAGGAAAGGTTATAGTATCAATATTAGGAATACAGTAATCCTATTCCTTGAAAACTTTGGTTCTATTTGTCACATGACACATACCTGTATAGTACAGAAAAAAAAATCTCTGAACCAGATAGTAAAAAAATATGATTAGCCGGTCAGATTATTATTATATATATTAGTTATTAATAATATCTCAAATATCAGCTGACATGGTATGCAACACCAGCCCATCCCACACCAACACACCAGATTTAAAAAAAATATATATTAAAAATTGAACCACAAGTTAATTTTTTAACTTCTTTTTCAATACATGATTTGTAAAAGGGGTTTCATATGTTTGTTGAATAACTAATCAATAATTGGAAATCTGACACTGTTGGGACTGAGAGCATGTCAAGAGTATTATTTTTTTTACAAAGTTACTCCTCCATGAAGACATATTTATTTTGTGTTGAAGATTTTTAAGTAAAGTAAGTTCACTTTCGTAGTGCTTATCTATTTAGCAGAATTCTCTTATAAAAATCATTCAAATTATTAGTCATTACCTGCAGTTAGAAGCAAGGTGATTATTTTCTATTGACTTACGTACTTATATAGTACAGTATAAACCTCTTCCAGATCATTAAATTCCTGTATAATGAAACAAGACTATGGTAAGTATTTTATTAAAAACTATAAAATATTTAAACAATCAAGGACATTACAAACCTGCCACGCGGAGATCATCTCTTGCATGAAGGGTAAGGTCAGGTCATGGCGTGCTGATAGGATCCATTGCCAACAAGCTGTGCTGTTATCCATTGCATCCTCCGTAAAGAGGTTTAAGCACGATGTACACACACAACGCAATAGTCTACGGTGAATACCTGAATAGGCAAAACAAATTAATTAAAAAATATATCACAAAAATTTTCTTTGAGGTTAAAATAATAATCAGAACAGCACAACAGTATTTACAGTGAATATGTTTCTAACACACAGCTCCTGATGCACTGTTCCTGTCACATCATGCATCACACAGTACCTTTATTAAGTTACATAACAAAAGATAGGCCAGAAAAATGCAACCCTTAATGTTTCACAAGTATATTTATCAAGTAAGGAAACTGTTTATAATTTATACTGTACAGGATCAATCCAAGCTCTTTTTTTTTCAATTTCTAGTCTCTCTCTGCCATGATGCAAGACTATCATATGAGTAGTTTGTGAAACACTTTACATGGTTTGGGTACATTGAGAAAGACAGAGGGAGTGTTAAGAACTTTACAAAGCTGATGTACTGAGGGATTTAAGTGTTGACAGGGTAACCAAGTTTCTACATGCAAAATATGGATGAGATTAAAGAGATTAAGAGGAAAACATACAAAAAGGTTTAGGAGGCAAGTTTTGAAAGACACACTTAGAGGTTCTTTGAGTGTGGCCATTCTCCCAAAGAGAAGTTCCCGGGGGTAAAAATGCATCATATATAAGTATCCCTCATTTTGTGTTAATTCCCTTTATGTTAATTGAGTTTAGCAATATAAATTTTTCACACCCTTTCTCACTTAACTTTAGGTTAAAATTTGGTTTATCAAAAGCCTGACTCACTGAGAATAGGAAAAACTACAGATAAGGTGGCTTGTGAGATGGCATGTTGTCATTGTTACATGTAATGAAACTATAAAAGTTGTGGAAAAATCATTACAATACTGTACTCTAATGTGGCTTAGAAATAAAGAAATTATAATATAAAACTATAAATTTTCAAGTGTTCTCACCTTTGGTTGCAATCAGGAGACCAGTTGCTCTCCAAAGGCCTTGTCTGAAGTCTATTTCACTCTTGTTATCACAAGCTATCTTAATATCTCCCAAAAGTTTGGACACCAATTTATCTCTCTGATCTTCATCTGAGACCATAAGTAGTAGCCCTGATATTTCTCCCTGGTAATGGGTTCTCAGGCTGAGAGACTTCATGAAAGATGATGTCAAATCACTCATTCCCTTATGCCGTTTATCCAAAGTGGACTGAAAACAAAAGAGGAGCAACAGTCATATAGAACTTGAAATGCTGTACAGTACAGTATTATAATACTGGTATGATGTCCAAGAAATGATTATATGAATATACATAGGTTATTTTTTTACCCTTACAATACTGTAATAACCATTATAACAATATAAATAGTAATCCCTCGCCGACCACGGGTTTGCCAACAGTAGTTTTAAGTGTCCATGATTTATATTTTGTACACTGTTTTACCAACTGTGATATCCAGTTTAAAGTATCTAGGTTCAAATAGATGTATGATATTAGGGTGTTTTCTATCATAACATTGGCCATTGGAATAAGAGAAGAAGAATTAAAGGGAAGATAAAAAACAAAGCCCATAAAGAAAAAAAATCGGAGGGAAGAGTTCCACCAAGAACTAGCAGAATATCAGTCCTCTGGGTGGTCCCCCTGTGCTTCTTTTTCTTATCATAAAGACACTCAGATGTAAGACATTTGTAGGTATGGACAAAGCCGATACTGTAACTCTTAAACTACATTCTGTCAATAATGGAAAATGAGGGCAGAAATAGATCCCATTAGCAAAGACACAGTGTTCCACATGAGAGGAAATACGACTTCAGCAGTGTTTAAGTACTGTATTCAAGAGGACGGATGATTGCAAGAATTATGGGAAAAGTATCTTAAAAACATTTTTGGCATTTTCAGGGAAGGTTCTTCGAATGAGAAATTAAAGGAGGACTCACATAGCCGCATGAAACAGAAGTGCCAAGGCCAGCATACTGTAAGACAGACTCAGTGGCCAGTGCCAGGCCTGAGTGAGTATACAGATTATTCTGGTCAAGGTGTGTTTGGTAGTTCTGCAGATGTGAACGGGTAGCCTCAGGAGCCCACTTCATAGCCTCTTGCAGAATTCCTTGACATCTTGCAGCAAAGTCACTCACTGTACGCTGTAAGAATGAATATGTGTAAGAAGTATTATATGAAAGTTAACAGAAAAAACACTGAAATTCAGAAAACATTCACGATTGATAAGGGTATTAGTGACAATGGGATGAAACATGATAGTGTTGACCTGGACAATGATAAAGAATGGGTGAACGGAAACAAACCAAGACAATTAATCAAACTTACACAGTTCCATCTAGAATGGGCAGAAAATGGGCAATAAGCCCTACAAAAACTACTGTACTGTTATTGACACAAAGGTAATAACAACAAAGTGAGTAAGGATTCATAATACCCTTTGCCTCTGACCTATTACTTTCAGAAGTTAATCAACTCTAGAAGTTTATGAATTGTGGATGACACATAAGTATGGTCTCTATTCAATCACTCATTCTTAAGATACCTTGAACACAAGGATTTTCAAGCACCCTGACCTTTCTAGATGAACTATCATCTTCAAATCTTAAGCAGGCCTCTGGTCTGCAAAACATGGAGTAAATGAGTAATGGAAAATGGACAGATAAATGAACAAATACTAACAGATGTGTGAATGAATGAATGGGGAAACAAAGTGATTGTAATATAACAAATTTCTCCATAGCATGGGGAACAATTACAAAATTAATAATGCCATAAAAATCCTGCATATTAATAAATTTGCTCATTAAATATCAGAGAAATTTCACCTTTATGCACCACAAATTATGATACAGATATCTCTTCACTGTCTATGTATCATAAAGTTTTTTGTTTAAAAATCCTCACCGTCTCATATCTCCTTCCACATTAGTTTAAGGACATTAACAACACAAGTTGTAGTGCACACATACACATGTTTACTCTGGGTGAAATGAGATGTATTTTATCTCAATATGAGGATAATTTATACCTTACACAGTCAATATGTGGAATAAGTTTTCAGAAAAGTCTTCAATGAGGGCTTTAACCCTTTGGCTGTCAGAAGTCAGTAGAATGGTCAACCATGGAGGCTGCCAAGATTTGGTATCAATTTTTAAAAGTGCATGCCAAATGATGGAGTCCCAGAGCCTTCTAGGTCCCCATACACCACCTTTGGACTCCTGGCTGCACTTCAGGATTCCCAGTCATCTTGGAAGAAGTACTGTACAGGTACTGTATATTTGTCTCCATCTCCTAGTGACCCAGATAAGAACCATCCACTTCACCTGGCACAGGAGCTCTTCACCAAGGCTAAACCATTTTAGATAAATAATTTATTCTTATGTATCCAATTAGCTTGCAAGCATATCTTTATTTTCATAAACATTGTGCACATGGCACATGACAAATTTACAGCAAGCCCCAGCTGAAGGTTAATAAATTAAAATTGCCTATAATGTGTTATACTGTACTGTAATTGTTTCTTACCCTCTGTAGCTCAATTGGTACAGTAATCACTTAAAAATGAATGGTCATACACAAAAACTACCATGTTGCAGAAGAATAGGGGCTCTTCCTTTTTCAAAATATGATCAGTCGTGTACAATGGCGCCTAACTTCACATCTTTCACTTGTTTTATCTCCTTCCTCTTTGCCAGGGCTTCTTTTGGACCCTGTAGTTTCATTGAATAACCACACAATTTATCATTACCACTCTGATATCATAAATTATACTTGTGCCTCCCATGAACTCATCACAATCTTGTGTAGGAACCACCACTCTTGATCACATACACCCTGGGTAGTTACTGATGTGGAAGCCCAGTAAATCTAAGTTGTTGTTTTTTTTCTCTCTTTTTAATCAGTATTTCTGGTTAAGCCTGAATTTCACTTCAGAAAATTACATGATACTGAACTTTTACTGTACCTATATGATAAAACTTACCTCCCTTGCTTCTAGAGTGTCCATGAGGGTAATGCTGAATGGAGTATTTGGAATGGGTATGGTTGGGTTGGCATCATTGGGATCCAGTTGTAGTGAGTAGCCCAAAACTTGTAAGATGTCCAGCAGTGTCCGTAACACATTCCCATTCCATAAAAGGAGAGGGAATCTGTGAACATTATTATAAGATAACAAATGATGACTCTGAGGCATTGTTCATCACATGCTGAAAACAGTACAGTATTAGATTTTTGGAGCTAACTGGCATTAAAACTTCTTGTAGTGTAAATGTTTCAAATAGCTAGAAAGAAAAACACCAGATGATTGTAAACATATATGCCCTTGCTACATCACATAAGAAAAGGTCAGGAATGATGATATACCATAAATGTTTTCTCTACACACATCTACAGTGTACACGTCTACTAATAAAAGAATATCATGCCAAATTTGAACCCTGACAAGACCTTTCAAAAATATTTGCTTCAATTCAGAATTTTTCAAGACAACTTGTATATGATTTAACTATGTAAGCTCCCAGGGCTGGATAAGATAGATGGTCAGACAAACAAGACAAATATGCCGTGCCAGTGGCTTATGGAGGAGTCATAACAATGCATGATCAAAGGTGTTGGTAAGGAATGAATTTATACAATCTAAACCTGTGCCCTCCTTAAGTGTGTGTGACACACACACGCACGTGCACGCACGCACGCACGCACGCACGCACGCACGCACGCACACACTCACACACACACTCACACACACACGGTCAAAACCTATTCAGTACCCTGCTCTGTGGCTACCTAGGCTAGATTGTTAGCCCCCTACCTCCAACTCCTTCCCTTCTCCCCACTGGAATATCAGCAAGTTCTCACCAGAAGTTAAAATTTAATTTTGGAAAGGAGTGGAACCAGTGTTGAACAGTACTCAAGCCAGTGAAAATAACGTTAAACAGTAACAGCTGAGAGTCGTGTCCAAGTTAACTTTCACACAGTGAGGTCCCAGGTACCCAGTGGTAACTGCCCATGAGACCCAACAACAAGCTGCGATGTGATACTCTCCACGATAGGAGGCCTGGCACCAGTCGAGGGTCAGGCCTCTGCACCCAAGTGTACACCACTTGAGTGAGGTCCTGTGACACCAGGTATGTGGTGTCCCCATGACACTATGACGCCATGCAGCAAAAATTTGCTACATCATGTGAAATCCATCATAACACCATCTGTGAAGGAGTTACTGCATCACATGTGGCCCATCATAACACCATCTGTGAGGGAGTTACTGCACCACATGTGGCCTGTCATAACACCATCTGTGAAGGAGTTACTGCATCACATGTGGCCCATCATAACACCATCTGTGAGGGAGTTACTGCACCACATGTGGCCTGTCATAACACCATCTGTGAAGGAGTTACTGCATCACATGTGGCCCATCATAACATCATCTGTGAGGGAGTTACTGCACTATGTGTTTACTGTTCAACACCTCAGTGCACATGGCCTGCGTGCCTTCCAAAGCAAACATTAATTTGTATGTTCACTAAGTTACTGTATGTTCCTTTTCCTTTCTTTAATGAAAGCTTTTGTTAAACACCCTCCCCCATATCAAAGTATACAGTATAATAAAGTAATTTCTGCCCACTGTATATTTTAAACTTACAGGCTGCTAAACTTTTTCAATATACCGCTAATTTTTATTCTTGTTATACAGTCTGATGGAGGGACTTACAACACTGGTACATTATGCAAACTACCTTTTATATAAAAGCATAACCATGTATGGTACTATTATTCATATAATAAAAAAACCTATTTCAATTCCTTAAACAAGCCACTTCCCTCATACCGTATATCACGGCCTATAAGGCGGCGGGGTGCATAAGACGCCCCCCCCAAATTTCCATTTAAAAAGTAGCTTTTGAGCTCTATTTGCTGTATAAGACCAGTACCCCAAATGTGACACTTACCCACTGACTCAGTAGTCCTTTACCAACCATCCTTGATTTTTTAAAATAAGGCCAATTCACTTCAAGTAATGTCATCAAATTATACCCGCTGGTGTAGTGTAAACACTAGTGACGTCACTGAAGCGTGGTGGGAGTGTTCCCTCGTCTCGGTGGTGTGACTATTTATACAACATGTGGTTCAACAGCAACCACCGTATTCTAATTGTGGTGTTTCATTAGGATTTGAGTGAAAAAGGTTACCAGTATGTACTTACTACATACATTTATTACACAAATATATATATATATATATATATATATATATATATATATATATATATATATATATATATATATATATATATATATATATATATATATATATACAGTATTACCCCGCTTAACGCGCTTTCACTTAACGCGTTTTCGCATATACGCGGTGCCTTGCCAAAGCTGAACTTTCACTTAACGCGGATTTTTCCACAGCAACGCGGTGAGTGTCCGGCTCGAGAGCTATTTTTAGATTCGCACCACCCCCCACCCGCCACCCTGCCTGACTGCCTGTTTTAGCTCATAAAATTCATACAAATTACCCAGCCAGAATATAGTTTACATTGCTGGAATTCTTATAATTTGGTGATCATTTTGAATATAAACAACATATTTTTTGCATTAAACATACAATTTTTAGATAAAATGTTTAATCTGAGTAAGTATGTTATCTTTTGTCCAAAATATATGACATTTATATTCAAAATATTCCTGGTCTTACAAGGAATCCAGCAATGTCAATTATATTATCCTAACTTTAGTTTGAGGTATTATTTATTAAAATTTAGTGGTTATCCCACACATCTCCTTGGGACGGTTGGTGGGGGGTGGGGGGGAGGGAGGGACCAACCGACCGACCATCTGTTACCCGGTGAAGAATTATTTTTTTTTAACTGAAGATATTTGTTTTAGCTCATAAAATTCATACAAATTACCCGGTCAGAATATAATTTACATTGCTGGAATTCTTATAATTTGGTGATCATTTTGAATATAAACAACATATTTTTTGCATTAAACATACAATTTTTAGATAAAATGTTTAATCTGAGTAAGTATGTTATCTTTTGTCCAAAATATATGACATTTATATTCAAAATATTCCTGGTCTTACAAGGAATCCAGCAATGTCAATTATATTATCCTAACTTTAATCTGAGGTATTATTTAATACTGAATGGAGGATTGGTGGGGGGTGGGGGGAGGGTTGGGACTGACCGCGCGGTTGGAAGAGGGGGGGAGGCAAGGTGGGGTACTTTGATTGACAGATAGTGTTGAAGAATATATATTTTTTTTTATTAACTGTAGATATTTGTTTTAGCTCATAAAATTCATACAAATTATCCGGCCAGAATATAATTTACATTGCTGGAATTCTTATAATTTGGTGATCATTTTGAATATAAATAACATATTTTTTGCATTAAACATACAATTTTTAGATAAAATGTTTAATCTGAGTAAGTATGTTATCTTTTGTGAAAAATATATGACATTTATATTCAAAATATTCCTGGTCTTACAAGGAATCCAGCAATGTCAATTATATTTTCCTAACTTTAGTTTGAGGTTATCCCACACATCTCCTTGGGACGGTTGGTGGGGGGTGGGGGGGGGAGGGAGGGACCGACCGACCATCTGTTAGCTGGCTGTGTACTGTAGTGTGAGAGGGGGAGGGAGTTGAGTCCATTATTTGAATGGACATTAACTTGGCGACTGTATTTCTCTTAAGTATTAATTGTGTGCATGTACCATCATAAAATTAAGATGTTATTTTTACTACAACATAGTTATTTGTCGTCAAAAAGTGGAGTTTGGGGGTCGGGCTGGGTTCTATTGGAATTAATCCCATATGTTCTGTTATTCACTTAACGCGGTTTTCACTTAACGCGGGACCCTCTGGGTTCAATTGACCGCGTTAAGTGGGGTACCACTGTATATATATATATATATATATATATATATATATATATATATATATATATATATATATATATATATATATATATATATATATATATATATATATATATATATATATATATATATATATATATATATATATATATATATATATATATATACTGAATATACTATGTACAAAAAATGAATGTTCAATGAATTATTTATGGTGCATTAGGGTACTGGTCACTTCAAATGGGCTATAAATAGCTTGTTATCTCCCCTCCATCTCACCCTGAGCCAGACGGAAGGGTCTTGGTAAATAACATGTTTGCTTATTTTCCATTTACTTTAAATAGATTTACCGAATTATTTGTTTTATTTATTTATTTATAATATACTGTAATATATTAAACACACTGTAATTATTTTCTTTAATTTATAAACTGTTTTGCGACAAAGGAATGTTCTCCAGTAGTGTTTCATTAGGATTTGAGTGAAAAAATATTACGTACTTACACAATTGTTCCTCTTACTTTGACAACACAACATACATACAGTATATTATTTCTCAGTTTTGATCTTTTTTTTTAATTTTTGTATTTATTTATAGTTAGTTACTTAAAATAAGGCCAATTCACTTCAAGTAATGGCATCAAATATTACCAGCTGGTGTAGTGTAAACACTAGTGACGTCACTTGAGCGTCTGTAATTAACCGTCGATAGTTTCAAGAATTAATGCACTTTTCCTTTCTTGTCTCCTCACTGGCAAATGGGGGGGGCGTGGGGAGGGGTGTGTGATGATAGCTGTGTTTATTACAGGGGTATAAATCTCTTTTACGGTATGTTAGACAGGTTTATAATACATTTTTATTATTTTAATATACCGGTAATCTTAATTTGAATCCAGCTTGCCAAACGTAAGTTTCAGTATAAAATAATTAGTGGTAAGACCTTGTGAGTGGCTTACGATGTTTTCATCACCACTCTTGACACACTAAACCACAATATTTAAGAGGTAAGAATTTTAAACTTGGTGGTTTAGACGACCCCCTAACTTTGGGCAGATTTTTTTAATGTTCAAATTTCGTCTTATAGGCCGTGATATACGGTAATAAGAAAGACCTTTGTCAAATCATATATTTTCTTCACGTTAATTTTCAAAAGTAATTTTGTCCAGTGTTAAACTAGGAAGAAATCTTGGCTCATTTGGTAGCCTACAGTTATTATCTTTGGTAAGATATTGCTGTATGGTTTTAAAATGCTGAAATAATTAATTTGAATAAGGATGAAGAAAAACTGATAGTGAATAAAAAATATGAAAAAACAAATACATAGATATAAGAAAGCCATAAACAAAATAGTAATACTGTACCAACGAACAGCAATACACAAGTTACATTTAACAGTTACATGTGGATAAAAAGTTCGTTTGTCAATATTTCCCACAAGTTAATGTAAGTCATCTTACCTGTCAACCAGCTTGGAGAGCAGTTTGTCAGCCACTCGCCGAATTTGGACTTGAGTATGATTAAAATGGGTCAACAGAAACTGTGCATGTAAGACAAGAAGCTTCTCCTGACGTTCATCTCGTGGCCGATGACTCACCTGCTCCAGAAAAATGCTAAACACCTTCTCGCTCACTCTGTGGAATTACAGCAACCCATTATCCCTTAAACTGTAAATGCGGGAAAATCTGGCTTCTGCTATGTACACAATAAACACAAAGAAACTCTTAAAAACATATAATGTTTTTACAAATTTGAAGATAAGAAGCATAAGTCTGAACAAATGAAAAAAAAATCCACTATCTGCCTTTGTTTTATTATGGTGGAGTGTTTAAGTGTGTGGGCCAAGTGACTATACGTGAGACTGTGGTGAGGGGCCACTGAGGAGGGGTGGGAGGCATAAATAATTCCAGTTTCCAAATCATTCCAAGATGATGACAGCAACTTGATCTGTGGCTCTACCAGCCTTGTCTCCCTCTACTGTCTACCATTCATCAACTTTCCACAGTTAGTATGATTATTGTGCACAGCTTTACATTAATGGCACTAAATGCCAATCATCATAATACGATGGTGGTGCAATTTCGGTAAATCAGCTGAAGACAAAGATAGTAATTAAAGGGTTACCAGAAATGAACACGTGTCTTCCATGATGACTGAAAGGCAACTGAAAACCCTATTAAGGTGTGGGTAGCATGAGGAGGCTGTGGGACACATGATTTGCTTTATGAATGTTCATCCTATTAAACAATTTTAAAACAGTGGCACAAAAATCTTATCATCATAAGATGCATGTCACAGTCTAACGTCTATCATAATTATGATGCTCATTGCAGTTTACGGGTTAAAATTATTTACTCATATTCTTGTAAGCCTTTTTCCACTGAACTGAAATTTAGAGTGGAAACATGCTTTCCTTTCATTTGCCCTTTGAAAAATAGCTTTGAATGTATTAATGGCAAACTTTGCTGTACAATGAAGAAGAAATTGTAAACAGCATAAACTAATTTTACAATGTCTGTGGCACATGAAGTCTACTGTTTCTTAATGCACTGCGATGTTGGTTATTTTGCTCCTCATATGAATAAAAATTTCAATTCTATTACTGTACATATCAGATCCACATTAAACAAAAGTAAATATCTGAATATAGAGAACTCCTTATATACTAGTTTTCCTTTTTTGAAATAATTACAAAATATAATTTTTTTATATCTCTTCAGACCAAGATGATAAAAAATGTGGCAAACAAGATTTGCACCACACTAAGACTCTTATTCAGGAAATCCTTCAATCAAGGTAAAGCACCAAGGGACAGGAAATTAGCCAATTTCACCCCATTATAAAAGAAGGGTAGGAAAAGTGCAACTGAAAACTACAGGCTGATCAGCCTAACATCACAAACAGCATATGCAAACTCTGAGAAAATTCTGAGGGATGCCATCATCCAACACTTGACTAAACAGAGTCATATCAACACATCACAACATGGTTTCATGGAAAGAAAATCCTGTCTGACAAACTTACTCACATTCCTTGAAATGGTAACAGAATATAAGGACCAAGGCTCACCAGTGGATGTGTTGTACGTGGATTTCTCCAAGGCATTTGACAAAGTCCCACATGCTCGACTAGGCTCTAAGATCCAAGCACACAGCATTACAGGCAAGATTTTGAAGTGGATTAACAATTGGCTCAAAGACAGGCAACAAAGAGTGGTAATAAATACAGTACATTCTGAATGGAAAAAGGTTTTCAGTGGAGTTCCACAAGGCTCTACTCTTGGACCCACCTTGTTTGTGATCTACAAAAAAAAACAAGATAAAAATATATCAAGCCACATTGTCAAGTTTCCAGATAATACGAAGATAATTGGGAAGGTAGAAAGTCAAGATGATGTCAAAACAGTGCAGAAAGGCCTGCATGAGCAGTTCAAATGGTCTCGAGACTGGCAAATGCTCTTTAACATTACGAAATGCAAGACCTTACACGTAGGATACAACAACCCTAATCCCAGCAATTGTCAACAGCACTTTTCTGGATACTGTTGAAGGTGGTGAAACAAGTGGGAGCAGCAGTGAGAAAGATAGGAAAATGTTTTTTCAACTGTACAGATCTCGAATATGCTCCAGTCTGGATTACTGTATACAAGCATGGAAACCCTACCTCCAGAAAGATCTAATATCCCTAGAAAAGGTGCAACACAGCACAACTAAGATCATTCTGGAGCTGTCATCTCAATTATCAAAGTAGACTAAGGACCTTTAAACTAACAACCCTTCAGACACGGTACAATAGGACAGATCTCATAGAAACATTCAAAATCTTGAAATGGATGGGAAACATGAACCTGGGACATTTCTTTGTGATATCACGCACTTCAGACACAAGAAGACATAACTTCAAGCTCACCAAGTTATCATGCAGAACATATATAAGGAAATACTTTTTCACACAGAGGCTGGTAGACCTATGGAACAGTCTACCAGCCCAAGCTGTGGAATCAAGAACAGCACAGTACTGGGCTTCAAAATAACTCTTGACAAAATTTTCAAGAACAATGGAGGGATCCTACACAGCCCATTGGTCTCCTTCCCTAGGCATACCACCCAAAAATAGGAAAATATTTATATGTTACATCTTTTCCTGGGATCATATAATAAACATAAGATTAAAAAGAGTACATGTACCAGAGAAAGAAAAAAATACTAAGCTGAAACATATCTTGCCCATGAACTGTTACATTGGCAGGATAAATATTGAACTAAAGACGCTATTCCTGTAAATTACTGCTGTCACTGCTGAAGACTGTTTCATGCCATTGCTTTCTTTAACACCAGAAGAACCCTGTGTGTTATCAATACATGAACTGTTACCATGGCAACACTAGGTCAATTTGGGTATAACTTGCACCAATATTTTATCATGTGGATCTTATTAAATGCTGACCAAGCTTATTAAGTTTGGTGCAAATCAACAAAATCGTTCTCAAGTTATTTTAAGGACAGACAGAGAGCACTGAAAACAACATCTTCATTTACAGAATAACTGAAAAATAATTAACTTGATCTATTTACTCTCAAATACTTTTGTATTCATTTTACTACTCAAAGTACCTTGAGTTTGTCTTTTGTTTTAATAAATGAAAAGATGCAAGCAACAGTCCCCTTCATCCTCAACTTCTACTAATCTTCCATATGGCTTCAGCTTAAATACTGTACTCCACTGTGCATGGTAAACACTGCTCATTTCTTCATGGAACTCCCATTTGGTATCATGTAAAATTTCCTTGTGACATCTTAGCCACTCACCTTCTAATGTTAAACACTAATAAAACACCTGACTGTCATTTTATGAATTATTTTTTCTGACTTATAATTTAGAAACATAATGGAACTGAAAATCCCTATGGGTGCTAATTCGTTAACCAAAATTTTGTTAATTGAACCGTTCGTTAATTTAATCGAGGGACCACTGCATATTCAATATACTGTAACTAATATTTCTTAAAACATTACAAGTCGAAGGGAAGCATTATGTATGACTCATAATAATAAGTATAGTTAGACCATGAATTACTTTTAACCTTGAGTATGAAGGATTTCAAAATGAACACTACCTCTCCTGTCGTCTCGATATGGTTGGTGGGCACTACTGCATCGTCATTTCCCTTACCCTTGTTTTTTTAAATATTCTAATCATATTCTGAAACATAATATGAGTTCAATTTCAAATAGGGCAAATTCCACTTTTAAAAGTTATCAAAGATGGATATGCTGTTACTGGTTTACATTAGATTTGTATTCTTTGATTTACAATAAACTTAACCATTTCAGGATAACCTGTGCACATAAAAGGAAATTGAATTATGGCAAGTGACAAGAATACCTGTAGTGTCACTCGTAGTTACACATATTCCCATATAAGGAAAGCAAGGCTTCCAATGTGAAGTTAGATGCAACACCTTTGTACAAAATCTTTTGCCAGTTTGTCATATTGTTCTACACTGAAGGGGTAAAGGCAATTTATGGTCTGACTGTACAGTACATATTAGGATGCAGCCACAGTATATTTTGCCCAAAACATGTGTTCAACAGGAAGAAACAAAGCACAGGGTCCCAAAAGCCACACTAACAGAGTTGGAACCCTGTTCATTTCTTCTTGTTGATCACATGTTTCAGGCAAAATATACACTTGTGTGGCTGCACCCTTAGAAAAAACTTTGATTAACTGTGACAACAGCTTTATCTACATTTGGGTGAGCCTTACCTGTTAATACATGTCCACATATCATACTTGTCATTCTGGATGACTGGATCAAGCAGGTAACCAAACATGGGTTGAAAGTTGATTTCTGGAGAACTTCTCACCCTACAAAATAACCAAAATCAATTTTAAGCAAATTATTTCCACATACAGTACAGTACACTGTATCACACATGACCCATATTTTCACACCTCCTTAAGTTTTCTAATATATGACATTGTACAGTATATAATGGTGTAACGGTGAAATCTAAAGCCTGAAAAAATCCTCCAAAACCAGGGGTTGGCTTATATCCCTAGTACAATATTTGAACTTAAAATTCAGCTGAAATCCATGGTACAATAAACAACAACTAAATAGCTGAACTAGGTAATGAAGAGCGTACGTTTTTAGTATAGTGAGGTCCTATCACCCTTCATTAAACACATACAACTGATAACATTTCATTGCTGGTTTTGTTATTAAAGTTTCATTTTCAGTACAGATAACAAGTTGCCTCAGGAAAAATAGCTAAAAGCTAACACATAGTATTTCCCCTCTAGATTTTCACCAACTGCTGTTGACATTCATCCAGTAAATGGTAGTGAATGTAAACAATGCTCACACAGCATTAGTCTACCAACCACCTCAGTCGCACAAATTTTCTTTATTTATTCTTAAGTTATCAAGTGGTGACTACATGTGCTGTTTAAGGGATTGTGTTTGAGTATGATCAAGGTGACAAGTACATACTGTACTGTTAGACGCAGAGTTCACACTTATGCTCAGCTTTTTGGGGGTAGATTTAAACTAATCGTGAATTTTGAGGTAAAAAACTGAAGGCCCCTCATCCCCTCTGTTCCTCCTGCAACATTTGAAGCTAATGAAAATATTTTATAAGGCAGAAACCATTTCTGACGATACAGTTTTACCCCGCCTAACGCGGTTTCACTTAACGCGTTTTCGCATATACGCGGTGCCTTGCCAAAGCTGAACTTTCACTTAACGCGGATTTTTTCCACATATACGCGGTGAGTGTCCGAGACGCTATTTTTAGATTTGCCCCACCCGCCACCCTGCCTGACTGCCTGTTTTAGCTCATAAAATTCATACAAATTACCAGGCCAGAATATAATTTACATTGCTGGAATTCTTATAATTTGGTGATCATTTTGAATATAAACATCATATATTTTGCTTTAAACTTACAATTTTTAGATAAAAATTTTTCTCTAGGTAACTATGGTATCTTTTGTGCAAAATATATGACATTTATATTCAAAATATTCCTGGTCTTACAAGGAATCCAGCAATGTCAATTATATTATCCTAACTTTAGTTTGAGGTATTATTTATTAAAATTTAGTGGTTATCCCACACATCTCCTTGGGACGGTTGGTGGGGGGTGGGGGGGAGGGAGGGACCGACCGACCATCTGTTACCCAGTGAAGAATTATTATTTTTTTTATTAACTGAAGATATTTGTTTTAGCTCATAAAATTCATACAAATTACCCGGTCAGAATATAATTTACATTGCTGGAATTCTTATAATTTGGTGATCATTTTGAATATAAACATCATATATTTTGCTTTAAACTTACAATTTTTAGATAAAATTTTTCTCTAGGTAACTATGTTATCTTTTGTGCAAAATATATGACATTTATATTCAAAATATTCCTGGTCTTACAAGGAATCCAGCAATGTCAATTATATTTTCCTAACTTTAGTTTGAGGTTATCCCACACATCTCCTTGGGACGGTTGGTGGGGGGTGGGGGAGGGAGGGACCGACCGACCATCTGTTAGCCGGCTGTGTAGTGTGAGAGGGGGAGGGAGTTGAGTCCATTATTTGAATGGACATTAACTTGGCGACTGTATTTCTCTATTTCTCTTAAGTATTAATTGTGTGCATGTACCATCATAAAATTAAGATGTTATTTTTACTACAACATAGGTATGTGCCTTCAAAAAGTGGAGTTTGGGGGTCGGGCCGGTTTCTATTGGAATTAATCCCATATGTTCTGTTGTTCACTTAACGCGGATTTCACTTAACGCGGGACCCTCTGGGTTCAATTGACCGCGTTAAGTGGGGTACAACTGTATATAAAATGAAACAAAGTATCAAGACGAAAATAATTATACATTTCTTTATCATTTTTATTTTATAATTAGGAAGACATGCCCAGAGTTTTAAACACCCTCTTCCATTAAAGAGGGTAGTCGTGTTTCAACCCGAGTTTAAAAAAATGAATCCTGAATGACACCGCACTACAGTGCTTAACAGGGAAGAGTGGCGGTAAAATTAACTGATTCCAATAGAATTAACTTATGATACCAGTATTGTAATTTGTTAATTTTACTGCCACACCACCCCATCAAGTACTGTAGTGCAGTGTCATTCATGACATTTTTTTTTAAACTTGGGTTGAAACACGACTACCCTCTTCAACGAAAGAGGGTGATTAAACTCTGGGCGTGAGACTTTAGAGGGCTGGGTTTACAAGGAATGTGGATTTGAGTTGTGACAACTCTGTCAGTACCTATCCTTATAGTCTTGTATGATCAGTCTCTTATGATGTGGAAATCATCATAAATAACATTACAGTAGTACCCCGATTTACGCGGTTTACGCGGTCAATTGAACCCACAGGGTACCGCGGAAAGTGAAAACCGCGTAAAGTGAACAACAGAACATATGGGATTAATTCCAATAGAGACTGGCCCGACCCCTAAACTCCACTTTTTCCAACACAAAACCTATGCTGTAGTAAAAATAACATCTTAATTTTATGATGGTATGTCTAATGCAAAATCCATGATGTTTATATTCAAAATGATCATCATATTGTAAGAATTCCAGCAATGTAAATTATATTCTGGCCCAGTAATTTGTATGAATTTTATGAGCTAAATAAAAAATTATACTTCACCCGCGTATATGAGTAGATGCACCGCGGAAAGTGAAAGTCTGGTTCTGGCGAGGTACCACGTAAATGAGAAATCGTAAATGAGAAATCGCGGAAAGTGAAACCGTGTAAAGCGGGGTAATACTGTACATTACATCTTCAAAAATAGATAAAAAAAAATAATAAATAGTATATATATTACAGGGAAACTGTGTAAATAGGGATTTCACATGATCCAAAATATGTTTAGAAATTTAGTGGTTAATGGCTGTAACCTTCAGCTAACCTAATCTTTTATGTATGTACTGTATTAGGTGAATCCCTTGTTATAATGATTCCCTGTAACTTAAATATGTACACTACACTGTATTAAGGAACTTTAGCTTCAACCAAAGAAAACAGATTTTTTAAACCAACTGCTTTAGGTGTTATTAAAAGGAACATCCAAGAATCATAAAATACAATACAGGTTGAACCTCCCTAATCCGGTACTCTATTGTCCAGCACCTCCCGTCGTCCGGCCAAATTTTAGTTTGCCGGACGGCCGCTAGTACCCACCGGCGCTAGTATCCATGGTTCGGCATACCCTTTGTTTACTTCTGGTCCTCGTGGAGTTCGGTGTGTTCCTAGGTATTTCAAGTGTTTCTGTAATATTTCACTTGTTATTTACCCTTAATATGCCTCCTAAGCACACAGTGGTCCCTCGGTTAACGAACACAATTCGTTCCACAGTCGTTCATTAGCCGAAAATTTCATTAACTGAATTTATTATTTCAATGGGATATTAGGTAATTGGTTCCAACTCACTGAAAAAGTACATACAAAGTACTTACTGTACACCAGTAGTAGAATTAACAAAACATTAAATGTAAACTAGATACAGTACTGTACTGTACAGTATACTGTATAATAATAAATGAAAAACAATAGAATACTGTATTTTAACTTAGTTTGAGGTGTGCATGTCATATTACCGGCAGCCTTGTTTACATATCAAACAGCTGATTGCAGAGGCAGTCGATGATGACATGCCATATTCCTTACAGAGTGCATTGGTTCTAATGCCTTCTTCATGTTTCATAATAATTTGTGCACTGTATACTGTATTATCAATATGTTAACTAAATTTCAGAATGACCAATAATTTTAATGTAAAAATGAAAAAATATTCAAGAGACCAACAAACTCTATGTTCACTCCACTGTAAACAAAGTTAAACTGAGAAGCGTTGTTGTGTGATTCAATCAGCTGATGGGCATGCACAAACTGTTCCCTGTACTGTTTATATTATCAATATGTTAACTAAATTTTAGAATAACCAATAATTTTAATATAAAAAATGCAGAAATATTCAAGAGACTAACTTTCTTGATATTTACTTCATTGGAAACGAATGTAAACATAGAACCAATTATTGTACTGTATTGGCGGACTAGCCGATCAGCTGATGCGCACAACAAAACGTGTTTGTTGTTAGGATTTCGTTAATCGAAGTTTTGTTCGTTAATCGAACTGAAAATCCTTATGGGAGCTAATTCGTTAACCGAAATTTCGTTAATCGAACTGTTCGTTAACCGAGGGACCACTGTATTTATTTTATTACTGTATTTCATTTACTGTACATCTTGATAAAATCACACGGGAAAATGGAAACAACGGAGTACCTATGTGATTTTATCAAGATTTATCTTATCCACGTTTTCATTGTGGATTTACATGAATTACTGTACATATGCTTTTTCTTCTTTACAGGTGAACATCACCGATTTATGTACAGGTACTACAACTATTTTGTCATTTTAAGTGCAGAATGATAAATATTGTTTATCTATTTTCATTTATTACAATTACACTGTATAGTAGAACGTGGATATAACACGAGATACGTTCCAAGAGAGGTCTTTTTAAACCGAATTCACACTAAACTGAAGTGTTGTTTAAATGGAATAATTTAGTTTGGTACTTGAGAGAAACACAAAATACTAAAAAGGCCGAGAGTCTACCCAGATGCACCTCAGCCCATCTCCTAGAATAAACAAAACATTGTTTTTTGTTTTTTTGTATTATGTTAAAACAAACACTCATAAATCAACACAGCTAAAATTAAGGGAAGCGAAATGGTCTGTTTGCTGGCAGGGAAGATGAGGGGGAGGGAGGTGAGGTGATATGTTTGACAGTTGATGCCAAGGTCTAGTGCTTATTTATTTATCTGTCCTTGAGAGTGACTTTAAGTTTTTTCTTATAAAATGTCACTGAACTGACATGGGAGAATACAATTAACAATGCTGGAATTCTTATGATAGTGATTAATTTGAATATAATCATGCTATAGTTTGCACTAGACAAAAATTTTAGTAATCATTTAGTACAATATTTTGATTACATGTGCAGTACAGCTTTGCCCTTAGGACAGTGTAGCGTGCCCAGAGGAACATTAGGCGCAAAATTTTAAACATGATGCTCCAGATTGGCACATCAATAATACTATGTATTTTACAAAGACCACCTGTGGTTTGGAAAATTCTATAGTCCGGCACAGGTCAGGTCCAAAGGGTGCCGGATTAGGGAGGTTCAACCTGTAATAATAAAAACCTTACTATACTAACCTGAGGGCTTCTACACGGTAGACAGAAAGAACATAAATGCACTGAGCAAATGAAAATTTATTGATAATCTGTGTAACGTCAGCAGTGTGTTCAAGTAGACTCAGAATTTGCTGTCGTAGCTCATTTAATTCACTCTGTAAAAACCAGATAGAAGTAAAATTAATAACTGTGGTTTACTTGTAAGCCATAAGTAGGGAGTGTTTTAGAGGGAGGGGTGAGGAATAATTCCCAGGCCAGCAGTAGAGAGTGAAGAAATATTAAACAAGGTACTGTAATGGCATAACACCTGGAAAGGGTATATTGGAAAGAAAATGATATATGCAATAGAAGGTGAAATGGAACCCTGTCCTAGCTCCAGTTATAATGGGGTCAAGTTGTAGTGAGTTCAAACCTACGCTACCCATTATGACTGGAGCATCATAAAATTAAAACTCCTTAAAACTGAACCCAATCTCAATGGTTAATTTGGGTTAGTTTGGAACTTAGGATGACTCGGCCCTACATGAAGAAGTTGCCATATGAGGCTCGTGTCCTAAATCCTAGTTAATACATCTTCATCCACACACATGTCCAATATCTATTTTTCTTGCTATACAGGAGAACAGAATACATAAAAAAGTGGATGATAATATAGAGAAGAGAAACAAGATGAGCAACAACCAACTGAGAAATGATCTACAGGTTGAGCCTCTTTTATCTGGCATTCTGCTAACCAACAGCTCCTAATTAACTACCATACACTTGTCCAATCAGCCACAGACCTAATTCTACCATCACCTGATGATGTTTAAATTATAATTATTCTCCATTAAACTAAACAATAATAATAAAATAATAAAACAAAATTTCATATAAAAGACTCAAGGTCTGTGGCAGCTCATCTATTTGGGCTGAGGCTCTTACACTCTACTGGCAGATGTACAATATCATGATCATGAAGCTGAAAAAAGTTGTCAACTCATCTACAGTATACAAATTACAGCAGTTTCTCAATAATTCACAAAATACAAATTTTCATTCCTAAATACACATTTACCTCTATTACTACCTCTATTTTAAATTTTGCTGTCAAATACGGCATTCATAATTTACAGCCGAGTGCCGACATTGTTTACATAAGAAACCATTAAGTTGTGGAAATATCATTTCATTGTTCTAATTTGCCTTCAAATTAAGAAAATATAATCTAAAACTATGAAAGACGAAAAATTAAAAGTAATAAGTGACCTGTCTGTGGGAGGCAGAGCAGTTGGGTGGTGGACTGAGGGGTTCCTCTCCCCATGTTCCTGAGCTGAGCACACACCTTTAATCTCAATAGTGCAACATAATGCAATTTCACCATAATTTCCATTTTATTGAGATTCATTTGGTACCAAGTTAATAAAACATTATCATAAAAAAAGAACATGAGTTATTGTATGGTATTAAATTCCTGACTCATTATTGAAATAGTGTGGTCACAGCCAGCCCAGCACCTGCCTGTTTCCATGTTGGTGTACTGGCATAACCCACATGAAATTGTGAGAAGGAAAGGAGCTGTTTACATATCCCTCATATAATGATGTGGTTGTGATCCTGAAAAACCTAATGTTAAGTGAAATTATTGGTAAACATGGAGTAACAGCAAAATACAGAGGGAGAACAACTGATTCAAACAGTAGGGCAGTAAACACATATGTTCACTTCACACACGTTATATTTTCTTAATTTCTCAGCCACATTAGAGTACAGTATTGTAATGATTTTTCCACAACTTTTATAGTTTCATTACATGTAACAATGGCAACATGCCATCTCACAGGTCCACCTCATCCTCAGTTTTTTTCCCTTTCCCAGTGGGTCAAGCTATCGCCAAGCCGAATTTTAACCTAATGCTAAGTGAAAAAGGATGTCAAAATTTTTTTATCACTAAACATAATTAACATTGAGTGAATCAACGCCAAACAAAGGATACCTGTATAAAATTACTTTTTGTATAATAGTTGTATCTATGTGTTACTGTATATTTATGATGTATTATGTACAGTATTACGTTTAGTGTTCATTAAACAGTTTTGGAACAGTTTATGAATATTTCTTGGCCTATGGAACTAAACTAATTATTTCTATTTAAATCAATTAGACTATAATTCTCGAAATGATATTTCACGATATCATCTGGTTCCTAACCCATGAATTATCAAGACTCCAATGCACTTGTTTTCATACTGCTCTTCAAACAAATAATTACACAAGGTACAGAATAATCAGTGAAAATACTCTTCAAACTTTTGTAAAGAAGTCCATATAGTTAGCATCTTACAGCTGTAGCTCAGTGTTACCAAGACATGACACTGGTACTATACTGCAGTTGACAGCTAGTAATTTATTCTTGTGATACTATTACATTCATTTATTTTGTCTCAGGTTAACTACTGTAACTCTTTATGGGTCTGCCAACTTAATTATCTACTGAAGAAAGTTCAGACAGTGTTGAACAGGGTTCCCAAGGTTAATTTTGCTCTCCCACCACCCCATTTTTGATCGAATTGCAGTGGCTTCCAGTTAAATCTACGACAAACTCTGCTTATTGATGCCTAATGACTTTTAAAGCACTTGTGTTTGGTGAACATGAAGTATTTGGTTAACCTGTTAAATCCTCTGACCACAAGTTCTGAAATGATTTTGCATTCAGTAGTAGTGATGATCCCTCACTCCTTGATTTGCCTAGATCAGTACGGGAATGTTCTTTTGCTGACCAACCCTTTTCTTACACTGTACACCCATGAAGCAGCTGACTTCTGTGGAGGACTTTAAGTAACAACTTAAGACCTTTCTTTTTTTGAAAGCTTATGATCCTGAAGGGGGTACAGTGATGGAGAATTACTGTACGGGGTTTAGGAAGTGTTACATCTTAAGGATATATGAACTATATTTTTATAGATATTTTTGGGTAATATTTTTATATTTTTATTCTCGGGTCTTTGACTTTGTAGTGTTTCGAACACGTGAATACTTTTTAAGAACTTGCACTTCTGAGAAACGAAAAATCAGCTATTATTATGAGAATTATTATTATTATTATAATTTATCAAGTTCACCACTTTTCAGCTTAATTACCAATCAGGTGCTCTGTCTGTTCTTTGTTATAACTCTGATTGTCCATGGTTAGTACAGGAGGAAACTGGAGTACCCAGAAAAACTGTGACGGTTTGGTAGTGTCACACTGGATAACACGTTTCTCGCATCCGACCAGGGGATTGAACTCAAAATGCAGTGGGTCAAGCATGGTCCTGCTGCTAGTGTTGTGTGTTTATTGGACATGGGGAATACTAAGGTTGAGGAAAGAATTTTACAGAAGATAAAAGTTGCAGGTGTCCTGTAAACCCAAGTGAGTATAATAATCACAAGTATTTTATGTGCTAAAAGTCTGAATATTCTTACTCAAAGGTGAATATTGTAACTCGCAAATAAATACTATTACTCACAACTGAAACAGAATCATCCCGCACTGCATAGGTATACTTGAGTTCCTTCATCTCTGAACGATGCTTTGTGTGGGACAACAAGAGAGGAGAAGTCACTGCAATGTCACAGACAGCCATATGCCAATCTGCAGGCCACAACCCTGAAACACACCAATATTTGTCTACATGAAGTTTTTGTAAATGTTTAGGTAGATGTGCATATATTCTCTACTGCTCACAAAGGAGGGATATGTAACAAAGATGAACAAGACTGACAACTTCCATTCCAGCTATTGGAGAGTTTTTGGGACCAGGAATTCCAGCAAGCGGGGAGATTACCGAGATTAAAATGAAAACTTTACAGATATTATAACTATACTTCAGTCACTCCCAGCATATACTTAATTGTTAATATCATTGCAAATACAGAATATAAATAGATGTTAAATAATGAAGAGCTCTATATTAACACAATGCCCCTCCTTCCACCAGCTAAACAGTTGTATTGATAAAATCTGCTTTGGGCCCTGGTTGTAAAGCTCATGTTTAAGGAGTAAAACTGATTTTCTTACTTTCAATATTCCTCCCTTCCTATCTGTGTGGGATGAAGTGGATCAATTAAGCCTTATAAAAATAATACACTGCTCCACCTGCTTTTCATTATTTTGAGGCTGATAGTATAATGATTTACTAAATCAATCCTGGTTCATATAACTAAGGAAGGTGTTGTCTGAAGACATAGAACTACCCAATAAGCAGCCAAATTTTTGAGAAGTTGCTTGGAAGAGGGTGTCAGCAAAATTTTTTATTATTGCTATGGAGTCATCAACATTTCATACCAGACTCCTGCTGTGTGAAGCCCATAACAATGCAGAATAACCAGAAGTCTCGGAACAGCTTCAACAGACGTGGTTTGGGTTCTTTTATTGGAGGCACACGTCGCACTAGCACCGCTATCACAGGGATCAACACTCCAAGGTTTCCTGCACTGCTAGATGCCTGAAAATATATATTAAAGAGCTAAGTATTATATCGATTCATCAAAAAATATATTATGATAATAAGCCATCTTGGAAGTATTGTATTCACTAAGCCCTATTTAAACACTATAATTATTATACTTCTAATAGCAGTTTATTGTTAGAGATCCAAACTGCTCCTTTAATTATAATCTCCTGCTGGAAACTGAACAAGATAGGAAAGCTTGAATTACACAAATTCTTCATAACTTCATTACCTGCTAAGTCCAGTTATCTCTTTTTTATGTAAATGTAAAGTCCTGTGAGTACTTTATATGTTACTAAAATATTAAGCTATTTTCCTCCTAAAAAATTTTGATACCAGTAAATTTGTTTAATGTATTGTTGTACTGTAGCAGCAAACCATTCTATCATCTGGACTTGTATATAAAATCCAGGTCCCAAGGTGTTCACATACAGTACAGTACTATGTTGCTGACTGTACAGGAAAATTTTGTATAATATTTTCAAAATATCGAGAACACCATACAGTACCTTCAACACAGCTGAACACCATACAGTACCTTCAACACAGCTGAACACCATACAGTACCTTCAACACAGCTAAACACCATACAGTACCTTCAACACAGCTGAACACTATACAGTACCTTCAACACAGCTGAACACCATACAGTACCTTCAACACAGCTGAACACCATTCAGTACCTTCAACACAGCTGAACACTATACAGTACCTTCAACACAGCTGAACACCATACAGTACCTTCAACACAGCTAAACACCATACAGTACCTTCAACACAGCTGAACACTATACAGTACCTTCAACACAGCTGAACACCATACAGTACCTTCAACACAGCTGAACACCATACAGTACCTTCAACACAGCTGAACACTATACAGTACCTTCAACACAGCTGAACACTATACAGTACCTTCAACACAGCTGGATGTTTTTCTGAGTTTTGTTTTGCTGCCAACCCAAGCTTGACGAACAGTTCCAATAAACGCATTAACAACTTATCCATCTCAGCTTCTCCTTGTATGTTGGCACAGATATTTGCTAATGCATTATGTACAGCAGTAGCAACATGTCTGGAACATATAAATACAGTCACCATCATATAATACCACTATACATGTTGGAGTAGAGGTGTGTAAAATGGAAGCCTTGTCTTACAGTGACGGCATTACACTTCACACACTGGGAAAAAAATCCACCGATCTACATGTAGGAAACCAATGAGTTATCACCTGAGTAGTTCTCTGTGATATAAAAACCAAACATTAAAAATGAAACTCACAGAACAAGGCAAAGTCATGAAGGGTTCACTTGATTGGAACAACCAACCACATGAGCACAATATAACCGTTAGCCGGAACAATTGGTGCAGAGCACTTCCGGGTAACGAGGCAACTCTCTCGGGGCCAGAAAAAATCCCTCGTTCCTGGAATTTTTCAGGTAACGGAAAAATTTTCTCGGAAGTTCCCGATATTGCCCATTCCGTCATCTCTTGAGCCCGGAAAAATATCCCCCATCCCCAAAATTTTCAGGGAACTGTCTGAGAAAAATTTCTCCGAATTTCCAGAAAATGCACCAGATTTTCATCTCACAGACCAGGAAAAAAAGTCCCTCATCCCTGGAATTTTCTGGAAAATGTGCCCCCCCCCCAGAAAATTTTCCCCAAAGCTGGAATTTTCCAGCTTTTGTCACGATTTTCCAAGACAATTTCAATTCCAGTTATAGAAGTTCCGGGTTTGAGGGATTCCGGCTAACATAGAACTTACTGCACAGTAAGTCCTCGCTTAACATCGGGGTTACGTTCCTGAAAATGCAACATTATACTTAACAACGTTAAGCGGATCATTTTTCCCCATAATAAATAAATAAAATACGGGAGTTATGTCCCTGAGCCTCCCTTTGCCCAATGAAATACATTACATATACAGAAAATCATTGCCATTTTTATAGAAAATAGTGCATGCATATACAACTACTAAGTTTGTATTGGTACTCACCGATGGGTGGTGGTGGTAGAGCGAGTGTGTGGTGAGTAGTGGAGTGGAAGAGGAGGGAGGGAGATGAGGAGGGTAGCGAGTCACTGACACCCGGCGGGTAGCTTCTCCCCCCTCTCAAAATGGTTTAAAACCTCCATTTTCGTAGCAAGGCTAATGGTCTTACGTTGCTTTTTCACAACTAGCATCAGTAGCACTTGATGGGAGCTTGGAAGCCATTTCGAATGGTTACAGTACAGTATTTATTGCAAAAACACTTAAACATGCATGAACGCTGTGGAAGCCTCACAAAGACTGGAGTCGCTTGGGGACTCTGTGACATTCCTCACCGAGAGAGGGCGATGCGCCATAAAAAGTAGTCCGTGATGACGCAAAACAAAGTTGTACCGAGTTATCGGGACGTTAAACGAATTTTTGGTATCTAAAGATTAGCGAAGTAGAACCGAAACAACATTAAGCGGGCCGACATTATACGAGGGCTTACTGTATTGTACAGTATACAACTCATAAACAAATTAAAAACAAGAATCACCTTACAGAGCAACATATAATGCGAGTTAATTGGTCAGTAACTGTAATTCTCTTTTCATCTTTTGAGCACCTGTAACTTGACATCATTATGAGCACCCATGGGATTCTTAGCATAATACTAAACACTTATGATTCACCTGGAGTCATTTCAATATTTCAATTAAAAAATGGGTGAAGAAGAGTATGAGAATAAGCTGTGGATGTATATATGAAGTGCAAAGAACATGTAAACTCACCAATCAATAAAGATGATACATGTTCAAGAGGAAACAGAGATATAACAAACAAATATTGTAGATTGAAAACACTGATAATCCAATATGATCTTAATAAACTAAACTAAACACCGTTACACAGGAGTTACACACTGTACTTGAAAAACAATATCATGGTTATTGAACTCATGGAAATCAAACTAAACTGCTAGTGAAAAATAAAGGGCTAAGTTTCTGGATTTCAAAAACATAAGAGCCACTCCACAGATCTCACTTCTCACAAAGAAATAATCAACATTAAAGAGCATTAATGATAGGTTAATGTCTATCAACCTCACGCACCACTGTACTGTACAAACTAAACACAATTAATACACAGCTAAAGGTTTGTTAATAAACACTCTGAAGATGTTATAGATATTAATATGCACTAAAGTTTATTTCCAATTGTATTTCTTTTGACAGGTTACTGTATATATTCTTAATAATTCATGTACAGCAATATATTCAAACACTATCTGTTCAAGCTATGTAATGAAGGTCAACAGTGAAGTGTCTTACCTATACTGCTTCATGCGCTGGTCTTGAACTGCACCAATTCCGTACGTGCCACTGCTTGCTTCTATGATGATTTTACTGAACTGCTCCATTATCTCATCATATACCTTGGGCTAAAATATTAAGTAAATAGTTCATTATTAATAATGAGATTCATAAAGGTATAAACAGTCTTCAGATGTGAACAAATACAATGTTCCATCACCTCTTAGTTCTATCTGATATTCTACTTTGTAAATTCAACATTTGTATCATTCTATGTAAAGAGAATCCAAATGTGTTATACAATTCCAAAGAAAAAGACTTACATCATTCTTTGCCAAAAGCATACAGCCTAACTGGTCAACAATTAGTGTATCCAGGTTGGATGGAGGGCGGCAGAAGCGCTGGAGGAGACACTGGTGAAGGATGGTTTCAGTGGTACGAGGAGAATCCTTCAGTGCCACAGCCACGTGGCCTAATGCCACCACCACATTGTGTGATATTACAATATTATCACTGAAATATATGAAGTACTCCTGAGTTACAATGACCAATAAAATGGACTACAGTAACACGTGAAGACCTCAAGCCTCACTCAAGTTAAAAGAAGCTTAGAAACTATTTGTTCAGAATAATAAACAAGTTCACAGTCTATGTAAACAACATGAAATTGTGGTAGTGGATGTTGTGGTTGATATTGTAGCGTGTTATTGGGGAAAGAGGTAGTGATGGGTGTTGTGACTGAGTGATACACACTATAAATCTCACACTTTAGGAATTAGTATTTTTTTAAATTTTATGGGGGTCCCCGACTTACGAATAAGGTTAAACTTTAAATTTACAATATTTTATTTACCTGATGATTTATTATTTACTTTCATTGACTGCATTTTGTCTTTCTATTTCTTCTTTTGTCTTAAATTAAGTGCTTTTAGATGTTTATAAGGACTTAGGCTATAATATCGTGGGATTTTAAACATTGTTATATAAATAAGGTATGCTCATAGCATGCTTTTCAACTGTGTCATCCCAGGTAGTGTGCAGTCTGGCCTAATTCCCTGACCTGACATGACCCCTACTGTGTTGATTATTTCTTACTGTCAACACTTACTATGGTTTATTGTGTCTGTCCAAGATAGTGGATTGTCTAGAACTTAAGATCATTTAAATAAGCCTCTTATATGCAAAATGTAGGAAGTACTGTACAGTACCATAATGTGATACATTATACAGACAAAAAAATTGCTATAATAAATATTTGTAATGTGCTGTGGGCAAATAGGTTCGGGAAAGAAGTGTGCAATGATTGTTCAACAATTTCAATTGGTTGCTCACTTTGATAATCCAGATAGGGCAAAGTTTTAAAGTTCCAAAATGCACAATCAACAGAGTAAACATACCTTTACAGGTAAAAATTCACCATTCATAATACAGTCAACCCTCGCTTTACGCGGTCCCACATTCCGCGTTTCCACGGTACCCTGCCGAAACCGGAATGCTCACATTCCGCGGTGCGTGTACCCCTTTACGCGGAAAGCGGCTGGCGAGCCGCGCCATTTTTTAATCCAAACCTCCCGCCATCTCTCCCACCCTCTCCCGCCATCCGCCATGTTGTGTAAGCGGCACGAGCAGGGTGCGCACAAGGTCGCCCAGTCATCAAAACATAACCGAGTTCTTCACCCGCCACCCACCACAGCCGGCCCAAGTCAGTGATAGTGATAATTATACTGAGGATATGGACTTATATGCACTTTGAGGGGTTTGACAAAGAGGCCCTGCAAGCCTCTGTGGTGGATAGTGATACAATTGATACAAGTGATACAGGTGAGGGCCAATAATCTGCCCTCTGCCTCGGAACCAACCCCCCATCCCCGTGTGCCCAGCCATCTTTTCTACTAAGGTAAGTGTTAAGAAACCTAATATTATTGATATTTCTCTTTATTATTAATTGTGTGTGCATACCATCATAAAATTAAGAAGTTATTTTTACTACAACGTAGGTATTGTGTCTGAAAAAGTGGAGTTTGGGGGTCGGCCCGGTCTCTATTTCAATTAATCCCATATGTTATATTGTTCACTTTACGCGTTTCTCACTTTCCGCGGTACCCTGTGGGTTACATTAACCGCGTAAAGTGAGGGTTCACTGTACATATAATTTTTTACCATTTAATTGTTAGGTAAGATGATCTCAACCTGGTATATCAGGATAGTCACAAGAACTTAACCCTGTAATCTACCCAGTCTGTACTATACGGTATTACTCCTAAAGTATACAGAAGGTAATCTGTGAAGGAGGTGCATTCTTAAAAGCAATTAGTTATTCAATTGTCTTCCTTTTAGTAGTTCAAGCAAGATGCCATTTGGAACATACTACCAAAAAGAGAATTCATCACCAAAACTTTTTTAGTATACAGTTGAACCTCGATTTACGTGGTTCTCGTTTACGCGTTTGGTCATTTACGCGGTACCTTGCCAGAACCGGGATGCCCGATTTACGCGGTGAATTTACTCATTAACGCGGGTGAAGTATAATTTGTTTATTTACTGAAGATATATATGTTTTTAGCTCATAAAATATACAATTTACATTGCTGGAATCCTTACAAGATGGTGATCATTTTAAATATAAACATCTTAACATTTGCATTAAATACAAATTTTAGATGTAATTTAAGGAGATCATGAAAATAAGACAAATATTTTATCCTTTGTGCAAAATATATGAAGTTTACATTCAAAATATTCCCTGACCTGCAAGGAATCCAGAAATGTCAATTATATACTCCTAACTTTAGTCTGAGGTATTATTTATTACTAAAAATGTAAATACTTGTATACTGTTTTCTCCCAAACATTTCTCTGGTAGGGAGGAGGGAGGGAAGGTGGGGGGTAGGGAGGGAGGGAGGGACCCAGTGAGCGTGGGAAGAGGGGGGGGGGAGCGGAGGTGGGGCATTTTGATTGACAGATAGTGTCTGGGTGAATAATAATTTGTTTATTTACTGAAGAAATTTGTTTTAACTCATAAAATTCATACAAATTACCCGGCCAGAATATAATTTACATTGCTGGAATTCTTATAAGATTTTGATTATTTTAAATATAAACATCATGGAATTTGCATTAGACATACAAATTTTAGATCTAATTTAAGAATTTTGATTACAAAGCCAAAACTTTATCTTTTGTGCAAAATATATGACATTCATATTCAAAATATTCCTGGCCTTGCAAGGAATCCAGCAATGTCAATTATATTATTCTAACTTTAGTCTGAGGTATTATTTATTACTATACCTTAAAATCTAGTGTTTTCACCCAAACATTTCTCAGAGAGGGAGGAGCCAGCGAGCATGGGAAGAGGGGGGAGTTGAGTCCATTATTTGAATGAACATTAACCTGGCGACTGTATTTCTCTTAAATATTAATTGTGTGTGCATACCATCGTAAAATTAAGATGTTATTTTTACTACAAAGTAGGTATTACAGTATGTCGGTATTGTGTCGGAAAAAGTGGAGTTTGGGAGTCGGCCCAGTCTCTATTTCAATTAATCCCATATGTTCTGTTATTCCATTTACGCGTTTCTCATTTTACGCGCTACTCCGCGGGTTCAATTGACCGCGTAAATCCGTAAATCAGGGTATTACTGTACAATATCTGGTGACTAAAAATCATTTAGTTAATACCTGTATTGTATAACACTGTACCCAGACGTTGACTGCCCAGAATCAGTACCAATTTATCATTGTAAAAGTACAGTACAGTACGTAGAAACTATTCATTATTTTTTTTTTTTAATTCTTTCAAGACCAGGCAACAAGGAAGTTAGGTGGAAAGTACTGTATTGGGAATTTGTAAAGTAATGTAAGTGTGGTGGTAGGTTTGACATAGAAATTAAATTAAGAATAGCTGAAGCAAAAATAGCATTTAATAAACTTAGGGAATATTTTAATAGTATATTTCTCTTATTTAAGAAAAAGGCTGCTTAAATGAAATGCTTTGTCAGTACTGTTCCATGGGTTCAAAGTGTGCACACCTTCAGCAGACACTTAAAGGAGGCTAGAGATCTTCACATATTGATAATAAACAAATGAAGATGATCTAGGAATAGTTAGTGCACTGAGCAAAATACTGAACCATTATTAAAGAAGATAAGAGAAATGCTTTGACCATATAACTAGGAATGAGAGGATAATGGCAAAGATAAAAATAGGCAATAAGAGGTCCACAGGATGGCAGACATGGGGGATGGAAGAATGAAATCAAAAGAAGAGATCCCAAGAGAGATGCAAAATCTGCGAGGATTGATTATAACATAGAAAAGAATTGAGTGGAGGGCCATGGTAGCATGCACGCAAGCACACACACACTGAACGATGGGGATAAAAGACATGGTACACATAAATTAAAAGATACATAAACAAAAAAGGCATAAAAACTAACCTTTCTGGTAGACGATCATAGCCAGCTTTTTCTCTACTGGATATTGAGGATATAAAAGCAAGCACAGTGTTGGCATCTACTGTCAGTCCTGACTTGAGTGCAATACACAAGTTCTCTATGGCCGTATCTCTCAGTCTCTCAAATGCTGCTGCCGAGGCTGACACTGGCCTGTTGCTCGTGTCTCCAGTAACTAGGTATTTCAAAATCATATTACAGTACCTGTATTAAACATCCCAAAACTAAACAGAATACTGTAATATAAGTCAAACATATCATTTGAAAATTTCCCTAAATAAGCACAGCAAGTATAGACAGTCCTCACTATACGACAGGGCTGTGTTCCACAGAAGTGAAGGTAATTCCACAGAATGCAAAAGTTTGTAGAGTGAAGGTGATTTTCTGGTAAATACAGTGTTACAAATGGAAGATACATTCCTGTGGCCTGATATTCAGACACCTTACACAACCAAAACTAACCCAAATAAATAGAAAAAACATAATAACTGAATAAATCAATACAGGACATCAATAAAGATAATTTAAATCACTAATGACAATAAATTCATAAAGAGAGAATAGTAAATTTAGATGTCATGGTGGATGACTTAAATTTAATTATGATACTGCTTATCTAAATCCAGAAATTTTTCATACATTTCCCTCACAGAAGCAAGGACACTGGCCCTGAACATTGTGTAGCTTCCATGCCTATAAACCACACATAACCCAGACCATGAACGGACCGACATACAGACGCTCCCAGAGGCCTATATCTGCAACTCATCATGTTCATAAGAAAAAAAAAGTAACCGTTCTTTTTGTTCATATAGAATAACAGTGCACAGAATAAAAATACGAAGGACAGGTTTCTGATCATCTGACTCCCCCAGGTTGGTAAAAGAAAATAGTGCATGTACTCCTCTATTTACCAACAAGGTATATTCCTGAGGCTTGTTCGTAAGTCTAACTTTACTCTTGTAGATACCGAACATATTGCAAAAAACAAGAAGAAAAAAGTAAGAAATATTATCACAATTGTAAAGTAATAGCCTTTATGGTTAGCCAAAACAGGGGCAGATCCAGGGGAGGGTTCTGGGATCCGGACCCCCCCCCCCTTTTTTCAAGAGAAAATTCTAATATTTTTTTCTTTAATGCAGTATTGTACTCTGGCATTTTTGACATAAAAAAAAGTAATTACTATTGACATCAGAATATCTCCTAATATCAAGTGCACTTGGATTCAAAAGGGCCTCAAAATGCCCATGATATTGGACAGATTAAAAAAATAAATTGAGGGTGAGGGGGGCTTAGGGCTCCCCCTCACCCCCCCAAATCCCCTGGCTGGGTGGGCTCACTGTGCTCGCCATGTTCCCCCACCCACAAAGTTCTTCTTGGACTCCCCCCTTTTGATATTCCTGGATCTGCCCCTCCAAAAGGCTGAAGCAAACTCCCAACTCCCTGTACCTTCTTTCCCAGTACAGTATTCAGAAACTATACCACCTACCTTTCCTATGTTATTTAACAAATGTGTTACTTCAAGCAAAATTTATATACAACCTAGATGAAAAAATGCAGCTAAAATCATTAAGGAAAAGCTAAATAAAAGTTTTACACAATCGCCACTTGCATACACACTGGCTGCTTGGCCTCAACGCTCACCATAACAACGCAGCCCAGCTGGTATACTGCCTCTGTTAGCCCCTAGCACCAGTGTTCCCACACTCGACTCCCCTCCCCTCCCGCTCCCTTTCTCAGCATGCTAACTCTCGCACACAAAGAAATGTTAATAAATTCTAAGTTTAACCTTATACAATAGTTTTTCTTTTACCTTTTTTGCACATTACAGGTATCCCTCGTTTAATGATCGGGATGCATTCCTGAAAAAACGATCATTAAGCGAAATGTTTGCTAAACGAGGGATAACAAGAGATAATATCCTTAATGAGGGATAACAAAGAATACTATCCATGGAGATGGCACGTAATTGTGTAGCCGAGTCGCCGACTTGCCTTTCAGTAGCACCAAGGGCAGGTGAGGCTGAATTGTGAGCTATGTTATTGTTCAACTCGTAATTTGAGGTAAATATGCTTAATTTTCTTCATTTTTTTACTGTTAGATGCACACACAATTGTTCATACAAAATGTGCCAAAAAAAATATTTTATCATAAGGTGAAAAACATAGAGAATAAAAAAATTTTATGTGCTGGGAAGTGAAAAAGGAGGGGAGAGCAGCATGGGGATCTCCCATCTGTTTGCTGTCTTGTGTCTCGTGTGGAGTGAAACAATTGCCTAATGGCAAAACGAGGGTAATTATGACGAATTTCCTATAATAATACACTACGGTACACTACAGTAAAGTAACACTCATCAAGTCCACATCCAAGTATTTTAGCAATGAAGTTTGTCCCTTCACTACTCATGTGATGCCGTATAATGTCAAGCTTCACCGCTAAGCTCAAGAACTTGCGGGAAAGTTTGGTCTTGCCTGATGAGAAAAGCAAAACAGCAGCGCGCTTAGCCGATATCATAATGTTTACTCACTTTACATAATACGTATCTCAATAGTGCAGGGTAAACAAACTGTTAGTACAAGTTGTACCTCTCTAGTCCGGCAACCTCGGGACCTGACCGGTGCCAGACCATGGAAATTGCCGGACCATGGAAATTCACCCTTTTCCTGGATAGATAGTGACTTGTGCTTATGCCTGGAAGCACTAGCACCACTTTCTCTTCGTCATGGTCTCTTTGAAGACATATTGAAGGGTTAAATGTCGTATAGTAGCTTCTCAAATTTCGCGAGTTTTTAATTCTTAACGTATTTTATTGGAACACACAAAAAAATAAATAAATAAAAATTTTGATGGCGGAAACTTGAATTTCGACGGGTTTGAACGGCCCTCCAACGTGCAGACGACGTGCATAATCGTGTAAACAGCGTCATTTCTCTTATGTACAAAAGATTCATTATTGTTTATTACTGAATGTCTTTTTTATTGAATTAATGTTTATGTGTGCAAAATGAGCAATATATTTCATTAATAATACGTAGAATATTAAAACACAAGAGGAAATGACACAGCATTGTTTTCGTTGATTACAAAACCAGTGACTGACTGGTTCTACATATAAAACTGAAGAAAATAAGACCTTGGTTGTAGCTGTAGTAAAATTAATATGGTTGTTTTAAGTAATGTTATTTAATGTTAATAAATGGAACAATAGAAGTAGCTAACGATAATGGTAAAGAAAAAGAGAGATCGCATACGTAAGTGCGCATGTGCACACGTGAAAACATATCGCCATTACATTACATAAGAATATGAAAGCAACACTTATTTACTGTTCATATATATTTTAATTAATGTTTCTGAATTTGTTTTTATTGAATTAATGTTTGTGTGTGTGCAAAATTAACAATACAATTTATTAATAATACGTGGAATATTAGAGGAGACGAGACGGCTGCCGGCATTGTTTATGTTAAAGCTTACGAAACCAGTGACTGATTGGTTCTACATATAAAACTGAAGAAAATAAGACCCTGAGTTTAGCTGTAGTAAAATTAATGTAAAAAATGAATATGGTTGCTTGAAGTACCTGTAATGTTATTTAATGTTAATAAATGGAACAATATAAGTAGCTAACCATTAATGGTAAAAAAAAAAGTGAGACTGCTCGTATGTAAGTGCGCACATGTGAAAATATATCGTCATTACTCTACATAAGAATATGAAAGCAACACTTATTTACTGCTCATATATATTGAAGGGTTAAATGTTGTACTCTGTATAGACAAGCAGAGAGAGAGAGAGCAGCCGAACTGCCGGATGTAAACAAACCTTAATTTCCCGCGGCTTTTTTTTTTTTAAGGGGATTAGCCCACCCGGGCATAGGTCACTGACCCACATTGGGGCCTGAGGGGCAAAAATTTAATACTCCTGTAATAATAATAATAATTCAGATAAGTAAAAAAAAAAAACTGCCTATCTACCTATTGGACAAACTAAAATCGTTCCGGACCACGGGAGTTTCCGGACCACAGAATGCCGGACTAGAGAGGTACAACCTGTACAGTATATTTTCAATAACCTGTAAAAGTCACAACAATTACAGCAACACAGAGCAATATGGACAATGTACGTCGATCGATAATGTACGCAGCGATAACAGCGAAGCAAGGAAGACAAAGATCAAACTATAGGTGGTAAACACTAGTAGTACAAGGCGCGGGTGGGTAGTTGGCACACGGATAGCGTAAACAATTAATGCCAGTAGAGAAGTGCCCTTGGAGCACAGAATCCTCATCTTTCTGGCTTCCCTCCTCAATTTTTCCCAGTAAGTTGAAGATTGCTAAACTGAAAATTGACGATCGTTAAATGAGAAATGGGTGTTAAAATTTTTATATGGCTAAGTGACCGTTCATTATATGAGGGATACCTGTATGTTATAAGGATTGATTGATTGGATTGTGCGTATGTAAATGAGTAAAAAAAAATAATAACCATAAGATAGTTCACAGCTTGGCAGCAAGAGGGCTAAGGGATGTGGCTACAGTGACGAACCAATTTTGGTGACAATGCCACTAACAATGTTAACAGGTGCAAACTACAAGAAAATTATCTGTAAATCTTCATTTGCATCAGGTATTTGTAGACTTCATGTGGCATATACAGTAAATAAGGTTCTGCTCTTCATGTAGCAACATAAAGAAAGAATCTAAGGATATGGTTGATGGGCCCAGAATAAATGAGTTTACCGATAAGGATAACCTACCATGAGTCTGTATTGGGTCATTAACAGTAAATGAGCCAATATTGAGTAACTTATTAATTTAATAATTTATAAACTTTGAATGTGTGAAAATGCATATAGCAGTAGTGTGTATAATGAGGACTGCCAATATATATATCAAAAGGTATATATTTCTTTTAAGATATATATTAATAGCATTTAACACTTTTCAATGACAGGTGCAACTTACTCCACTTGAAAAGTATATAACAACTGTGCAACCAACTGCTTAAAACAAAAAGGTTACTTATATACACCAAACAGTGTATATAATCTAAATTAATGCAAACAACTTTTATAGCAAAATGATTCTGCCATTAGCAGATACACTCAAGGTGAATAACAAATATGTAAATGCTTTTAATAAATATAGTACATTACTCAGATGGTCTTTTCAATGTTGATGAAATTTTGTCTCACAAAATGGGAAATAAAGGAAAATTTGAATATTTTAGCAAATGTGGATACTATACTCATAAAGTGGGCATGATGCTCAACAGAAGACACACAGTGGCCATGAAGTGGGAGTTTTTCAGAGGCATTGTAACCATTCAGAGGGAATGATTGACCATGGCCACTGTGAAAGTTCTAAGCTTGAGATACTAACCTTTTACAGTTAAGTTGCCCTGATGTGGGGTCAGGAAGTCAGACTGTTGACGGTGGAGCTTTAAGAGGATGGGTGATGGACTAACTAGGAAATCCTGAAGGTAGTTAATGCATGTCCCAGCAATATTTGGAAACTTTTCAGCAAGTTTACCTAAGCCCTGAAAGTAGTTTACATATGTTATTCATGTTAACCATCTACTTTTGATCATCATAACCAATGTGTGACCTAATTGAAGATAAGGGTCGCAAACACTGACCATTAACAGTTGAGCTACTACCCAAAGTAAGTCAAAATCCCTAATTATTATTAAAAGTCTTGATTGGGAAAATCAGGGTCTTTCTTCAGTACAGTATATAATTATCTGTACATACTCTAATGTTCATATATACCAGGGGTGGCCATACTTGCTTAACCTAAGAGACGCATATGATAATCTTCAGATATTCGACAGCCGCAAGACATGAAGAAAATATACACATGTTTTTAGTGTTAAATACACATTCTATTACAAAAATTATGTGCAAATATTACTAAGAAATACATGTAAGCAGTAATATTTACTAATGTATGTAGTTTTTAAATTGTTAAATTTTATGTTTCAATATTCAGGAGTACAAATACACTATACCTAATGTTATCAAAATCTTGAGCGATTTTTTTTAACGGTACTGAGCATGTTTAATACATAATGAACTACGAGCACATCTCAGAAAAAATATGAAAGTCTGTATTTCAGTCATATTAAATGGGATTGTTAAAGGAAAAATTTGAAAATATTTTTAATTACAGTATACATATTTGTCTTAGTAAACATTTGGTCAAAACTTAGAGGAATATATAAAAAAAAACAAGCAAACCAGTAAAATTAGAGGTGCTATTTTCATCAGATACCACCTCACAAAGCTTGTTTTTCCATAATACTGACTTGGTGGATAATCACATGAAACTTTTTTGTGATTTGTGTCGTAGTGGTGTTACAAATTACAATACTGGCTTTGTAGTGAGTGAGAGACACATTGAAGATAAGGCACAAAGGTTTACCTCCTTTAATGGTGAATGTAAAATCATCCTTCCACTCTAGCTTAAAATTTATGTTTTCATCTTCATACTTTTGGGTCTTACAATTAGATGATACCACTCCCTTCACAGAATTTTCACAGACACTGCTATCAAATAAATTTAACAGAATTTAAAAACAACTTATTTTATGAACAGTAAACACAACTTGTATCCGGAGCATACCAGTTAGATCTGGACAGTATAACATCCTGTGTTACACTGCATTAATGTGTCAGGTCATGACATGAGGCTGGGTCCCCTGCCCTGCCCTGCCCCGCCCTCCGACTTTCCTCCGTAATCCCTGACCTGACTCGGCACTGATGAACGACACCTGACTAAATTCTAGCATTAAAATTAAGATTTAAATTCTTAAATATTTAAACTCACCTTGAATAATTAACTTATGTATTAATCCAGTGGCCTCTCAGTTTATAAATACAAAGCTCAAACATTTTTCTTATTTACCGGTACAAAAATAAGTTCAGCCAAGATATTTTCGTGAGCCACACATTAAGTGTTAAAGAGCAGCATGCAGCTCGTGAACCGCATTTTGCCCACCCCTGATATATACTGTCATTTAAACAACAAACATCAGTCATTAACAGTTGAGAATGGCCCAGAATAAATAGTAACAATCTTGGACAGTGTGGTTAAAGAATGGGTATATGAGATTCTTCATCACAGTTTGCTCTATTTTACTTGTACACCTTCTTAACCTTCAAATTTATTTCTAACTCAATAGTGACATTTGCAATCCAGAACAGTACAGCTGAAATCAGTTCTTTTGTCAGCCATTACAAAAAATCTTAACAAAGTAATATACATCTCAATTCAACCAGTAAAAGGAACTACTGTATCTAAATGAATTCCATCACATATGTTAATAATACTTTTAAAGAAATATCTAGTTACTTATCAATAACTCTTGCAAGCTCTTTACCACACAGAACAGGATGGTCAGCATAAAAAACAACACAGACTCTCCTCAACTTGTGGTTATTCATTCTTTCTAGAACTGTCTTACCATATGTGTTCTGCTATTGTTATTGTGTTCCCCTTCCACAAAAGACCTCAGGTGGATTTATTTATTTTTATGTATGTAAATCTTTTCTTGGTTTAATGCAGGTGGCCAGACAGGTGACGATCCCAAGTTTCTTAACTTTCAGCAGCTAGTGGATTATAAACCCCTATGGTACAATGCTTGTCCACCAAAGGCTTCTACCATTAGTAAGTGTACCCATGTAAACATGGAAAATGGCCGTACAACACTGAGGATAATGATGATAACCTGATCATTTTACTGCTTCTTCCTCAAGGGTTAATGTACCAGGAGGGAACCAAGTCCTAGACATCAGCCAGGAATTTAGCCCCAAATCCTTCATTTCTGAGGTGAATGTTCTACCACTGAGCAACATAAGTCATGATTAAGGTATCTAATCAGTGATTGTTTATGATATTAACTGTTTCACATTGTCATTAAAAAAAAAACCTATCATTCTAAATCAGTTATTATTCTCTCTTACTATGATGAGTGTCACATGACACACTCTTAGTCTTCACTACATGCTGTGGTAAAAAGACAATGTCGATTTAAAGAAGCCCAGGATCATAGGACGTGGATTAAATAAAGTCATGAATAAAAGTAGAACATGCTTCAGAAATTATCAGTGAAATAATTTATACAAAAACTGAATAAGACTGGGTTAACCCCTTCAATACTGTAAGCTTTTATTCAGAGAAATATTTTCTTCTTTAATGCAGGGTAGCTGGGCAGGTGGTGATCTGACTCTTAACAATCATCAGCTAGTTAGTTTTCCAATACCTTTGGTGGATACTTGGTCCAATGGGGTGTTATTTCACCATAAGTGACTGCACTTAATAATATATCTCATTTATGCTGAGTGAACAAGAACTAGTGTACAAGGAAGAAGCCCAGTCCTCTAGTCTAGCTGGGAAATAAAACCCAGAACACTACTTGTAAGGTGAACACTCTACCAACAAAGCTACTAATAACAATTTTGACCAGGAACAATTTAAGCAGACCAGATATCAAATGAATTAGTCACTTTGGTTGGCAACTATGAACTATACAGGGAAATGAGTCCATTGTAACCTGACTTGTCTTTAAACTAAAACTTAAAGATCTTGCAAAAAAATAAATAAATAAATAAAATAAAAAATACTCACAAATGTCTTCAGCCTATCACTCAATACCAATATCTTACCTCTAGACACACCAGCAGCAAAGGCATATGAGCAAGAACCAGGCGGTGACCATGAGGGACATTTGCCTTCTCAGTCAGTCGATTGCACAAACTCTCCGCCTCTGAGAATACAAGCACAGAAAGTGGTGAAAACTCGTGAAGGATAATGGAATACTGAGTCAAATGGTGATAACATTCACTTAAACCCATGTGATTTCTAGAGCTGAGGATATGTTACTCAAAAATATTTAAAAGATGTCTTTATTTATTATTTTCTCTAATTTTTACAATCCCTTTCCCACTTTAAGACAGGATGTAGAGGACAAGGAGAAAACAGCCCAAGACAAAATGACCCAGATCTGAGACTTAATAATTTAGGTATTTTAGGGATTTAACACAGCTCAGAGCCAGAAATTACAGGTGACAAACACTGATGCATGTCATGTGCACTTTGATGGAATACCTGTACAGTACTTGCATTGTTCTCATCTATGACCGTAGTGTTGGGGTACTTAACCTCCTCAACTTGGTACAGAAAATAGTCACCAAACAATTAACAATAATGACCTTATCAGAAAGCCTCCAGCACTGCACAGTTCTAGGAACACCTTATTACTTTCCCATTCTACAGATATTTCCCCAGTGAACTTTCGATCAGCTTCACTTAAAATAAGCCACAGGGGCATGTGGGAAGGACAATGACTATTCTGCTGAAATTCCTTTCTGCATAATCTCTGCCAACTTACAATTGCTTTTATCCCAAACTAGCACTAGCCATATGGATTTTCCTGCTACAAGAGTTTTCCTATTAGTTTAAGTTATCCTGCTTCAAATATCTTTAATCCTTGGCAAGGTGACACTTTGGTGAATTGTTCTAACAAAAAAATTTCTCTGATCTCTCCCTGCCCTTGTTATTTATAAACAAAATAGTAAGAATATACTTGCTCATCTCTATAGAAGATAATTTACAGATAACCTTTATGGAATTCAGTTTACAATTTCATCATTCAGCAATGTTGGTTTGTGGTGGATGAGCACAAGAAGCCACAAACTAGGATCTTGGGTGTGTGACAGGAACACCATAATGCTCAGGTGCAAAGAAATTAATTTGTTGTTCTATCTAATGCCTTTTCATCGATGTAGTGAAGTTATGCAAAAGTATAATGATGAAGAATTATCTGCAAAGTATCTACTTCCAGATAGTGAAAGCATACACGGTATCCTCAATATCCATGTAAAGGCTTTAAACACCATTTTATATTGTACTGTTCAGTATATTGAATAAAATACTTTACAAATCCAAAAAGGTAGTCTCACATTTTGGGATGTTCTGTCTCAGACATGGGTCCTTTTCTCTATTATCTGGTCTGTTATGCTAGAAATAAGAGGAACACTGACCCTCTCATTTGCTGTCATTCATTTTACTAGGTGCCTTACCATATGTATTGCTGTGTCCCCTGTAAACATTACGAGTCCAAGATATCCATCAGGTTTACCTGTGTTGCTTCATACATCACCCCAGCAGCAGGTCACTCCCCAAATTTTGCCTAACAATATGTTTTCCAACCATACTGTATATACACACTGTTGCTTCCTATACGACCATCCCCCATCCATCTTGTGTCACCTCCACCCCACCCTTCAATCCCCATTTTAGTTTTCTCCTCTGTTTTCATACTTATATTTTTGGAATATAATTTTTTTATTACTAAGCTTTCGTTTCTTCCACTTCATAAAAAAAGAAAAAAAAACAACCTACCAGACTCATCAGTACTGGCCCACACCAAAAGATCAATACAGGCAGCATTAGCCTGGACATTGAGCCTGTAGGGGTTGATTGATGGAATTTTCTTGTTAAGATCACTCTTTTCTCCACTCTCACTTTGTTGCACAGCTAATTCAGTCTGACCTGACAGGAAAAGACCTTTCACAAAGTCCTGCACATCTCGGGTGAATGGCACAGGAAGATCTGAGAAGACAAAAGTAATATCTTATTAATGGATAGTGAAGGTCCAAAAAATATAAAACTAGAGCGATGTTGGCAAGTCATAAATGTCCCTTATGACAAATTCAGAACCTTACATTTCTTACAAAACTTTTTTTATGAATGATAAACCTCATGCACACCTTCAATCTTTAAGCAAAAACTTAACAAAGGTTCAGAAAAATTAAGATGATGAGTATGGTGCATAAACTTTCAACGTTTATCTGTGATGAAAGGACAGAAACAGATACTGTACATAAGAAAACAGTGCAATCTGGTAGAGCTCAAACATTTGTTGGAAGGAGCATGATAAGTTAATATCAATGTTACCATTATGATCTGGAGAAAAGACAGGCCTTAGTTCAGGTAATTTTCATTGTATTGAATAACAAATATGAATTTAGCCAATTGAAGGATGTTGTAATTGGATCAGGTTGGACAGGTCTGCTAGCTTCCAATACAAATTTACCTGGATACAAAGCAATGAGTCTTTAGCAGCCACTGACTGTTACATCCCTTTGACCATCACAGGTTCTTATTTATGTCTTCCTGGGGAAAGACAACTTATGACTGGCAGTTGCAATAATGCTATCAAAGGATCAACGCCTCCAAGAATGTATCCAGAAGAATTCACAAACCAGGACATATTGTGAGTATAAAACCTAGTCCTCTAATAACTCCCCTAATTCAATGTTCAAACTTCCAGCATAATACATAGCTACAGCTATATCATGAAAATGATATGGCAGCATAAAGTAGTAAAAGGGAAGAGATCTGGAGTAGCCTTGTTAAAACTTTGTGACAACAAACAATGCATTGAACTAGTTAACGCCCCAAAAATGGGGTTAAGAAAAGAACAGAAATAATATAATTCTTAACTTAATTTTCCCTCAGATGTTCAACCTAATTGTTAAGAGCTCTCATTCAAAACCCATAGCAAATTACAAGCGGTTAAGTTAAGTACCTTTATTGCAATTAAAAATTTTAAAAGTCCACCATCAGGTGCTGAACTGAAAATTTAGATGCCTAATGACCCCTTATGTCCTTATAACTAAAAAAAAATTTCATTCACAATGAAGCTCTCATTATATTAAATCTCCAAAAAATATACACAAGTCTTGAAATTTAGAAAATAGAAAGTTTTTCAAAATAACAAAATTAACTGCATATATTTCATTAAAAACAATTATACTAACAAATAAGTATATACCTGTATTGAGTGCTTCATGAATAAGGCACTCCATATTGTGATGTTAAACTACAAGAAGTAGAGACAATTGATAGAGGAAGACTTAAAAGTTCACCCCAACTGAAAATACACTTATGGAGCCAGTTAACCTCTAGCTCGCTAACAAACAACCTGAAGGACACTAGGTGATAAATCTGGAAAATCAAACATAACCAAGTTAATTTCTATAGGAAATGAGACAGTGAATGTCACTCTAACCCAGTGTGCATCATTCCAAGTGTTATTATGCTTGTGTCCATCCAGTTTATGTGCTAGACAGTTCAAAAGAATCAGCCCTTTCAAAACTCACATGACATCTAAATGTGGACTTGGGAACAGTGTGAGAAATGATCTGGCACACTTCCATGGCAACATGTAAACAAACCTTACAAGACAAGAGATAATAAACAAAAATTTATCTTACAACAAGCGCTAACACTTTGGCCTGCAGTATCTCACCACAGATATGTCAGGTAAAAGATAAAGTGACCAGAATTTAGCTCTTGTCAAGTGAAAGCAGACCTGGGGAGGGGCAATCATGATGACTGTCCACTTGGACTGTCAGTTAGGTTATGAAAGCTGGCTCAACCCACATTTGCTCTGATTCACTTGTATTCATAGGTGATGAAGCAGTCACCTTGGTTTGTTGGGTGTTAAATGGGCAGCCACAGCTCCAGTATAACCTTCAGCCACTTGGGCAGCCACTACACTAAGTTCCCTTCATTTGAGGCTGAATGTAGAGGAAGAAGGGAAGCCTAAGTAGGTATATCTAAGTGGATTAACAAAACTGACTTTGGGATGACATTATAAGGGGCTGGATGTCAAGGGAGTGTTATTTAGAGAGCCATCTGGCTTAAGGGAGAAAGCCAGAATTTGAAAACCAGGCAGTAACTATTCTTTCAATTTCCACAAAGTATTCTCTAAAAATCTACAGAAAAACATTCAGAATTACCCCTCAGTGTGGTAATGTTCACATGATGAATAGGAGGTGGATGTAACAGATAAAGAAGACAGAGACATGTTCATACATTTCCATAATATCCTCAGAACTCATTTAGGATTGACTGACTGGGTAAAATATCCGGCGTTGCAGCCTGTGGCCATTTGACACCGAAAATGAAATATAATTTAAAACTATGATATAAATAAAATAAAATCCTATTAAGTTTAAATATAAAAATTAAAATAATATAAAATCATGTATTCATTTAAAATTACAAGCGGTTAAGTACCTTTATTGCAATTATAGATTTAAAAAGTCCACCAACAGGTGCTGAACTTCTCTTGTTGAGCACCTTCGTGATGGAGAAGGAGCCATCCTTCAGCCAGCAAGTGTCTCACTCATTTAGGAATACAGTACTGCACAACAGCTATTGCATGTACAGTATATTCCAAGGGTTTTGAAACTAAGTCTACAGTAAAGTCAAAGCAATAAACACCACCAAATACAGAAATACAGATCACTATTCAGGTTCATTTTATTATCTTATCTTACTCCACAAGAATATATTATTCTTACCTTTTTCATATGCAAGAAGTTCTCTAAGTAGCGTAACCATCACTAGATTCAATGTCTCCCGAACACTGCGGTATGGAAACATCTTCACCTGGCAGGATGCAAAAACTTCAGAGGCTATTTCATCCAATACTGTTAAAACTTCTTTAGCCAGCAGCTTCTTAGCATTTGAGAGAACAGTCTGAAAATACAAACAAAAATATTAATGATCTTGTACAAAAGACACAAATAATATACAGCAGGGATGGCCAACCGCATTGGATGATTAGAAGTGGTGCATTGCATCCCTGTGATAATAATAAAGTAAGGCAGTAAGCCTACTCATTATTTTCAGCGATTTTATTATTTCGTGCACATCCTTTTTAGCGAATGTTATCTTCTTTCACATTAATCTGTTTTCAGTTAAAAATATGCTTAATGAATCAAACTACGAAAGATGGACTTTTGTTCTGCAATCGTCCCGTAACTGTTCAATACGCGTTTAATACTTGTGTGACCGTGAGGTGCCAGGCATCTGCCCCAGCAGTGCGTCACAGGTTCTTGCCAGTTTACAACCGACGCTCGGTGCGGTATGACGTCGTGCTTTGTTTGTCCTTTCTGAACATTTGCAGTTTTGTACTTTTCGAAAATTAAGCCTTGTTTTTACATTCCAGTTACCCATCACAGTGCAAAAGAAAAGCAGAAAGTGATAAGCGTGAATTCAATGAACAGTGGGAAAATGAGTTGTTATTTATAACGGGTCCGTCAGGAAAACCGTTGTGCATTGTTTGTGAAAACACTCTTTCACAGAATAGAAGACATGATCTTAATAGACACTATAAAACACAGCATCAGACTGAAATAGAAGGAAAACTGAAGCTCGTGCTTGGGTCTGAGTTACGGAAAGAATATGTGACTAAGAAAAAGGAAGAATTCAGAAGAAGACAAAATGTATTTGTTAAAAAAAGTTGTGAAAGTTTGTCGATAACAGAAGCGTCCTATGCAATTGCTTTAGCGTTGGCGAAAAAAAGGAAGTCTTTCTCTGATGGAGAAGAAATTGTTAAGCCTTGTCTCCAAATATTTGCAAGACGTCTTGGTGATAAAAGTATTGAAAGGAAAGCAGACGAAATTGCTCTATCAAAGCAGACAGTTACGAGACGTACCGAGGAACTCTCTCATGATGTATCTCAGCAACTGAAAGACCTTGTCCATTCTTGTACTTTCTTTTCTTTAGCTTTGGACAAATCAACTGACATATGTGATGTAGTCCAGTTAAGCATTTTTATTAAAGGAATTGATGATCATTTTAGTGTTTTTGAAGAACTTGTCAGTCTTGAGTCGTTTCATGGAAAAACAAGAGGATCAGACATATTTGACAAAGTAAAATCATGCCTAGAAAATCTACAATTAGATTCTAGTAAACTCATCACTGTGTGTACTGACGGAGCGCCGTCAATGATAGGTAAAGTCGCCGGGACTACAACTTTGCTTGAAAACTTTTTAAATCGTCCTCTACTAAAATATCACTGCATTATACACCAAGAGTCACTGTGTGGAAAAACTTTAAATTTGCAGCATGTTATGTTACCGGTTGTGAAATGTGTGCATAAATTAGAGCAAGAGCATTAAACAGATGAGAATTCAGAAAATATTGTGAAATGTTAGATTTGGAATATGGCGACCTTGTCCTTCATTGTGAGGTGCGCTGGCTTTCTAGAGGACAGGTTCTGAGTAGGTTTTGGAAACTGAAAAATACTGTTCATAATTTTCTAGAAGAGAAAAATGAGCTACCTGAGGAAAGAGCCCTTTTATGTGATAAAAACTGGCTATTTGATTTGGCATTTTTAGTTGATGTTACCAGATATCTCAATGATCTAAATTTGAAACTGCAGTGCAAGAACAAATTGTTTCCTAGCTTAGTAAATGACATCAATGCATTCAAGATAAGTTAAAACTGTTATCTCTCAGTTAGAAAATGAGGATTTGAGCCAGTTTCCGCACTTAAAAGAGCAGAGTGAATGTGCTGCTGATAATGGCAATTAGACAAAATATACTGAAAAAATCAAGTTATTGCAAGTCATTTGAAAGTCGTTTTCGTGATTTTGCTAAAGAAGAAGACTGCATACTCGCATTTACAGGTGGCCTATCAAAAATCCGGCAACCGATAAACCGGAACCTTCAGTTTTCCGGCATGGATTTCGGAGCGCATTTTCAAATATTTCTTTGTTTATTTAATGAAGATATATGTTTTAGCTCATAAAATTCATACAAATTACCCGGCCAGAATATAATTTACATTGCTGGAATTCTTACAATTTGATGATCATTTTGAATATAAACATCATAGATTTTGCATTAGACATACAAATTTTAGATCTAATGTTTACTCTGAGTAAATATGTTATCTTTTGTGCAAAATATATGACATTTATATTCAAAATATTCCTGGTCTTACAAGGAATCCAGCAATGTCAATTATATTATCCTAGCTTTAGTCTGAGGTATTATTTATTACTAAAAAGGTAAATAGTCTGGTTTTCCCACACATTTATCTGGTAGGGAGGGTTGGTGGGGGGTGGAGGGAGGGACAGTCCGACCATCTGGAACAGTGTGAAGAATATTTTTTTTTTATTAACTGAAGATATTTGTTTTAGCTCATAAAATTCATACAAATTACCCAGCCAGAATATAATTTACATTGCTGGAATTCTTACAATTTGATGATCATTTTGAATATAAACATCATAGATTTTGCATTAAACATACAAATTTTAGATATAATGTTTACTCTGAGTAAATATGTTATCTTTTGTGCAAAATATATGACATTTATATTCAAAATATTCCTGGTCTTACAAGGAATCCAGCAATGTCAATTATATTATCCTAACTTTAGTTTGAGGTATTATTTATTACTATACCTTAAAATCTAGTGTTTTCCCCCAATCATTTCTCAGAGAGGGAAGAGCCAGGAGTGTGAGAAGAGGGGGAGGGAGTTGAGTCCATTATTTGAATGGACATTAACTTGGCGACTGTATTTCTCTATTTCTCTTAAGTATTAATTGTGTGCATGTACCATCATAAAATTAAGATGTTATTTTTACTAGAACATAGGTATTGTGTGGGAAAAAGTGGAGTTTGGGGGTCGGGCCAGTCTCTATTGGAATTAATCCCATATGTTCTGTTGTTCACTTTATGGGTTTTCACTTTACGTGGTACCCTGTGGGTTCAATTGACAATTGACCGCGTACGTAATCGGGGTACTACTGTATACAGCATATATAATAACATTTCATTTGATTTTCATTTAGTGTTTAATTTTCTTTGTTTAAAGGACTGTACAGGTAGTCATTTTCTGTTAAACTTATACAGCAAATATAACCATCAGTTTTCCGGCATTTTCGAAAATCCGGCACTCCTCAGGTCCCGAGGTTGCCGGATTTTTGATAGGCCACCTGTATAAACCCATTTTCACTTAGTGAACAAAAAATAATGAAGATGCCTAGTGACATACAAATGGAACTTAATGACTTGAAAACAAATTCATTATTGAAAATGAAATTTGATGAGCTTCCTCAGTCCCAAATGCTTCTGACATGATTAATTTCTGGCGATCATTACCCTGTGAAAATTTCCCAGAACTAAGAAAATTTGCCCAGAGTTATATATGTCGTTTCGGAACGACATATAGATGTGAACAAGCATTTTCATCCATGAAATTGATTAAAAGCAAAACGAGGTCGTGACTGATTGATTCAAATTTGAAGAATTCTCTGCTGCTCTCAGTCACAAATTTAACTCCAAACATTGAAAGACTGGCAAAATCAAAACAGACCCAAAAGTCTCATTAAAGGTAAGTAATGTTTATCTGCTTTATCAGATATTGTTTTTATATTTAATAATTTTATCATGTAAAAATGCTAATTATGTCTATAAACATATTTTTACAAGAAGTAGACGGGGGTACAAGAGTTGTATGGCGCATCTGAACTCGTGTGTGAACAAATTGACGCATGGTATGTAAAAGGTTGGCCACCCCTGATATACAGTACAGTACTGTATAATGAAACATTTTAAATATCATGGGACAAGAAACTTTTTCTTGTTTTTGCCTTTTTTCTAAATATTCTGTATAGGAATACCCAAGTTATCACAAAGGAAGCATTCCTAACAGTCTTACGCCCATTTTTTTAAGCATTTGGTGTAGCAAGTCTGAAGAGGAATCCTGAACCTGACAAATGAATTTGTCACACTCAAATACTCTAACAGTTTTGACAAATCCATTTCTTGGGTCACTTTAAACTAACCTGATGTTTGGGATTCCTCTCTGGACTTACTGCCCCAGATGTTAAAAAAAATGGGCAATTGCGAGCAATGAATTTACGAATATTGGGGCAATTTTACCTATAAGAATCAATGTAATTAGAGGGGGATGTGTTCCCAGGCAACTTTCACCACATATTTTATGATATACACTCCTCCTCATTATCCGAGGCTATTAGGGACCAGGATCGCATGTATACCAGAAAATGTGAAGAATAAATAAAAATTATACAGGTACTACTAGAGGTGACAATATATTAGACCTAGTATTAACAAATAAAGAAAATATTATCAGAGATATCACAGTGGGGGAAGAACTAAGTAACAGTGATCACAGAGAAATCAGGTTCACCCTAAATTGGAAAATGAAAAACAATGACAATATGGTCAGAGTCCCAAACTTTCGGTTGGCGGATTTATCAGGGGTTAAGAAGGTACCTAGGTGAGGTCACCTGGGAACAGTCACATCAGTCACCAATAGGAAGGGGTAGGTCATAGATGACACAACAATTGATCATGACACAACAATTGATCATGACTATAATATATTCACTAGTGTACTACATAAAGCACAAGAACAAAATATACCATACAGAAAAATTAGGTCAAATAAGAATGAGTCAAGGTGGATGACCAGAAAACTTAAACATGACATAGGAATAAAGAAAGGAATATATAAAAAATTAAAGGGAGGGGAGGAGCAGCTCAGAAATAGGTATAATGAACTATCTAGGAATGTTAAGAAAAATGTAAGGAAAGCAAAGAGAGACTATGAAATCAAAATAGCAAGAGAATCCAAGGCAAATCTCAAGGGATTTTTCCAGGTATATAGAACAAAGGTCAAGGACAAAGTTGGGCCTTTAAAGTCCGGGAGGGGGGAAGTGATCAATGGAAGTGAAGAAATAAGCAAAGCATTGAACAGCTACTTCTTATCAGTTTTCACAGAGGAAATTCGTGATGAAATTCCAGAGGTGGAACTGATATTTAAGGGAAAAGAAGAAGAGAAATTAAAGAATATCACTATCAGAAAAGAGGATCTTCTTAAGAAGATAAATAAACTAAAGAAGACAAAATCTCCAGGGCCGGATAAAATTTTCCCTCGAGTCTTGAAAGAGTGTAGGGAACAGTTTAGCGGACCCCTCGTTAACTTATTTACAAAATCATTAGACACCGGAGTTGTGCCAGACTTGTGGAAACAGGCAAATGTAGTACCCATATTCAAAAAGGGAGACAGAGCATCAGCGTCAAATTACCGGCAGATCAGTTTGACGTCAGTAGTGGGGAAATTTCTTGAATCAATTATAGCAGATAATATCCGATCGCATTTAGAGAAAAGCAAATTAATCTACGACTCTCAACATGGGTTTACAAAAGGAAAATCTTGTCTAACAAATCTGCTGACATTTTTTAGGAAAGTCTTCGAGGTAGTAGATAATGACGAAAATTACGATGTTATTTACTTAGACTTTAGCAAAGTATTTGACAGAGTACCGCATCAGAGGCTTCTGAGAAAAATTAAGGCTCATGGTATCGAGGGGAAAGTTTTAAATTGGATAAAATCATGGCTCACCGATAGAACGCAGAGGGTCAGCGTAGATAGTGTTAAATCTGAGTGGGGTCGTGTAACCAGTGGGGTTCCCCAGGGGTCAGTACTAGGCCCACTCTTGTTCATAATTTACATAAACGATCTAGATACTGGGATCAGCAGTGACATAAGCAAGTTTGCGGATGACACCAAAATAGGGCGGCAGATTAATTCAGGGCAGGATGCAAATGCATTACAGGAGGATCTAAATAAACTGCAGGGGTGGTCTGAAAAATGGCAAATGAAATTCAACACCAGCAAGTGCAGCATAGTTAATATTGGAAGAACAAATACTGTCAATGTATACAGCCTTAACAACATAAACCTAGAGAAGTCGACTTGTGAAAGAGACCTAGGGGTACTTGTAAGCCCGGACCTACGGCCTAGAAAACAGTGCATTAATGTTCGAAATAAGGCAAACAGAGTATTGGGTTTTATATCTAGAAGTGTAAGTAATAAGAGTGCAGAGGTCTTATTGCAACTATATCTTGCGCCAGGTCCCGATGAGATAGGAAGAGCTTAGTATGCCCTTAGCAAATTTGTTTAACATGTCCTTAAAAACGGGTGTAGTATCAGAATCCTGGAGGATAGCGAATGTAATACCGATTTTCAAGAAGGGAGATAGATCACTATCCTCTAACTACCGACCAATCAGTCTAACAACAATTGTAGACAAATTACTGGAAGCAATCATTTCAAACTTTATTCGAAATCACCTGGAGAAGCACAAGTTGATCAATGATTCCCAACATGGCTTTACAAGCGGGTGTTCATGTCAAACTAATTTATTAAAATTCTTTTCAACTGTTTTCGAATCAGTGGATGAGGGACACGACTATGATGTGGTATATCTTGACTTTAGTAAAGCCTTCGACAGAGTCCCCCACGAAAGACTAATAAGAAAAGTGGAGGTTCATGGCATTGGAGGAGATATTCTAAAATGGATTAGTACGTGGTTACAGAACAGGAAACAGGGAGTGAGCATTAACGGCACTAATTCCGATTGGAGTAACATCACTAGTGGAGTACCCCAAGGCTCAGTACTTGAACCATTATTATTTATTATATACATAAATGACATAGATATCGGCATAGACAGCAACATAAGTAAATTTGCTGATGACACTAAAATAGGACGTTTTATTAAATCTGACGAGGACTCTGCAAAACTACAAATTTTTCGAATGGTCTGAAAAATGGCAGATGAAATTCAATGTGGACAAATGTAAAGTACTTGTACTTAGTCTTGGAGATGTAAACAGAGAAACAAGATATCAGATAAACAACAATGTTATACAGAAATCCGAATGTGAGAAAGATTTAGGAGTAATGATAAGTAGGAATCTTAAGCCAAGTAAACAATGTGTATTTGCTCGAAACAAGGCTAATAAAGTACTTGGGTTCATACAAAGGAGTGTTAGTTACAAGACTAGAGAGGTCATCCTAGAAAGAATTCAGAGGAGAATGACAAGACTAATACCGGGCATTAGAAACCTTGAGTACAGAGACAGGTTAAAGCATCTTAATTTGCACTCCAACGAGAGACGTATGAGTGAGGGGTGATATGATAGAGATGTGTAAATGGAAGTCAGGGCTAAACATAAGGGACATTACAAAGGTACTCAAACTATCCAACCAGGAGTGAACTCGTAACAATGGTTTTAAATTAGACAAATTTAGATTTAGGCGCAAAATAGGTAAACATTGGTTTGGAAATAGAGTAATGGATGAATGGAACAAGTTACCAAATATCATCATTAACTCGAATATGCTGGATAGCTTTAAACATAGGTTAGATGGATGTATGAGCAATAGGGGTTGGGTGTAAATGGGACTGCCCAGTATAGGCCAATAGGCCCGCTGAAGTTTCCTCCATTCTTATGTTCTTATTATATTTTCGCTCCCAGGCCCTCATGTGGGTCATTGACCTGTGCCCTAGTGGGCTAATCCCGTAAAAATCCAGGTATTAATCTTTCATCTTAATTGTGGGTTCAATGGTAGTACAGTATAGGGTGAAACCAGAGTACTGTACAGTGTACTGTACCAGGAAAAAACCTGCCATGTTAGGCACTGTCATCCCAAACGACAAACTTCTCATATCAAACCCAGGTCACAGGAATGAGAGGAAAGGGTGCTACTTCTCCACTGCACTTCTCAGTAGTGAGGTACGAGGTATAAGGCAGGTACGTAAATTGGAAAAAAATTAAAACAGTAATGAGACAACAGAACCAGTTTTCAGACAAAAAAAGAAAAACTAATCTGACAAGAACTGTTAGGTAAAATATAGATAAATAAATCCAGTGGTCCAACCAGTAGTACTTTGGTAACAGTGAACATCTTCCATAAGGCATCTGACTGTTTACAAGATTCTCAAAAGAAAGTATAGTAGAAGAGACACTCATAATTTATTAGGGACAACAACTGTGGGCCTCACCTATAAAAATGGTGAAAATATGAAGGACCAGAATAGCTATTTTCACATTTAATCATCTAAATAGTAAGGGTTTAAAATGCCTGTTCAGTTAAGCAACAAATACAAATAATTAAACTACACAATGTACTGTATTTGCCGGCGTATGACGCATTTTTTTTTTTAAATGTACCATAAATTACTGTGCGTCTAATGCGCCCATATTAAGGATGGGAGGCCAAGCGCCATAGGCAGAGGTGCCTATTTGCCGAAGACGTAAATAATGGATTACATTGGCTTAACAGCAGAGGGAAGCTCACATCATCTCACTGTACCTCCTTCCCCAGCATACGTAACCCACACAAGATACATGTCTTACATTATTTAATGACTGTATTACCTTCAAGAAACATTTGTTTATTATCTAAATGGAAAATGCCCCTAGAAAGATTAAAGTACTGTAATGTGAACAGAAAGTTCAGCCGCCGGTCAGCCATTTGCAATGAGTCGATGATGCCAAAACAATAGTGATGGTGCTACACCCTGGCGGCTGGTCGCGGCAACACAAAACATCACAGCTAAAAATACGAGTTTCACATCCTGTCGGTAATTCTCTTGAACAAAATATAAACACGCCACACAGCTGCTCTGATCAGAGGTAGATCTGGGTTAGTATAATGTTACTATATGTGATTTCCTACTTGATTCCAGTATATATTGTATTTACATGCACAAAATCATATGTTTTCCCCTACAAAACCAATTTAAAATCACTTTCAATAATTGTATGATGAAACATACTAAAAAAAAAAATCCACAAAATATCCTTGTAAAATAGGGGTGCGTCTTATATGCCGACAAATACGGTAAATAACGTTCAAAACCTAATGAAGTAACTAATACAATCTTGGTAGCATTGACTATACACATACAGGTAACTGTCAGTGAAAATTCCCAATAACAAAATTGTAACTGCAACAAAAAATTTTACCGTAAAAATAAGAAAACTTACCTGTAGATGCTGTACAGGGAATACTAGTGTGTGGTCATACTGTGCTAGTTGGGGAAAATTTGCTCCAAAGCTTGATCCGTATTTTTGAAAAAAATATACTTTTGTATCATAAGGAACTGATTGTTGAGACTGCAGAGAGGGCCGCTTCCCTGGACCTCCTGGCATGCGCAATCTGGAAAATTTTAACTACTTGTGTACAGGGTTCAGTCAACTGAATAAAATCATCTGGCATTAGCCAAACAAAATATTATAAGTGGCATCCCCAGAATGAAGGGATTAATTAGTGCTGTGATGTATATAATTGAACACTAATCTATTTCATAGTGGGTAACAGTGTTACAGTACCCTGCACAGGCATCCCTCTATTTACAATAAGGTTGCATTCCTAAACACTCTAACTCAGAAAAAATTATCTAACACTAATTAAATAAAAAAAAAATTAAACACTTACCACATTAATAATAACAAACCTGCCACTTAACAATGTCAATCTTTGTCTCCAGAGATATGGTTTCCTCAAACACTTGCCTTTTCCAGAGTCAGCAGGACACTTGCTAGCCATTTTCAAAGTTACAGAGTTTCTGTAATGTACACTGATCACTTCACAGTCACCAAAACAGTAAAATCTGAACAATGTTTTCCTCTAACCAATAACGGCAAGTATCACGGTGATCACAAGGTTAAAACCTAATTATCATTAATGGTTGACTGTCACTGGGGGGATGCCTGTATTTACTTCCTTAATATAAATTTTCCAACCTAGCTGCTCTTAGAGGAACTGTATGTCCATATATCATGTCTCTGAAGAATGTCCTAATCTATATTATTTTCACCGAACAACTCATGAACAGATCATATAAAGGAGAAGCAATATTAAAAATACTGAGCAGATGAAAGTAGACAATTTTAAAACATGTAAACCCCCATCAAGTTCCAAACAGGACAAATGTACAAAAACTTAGCCATTGAGACTAATATTACAATACATACACTACTGTACTGCTCATGTTCAAATTTACTGTCCCCCCATGAATGCTTTTGCCAAGTTTCAGCATCTTAATGAAAATCAGAGATGACTCCATAAAGCAGCTATGTCTAATGTTTTATGGAATGGACATATAACCAACAGCCAAACTGGACAAAATTTATGAGCCAGAAATTCAAACTATTTGTGGGTAAAGTTAGTACCAACTACAAATGCAAATAAATTCCCTTTTACTAACCCAACATCTCGGTCACTGTCCACACTAACAAGAGAGACAACATCAGAACACGAGGGTAGTGTTGAGGAGAGAGATCGAGGAATAATGGGACGAAAATTGATGAAACTCTTCTTCTTTGTCATTTGTGGGGGCTCAGCAGGAACTGAAGTTGGGATAACTGGCTCAGGAAAGATCTGTAGAAAAAGAGGCACCCCTGAGGTAGAGCGGCCAAGTGCCCGAGCCAGACCCAGCAAGACGGGCACCGTCCCACGGCACAAGGAAACTGAAATACAACAACGCTGTTAACTCAGAACATTTATGGAGCTGGACACATTATGATAAATTTATGAGCCTTACAATTTCATCTTTTTCGGTTACTTTGTGATTTCCTTTTGTTCATACACTTTTACAGCTACTTTTGATGATGCTATAATTTCTCAGCTCATGCAACATTCCACAAAAATTTCATACTCTTCCAAAATGCATAATTCATTACAGTGGCAAAAGCACAAGCCAACCTTAGGCCCCACAGTATTAGACTGTATGAGACAGCAAAGTTTATAACATACAGAATACATTATTTGGCTGAATTTTGATTGCAGAAACATACAGTGGAGTCTCGATAATTCGCAAAATACAAATTCATGTTCTATAATTCATGGGTACCTCTATTACAAACTCTTTTTAAATTTTGCATATATGATACACAATTTACTTTTATCATCCAAATTTCATTAAGGTTGGTGTGTACACATCTGACCATAGAATCCAGAGAGTGTTTGAAGATCGGTTTGTGAATTGTTTTTTGTGTGGAGGTGGCCTTATGCCCACTGGATAATGCTCCATATCATTATATGCTCCTGGATGACTGCAACTTAATACAGCATTTGAGACGCTCCTGGATGACTGCAACTTAATACAGCATTTGAGACAAGTTTATGCTCCCCAGTTCCTTTATTCAACCAACTGATCAAGGAGAGACAGCAAAATTTCAAAGGTATCAACTGAGATGGGTATTATCTCATGTGCTAGAAGCTATTGATGGGTTTGACAAGCCATCCACTTGAGAACAGCACTAGCACATCCTACATGCCACTGCAAATTTCATGAGTGTGAGAAATGAATTCCAGATCAGCACCAGAAATGGAGTTTGGAAAGCCCTGTGGCAGGAATGCACGCTTAACTTTGACAACTTAACAATGCCATGAATAATTATTCAAACCATAGCAAATGTGTCATCTAAATCTTCAAAACTCAACACTTTGACCTTGGTTGATTATAATCAACCTAGGTCAAAGTGTGGGGTATGAAGATTGAGACGACAGATTAGTGGTCGAGCTGCTCAATTCTCATCCAGAGGAACTCCTGGGGATTTAGTAGAGCTGATACAACTAGATGAAGAGGAGATGGTAGAGCAGAAAGAAGTTACCATACAAAAAAATAAGCCGACGATGAAGAGGCTGGCTCATTACCTTGTGCTTGATGACCAAGTGATCCAGGAAGGGATTGATGTAGATCCCAACTCAGAGTAAAGTTTACAAATTGGAAAGATAACACCAAAAATTTCTGCCTAATGAGAGCTTAAAGACAGAAACAGTACATGGCAAAACAGTCAACTTTTACACTGTTTTTTCCAAGACTTTTGCCCAACTACACATGGTGCTTGCATCCTCAGTAACTCTGTCAGCACATATAGTCATTCCATGGCTCCAGCTTGCAACAACAGTACCAGTTAACCCACCTGAGCAGCTCTCTTCTTCACTTAACATGACTCTCCCATTACCCAAGAATGACCCTGATAACTCTAAGAGCCTCTCCTCACAACCATGTACAGTGAACCCTCACTTTACGCGGGTAATTCAACCTACAGGGTACCGCGGAAAGTGAGAAACGCGTAAAGTGAACAACATAACATATGGGATTAATTGAAATAGAGACCGGGCCGACCCCCAAACTCCACTTTTTGACGACACACAACTATGTTGTAGTAAAAATAACTTCTGAATTTTATGATGGTATGCACACACAATTAATAATTAAGAGAAATATCAATAATATTAGGTTTTATAACACTTACATTAGTAGAAAAGATGGCTGGGCACACGGGGATGGGGGGGTTGGTTCCGAGGCAGAGGGCAGATTATTGGCCCTCACCTGTATCACTTGTATCAATAATCTGCCCTCTGCCTCGGAACCAACCCCCCATCCCCGTGTGCCCAGCCATCTTTTCTATTAATGTAAGTGTTAAAAAACCTAATATTATTGATATTTCTCTTAATTACTAATTGTGTGTGCATACCATCATAAAATTAAGAAATTATTTTTACTACAACGTAGGTATTGTGTCTGAAAAAGTGGAGTTTGGGGGTCGGCCCGATCTCTATTTCAATTAATCCCATATGTTATGTTGTTCACTTTGCGCTTTTCTCACTTTACGCGGGGCGCCGTGGGTTGAATTAACCGCGTAAAGTGAGGGTTCACTGTACAGTACAGTGGGGTATGCTATAACGAATCTAACTGCTTCTAGAACCTTGTTCGTTATAGCATTCGTTCGTTATAGGATTAATCCGTTCCAGGCCCCCAAATACAACCACTTAACACTGAAAAATATAATATAAAATTGTAAAAATTGTAAAAAAGTGCATAAATATGCATCTAAACCCCTGAAATAAAGAATATCATTAATACTTGTAATAAAAAACAATAAATTAGTAAAAAAAGAAAAAAATATTTTTTTTTTTTAAATAATGTTCGTTGTAGGAGTTTCGTTCGTTATAGCATTCTCAATTTTATAAGTAAAACCGTTCGTTATAGGAATATTCGTAGTAGGATCCGTTCGTTATAGCATACCCTACTGTATACTGTTCCTTCAATAATATTTACAGAACAGTATCTAGTTATTAAAATTCTATTATTGTATCCATGAAAACTGCCACTACATACAGCATGCCCTTCAAATTCGCAAGGTTAGATTTTCAAAATGGCCGCGAATCGCCAAATCCGCGAATAACATTTGCTGACCGGGATGGGGGTTAAATTTTTACATTTGTACAAAGAAATGCATATTCCTTTTATGTGTTTGCCCTTAAGATAATTATTTATTTTACCTGTATTGTATGTGTGTGTGTGTGTGTGTGTAGACACACACACACACACACACAAAACACATACTGTACATATAAATAATAACAGGAAAATCCTCTCATAAATAATCAGAAACAAATGTAGTATTAAAAATGTTGAATCTACCCTTAAGTCTACTCTGTGCTCTATTAATAACAAAGCACAGAATGGAGTTGAGGGTAGACTCAACATTTTTAATACAGTAAATTCTTTTCTGATTATTTGTGAGGATTTTTCCATTATTATTTATTTGTGTGTGTTTTGTGTGTGTGTGTGTATGTGTGTCTACACACACACACATATACAATACAGGTAAAGGAAATTACTGTCTCTAAAACGAATGTCTCCCTGTCCTGGCCACGGCAATGCCAGCAATTTTAAAACTGTCCTTAGACATTCTTGGGTACATCCAGGGTATCATCCGCGAATAATAGAGGACCGTGATATAAAAATCCGCGAATTATCCAGGCGTACTGTACAAGAATCCATACTGGAATCTTTGAAAGATCAATGAAAAAATTCAATGTAACTTAGAATCTGTTATCTGGTGTTTATACTGTACTGTAATTAGTAAAATTCAAATAAGCTGCTGCCTGTTTAAATGTTTTTCTTTTTACTTACATTTTCCATTACTTGAACGTAGCTGGTCATCACGAGCAGCCCTAGTAATAACATTTGTTAGTGTTGAAAGTACTTCAACTTGGGTAGCAATAATATCCTCCCTCACAGTTTCACTGTTGGTTGCAACATCAGTCAGCAGAGTTGTCAGCAGGAAACTGAAACGCTCAGCAACTGGCATACCTGAGTAAAATAAATTAATAAAAATAAACTTCATGACATGTTATTAAATCATATATGGCACCAGGTAATTTTGTGCAATAATTGAACTATAAAACTTTGACAACAGCCATTGTTACCTTGCACTATATGTTCTTCCAAGACTGTCAGTGTCAGAAGAATACAACATTCAGAATTTGTAAACCAATTATTTTACAAAGTTACAACATGAACCTAACCTGATCTAATGATCACAGTGTTGATTTGTATCATCTGTAAACTACAGTGACATCTCCATTAGCCAGGTATTGAGACAAATTTCTCATCCGCGGAAAAAATCCCACATCCCTCTGTGTCACCTACCATACCTCTGTGTCACCTACCATGCCTGTGCCACCTACCATGCCTCTGTGTCACCTACCATGCCTGTGTCACCTACCACGCCTCTGTGTCACCTACCATACCTCTGTGTCACCTACCATACCTCTGTGTCACCTACCATGCCTGTGTCACCTACCACGCCTCTGTGTCACCTACCATGCCTCTGTGTCACCTACCATGCCTCTGTGTCACCTACCATACCTCTGTGTCACCTACCATACCTCTGTGTCACCTACCACCACCTACCATGCCTCTGTGTCACCTACCATACCTCTGTGTCACCTACCACCTCTGTGTCACCTACCATGCCTCTGTGTCACCTACCATGCCTCTGTGTCACCTACCATGCCTCTGTGTCACCTACCATACCTCTGTGTCACCTACCATACCTCTGTGTCACCTACCATGCCTCTGTGTCACCTACCATACCTCTGTGTCACCTACCATACCTCTGTGTCACCTACCATGCATCTGTGTCTCCTACTATGATGCTTCATTCTTCGCCTCCAGTACTGGTAGTGTTACTTTTTAACATTTACTAATTACATGTACACATATATGGGTAGATAATTTTTTATTGTTGTATTTTTGTAGGAGGGGGAAGTGCCTCGATAAGTCGGAGTCTAGGATAACTCGGCAAGGCCAGAGCCACATATGTGCCGAGTTATCGAGGGTTGACTGTGTATTGAAGGGAAGCCTGAACCCAAAGCAAACACATATTATCTCTTCATTTGTCATCAACCATTCACATCACTACTTCCTGGATGTCCATCTTCTTGGTCTTTGTGACTGCCTCTTTCAGCCAACCTGTCAACTTCTCTTTCTATTTTTCTTGATAGCTTATTATTTAAAAAAAAAATCCTAAATCATACTTATTGCAAAATCTTCATTATTTTTCTTGTAACTGCTATTTTTGTCATTTTATTCCATAAAACATATTCTACACACTACACACATTAACTTTGAAAACCTCCGAGTTTCCACACCATGAAAGCCCACTACAGTTGGAGCTGTACCTAATTTAATAGCAGCTGATTCAAAATAAAAACCATTTTCTATGCATATAAACATACAGTATCTTCAAGAAACAAATGAGGCTATGAATGACAAAAATCAATAATTTAAACTCACGATCAGTTGGGTATATCCGTTTCTCATCCAGCCAAACAGCTTTGGGAAGAGCACGAAGAAGTCTGAGTAAATACTGGAGGATGAGTGTCTGGTGCTGCTGGCCAGACTCCAAGAGGTATACACCAACAGCAACAACTGCATCCTGGCTGCGTTGGTCCACTCGAAATACTCCTCCATGACTCTCAAGTGGACAGAGTGCCAATAACTTTTCTACCTGCATTAAACCCAGAAATTTTATAAATAAATAAATTACCAGTCCAATATTTACATAAATTATTCAGTTTATATAAGTGAATTAAAAAACTGATCGATATGAATAAAGTTAACACAGTATTATACATGCATACTGTATAGCTGACATACAAATCTATAAGTTAAACCTACTACAGGGTACATGCACTCAAACTTTTGCTCAGACTGTCAGCAAAAACAAAACTGAACATGTGTAGGTTGTGCAAATCCATTGCTATATTTGTGCAAACTAAATTTTTCAGTAGTACTGTACCAGTAGTATCAATATCATGAGACACAAAGTACAGTACAGTACTGAATTTCATTTCAGAACCTCTTTTTCTTTAATTAGCCACTTTCTGTCTTTTCTGTCTTTACACCCCATTACTATGTAGCTATAAATGAGCTATACTATACTTATGTAATTTGGCAATACAGTACTGTATTGTACTTTACTATACTGTACTTTGTGGTTTCTTCTGCTAAAATCAGGACATAGTTCAAATGTTTTTTATTGTCTTACTCAGTGAAGCACAAAAATTTCTTAAGCCATAGCCTAAAAGCCATTACTGTATTAGGTCTTTTTTGTCTTAATTTTCCATTAAATTAAGGTCATACTGTACAGTACAGTACTGTACTTTGGAACAGGGATCTGGGTTAACCAGTAACTTGAAACAAATTCTATAGAAAATAACTTCTTTCTTACCTCAAAAATATCCCAACAGGTGAATGAATTGCAATTTTTGTAATTATGTTTTTGTTTGGTTCTTGTTATCAACAAATATGCTCTGAGGATATAGTATATACTGTACAGTACTGTACTATGTTTGAGCTTAAACTGTTGACGAATGCTTCCCATCGACCAACTGAACACTTCACAGTGACCTTTACATACCTTACCTAAGTAATTCTGCCTAGCTTAACGTAACTAAATCAAAGCTAAAATAATATTCTTAAATCCAAGGATAGGGACGATAGATAAGTTTTGTTTGTTCATCTTAACTATGACAAATCATATATACTGTGATGTAATGTAATGTAAATAGTTAATATGGCATTGCTGGGAGGTATCGCATCAATATACTGTACATTAGTGTTCAGAGCTAAAAAGTTGCCAAGGAAAATTATGACAATTGCAATTCCTCAAACTGTTTTGGGGATTTTTGGGATACGAAAATTTTTTTCAATAGAACAAGTTCCTGGAGGTGGTGGGTAGCCTTGTCCATTATTTAAAGGCATCAACTAAAATAAGGCTTTCGTGATAATGGACACTTATGGATGCAAGAAATATACCATGTCATTAGCAGAACACCCTTAACACAACAAAAAACTAAGACTGAAGATTTCCATTTCAAATACATTTGGCATGCTCAGATTTTATACATGGCAGTGTGAAGACCCCTCATTGGTAAAGGCTGATCATGAGAAGTTCATATGATTGAGAAGTAAATATTCAAATCCCGTAAAATTCATTCTAGCGAAATGAAAACCCACTGAAGATATATTATACAGCATGATTTTCCATTACGTTATAGTAAAAAATCCCAAACTACCGTAAGAATTTCTGCCAAAAATGCAATAGAAGAAATACAGTATACAGTATACTGTACAGTACTCTCAAGTTAATGGAATCCAATATAACGAACTCTCGATTTAGAGGAAGGAATTTTTCAGTTATTTTTCGTTTGATTTAGTTCTCTAAATCCAGATTACTTCTGTTAATACACTTACACCTACGGAGACACCTCAGATACATGATACAGTAAGTACATAGAACCATTAGAAACATTATTCATAGCTTACCTTAAACTAGGGGGTTTGGAGTTTGTTTTAAATTTGTTAAATTATTTACAAACTTTATTCCAATTGATAGCCACACCACTTCCTTTCTGACACTTCTGAGAGACTTTCGGCATGATGTCTAAGCACAGTTGTCAGTTAGCGGTGAACAACACACAGTGGTGGTAGGACACAGACTGAGAGGATGTAAACAAACCCCACGTGCCAAGCAGCAGAATTTAACAGAATCACACTCAATTTAGTTAATTAGTTCACTAAATCGAGCAAAAATAACGGAAATTCGATTTAGCGGAAATTTTTATTTAACAGAAATGGGTGGCTCAAATTAGTTCGTTAAATTGGGAAAATACCGTACTACACTGCTTACTTCTTATGTTCTATCATCCTACATACAAATTAATATAGGTTTCCATCCATGTACTACTCTACCAAATCTTAACCCATTCCTCAGTCGAGTGGTCATACCTGCAGGTAGCAGATGCCTGCCCTTAATATTGAAGAAGTCACAAGTTCAAACAATTCCCAGGAAAACTTTAGTAATATTGGAGGAGACTGTTAACACCCGAAGGAATCGTTTGATTTCGTTCATTTTTTCCACAGATATTCTTCTCATTTTAGTACGTAGCTATTTTAAAAGTGACAACTTTTTTCTTTGAATGCAGGTATAAGTATTTTTTTTTTATTTTCTCTATCTATGATTAGAAAATCACTGTAGTGGACAAGCCATGAATGATGAGGGAAATTGCAGAGTAGAATACGGTGAAAAACTGGTCATATGACACTAAAATTATATCTCTATGTGCTTTGTACGTGAAAAAATGAATTATTAACAGTAAATACTCCTCCAAAAGATCTGCCTAGTCAGAACGTGTTGTTGTCTGCTCAGTTTGTTTACAACCAACTCACATGGTCCAAGCATACCCTGACCTTCCATAAAAAAACATAAAATTACACCAAGACACCTTAACAAAGTTGCTTCCATTGGTACCAGATATCAAAATAAGCTAGGTATGGTCAGGTAGGTTCTTTGATTGGTTAGGTCAGTTTCGATTAATTTCTAGTAAATTTCGCCTCTTTTCAAATACTTATTATAATGATAAGAACATCTGTGGGAAAAATGAACAAAATTTAACAATGCCTTCTGGTCTTAGCCATCTCCTCCAGGATTACTCAAACTTTTTTGGAGCGAAGTTGTGAACTCTAGGAGCAATCTGCCAGAGAGTGTTGTGATGGCACTGAATGTGAGCTGTTTCAAGACCAGACTTCACCAACACTGGCGCAGGTACAGATACTTTCTGAAGCCAGTGCATGCCCTGTACTTGCCAACAGTGCATAAGAGAGATGTGACCGACCGTCCACGCAGTTAACAAGCCAATTGCCGTAGTGGAAAAGTGGACAAATAAATGAAGGTCATATACACCAGAAAAACAGTTTCCCATATCAAAAGAAGGTAACCTAACCTACCTTTGCCAACCGAATTGCCGTTAACCTGGACCAAAGGTTTACCCTGTACTGTACATATAATACTGTACAGTACTACCTACCCACTCTGGCAGACAGGCTAAATCACCTTGGCGCAGCTGAAAGTAGGTCTATGTTTGAGGGTAAATATATTAAAAACTAAGCATTTGTACAAGAAACATTATTCTTAAATATCAATTCGAAGTTAAAAGAAACAAGGTAATTTATGAGAACACTGCTACCACCAGAAGGAGTTGTTCGATTTTGTAATTTTTTTCAAAAGATGTTCTTATCATTAAAAGAGGCAAAAACTTGCTATTTTAATTATATAATTTATTTTTTATTTTTTTGTATCTAAGATCATAAATCACCTGTAGTGGGCAGGGCATGAAAGACGAGGGAAATTGGAGGAATAAACATGGTGAAAAACTGATCACATGACAATAAAATGAGGTCTCTACATGCTTTGTACGTGATGAAACTAATCATTTACAGTAAATACCCCTCGGAAAATTTGCTGAGTTAGTGCATGTTATTGTCTGGTGTTTGTTTACAATTGACCCACTCGATTTGAGCATACTCTCACATCCACAAAAAATTTTTTGGATATTTTGCCATGAACGGCTAAGTTCCCACAAACACTATTTTACCGTGAGTGCGCTCTGATTGACTAAGTACTTTCTGTTTAATATGACAGGGGGTCCAGCCCCCCAGCTAGGAAGTTAGGTAAGTTTCTCTGGTTGGTTAGGTCAGGTTCTATTAGGTTCTTGTAAATGTCGCCTCTTTTTGGAATGATAAAAACACCTGTAGAAAAAATTAACACAATCAAACTACTCCGTATTTTTAACCTTTTTACAAGTTCGTTAAGGATACGTAAGGTTTTCAAAAGGTTTGTTTGGTGCTCTTTTTAGTATTTTACCTCTATTCCAAAGCCCTGCCTAATTAGAACAACCAATATTGCTGGTAATTAGGGAGGTCTTATTGGTTTAAAATACTAAAAAAATATACAGTTGTACCGGGAACATGATAGAAACTATTTTTATTTTATTTCGGTTTTGTTCATCCAGGGAATCTTGGGAGGGTTAGGTTAGATATAGGTTAGGTTACATTAAGTTAGATTAGGTTGGTAAAGTTACCTTAGATTAGTTGGGATATCTAATTACAGGGATGACCGAAACTATAATTTTACTTTTTTTTGAGGGGGGCGGTACTACTAATTACCCAAATGAACCCAAATGTACCCAAATGTAGCCACAATGAAGTCAAATGATGGTCCTACAAGAATAAATCGGGCTGTGAATCACTTCTCGATTAGTATTTGGTGTCATAAAGTCATGAAAAAATTGGTAAACTTAATTTAATCTGAGTTGAGTTAGGTTAGGTTATGTTAGGTACATGCACTCGATCTATTAACTCAGATTAAATTAAGTTTACCAATTCTTTGTGACTTTATGACACCAAATACTAGTCGAGAAGTGATTAGCAGTCTGATTTATTCTTGTAGGACCATCATTTGACTTCATTGTGGCTACATTTGGGTTCATTTGGGTAATTAGTCGCTCCCGGGTGGGGGGGGAGGGGGCTTTCTCCTTATATAAATAGAAATTTGAAATTCTAAGTTCGACCTAAAACAAACCTTCACCTCTATTATTGTTAGTAGTTTCCAGGCACAACAGAATGATTATAGCTACACAACGATCGACTCACGACAAAGTAAATGCGAAATGCCACGTCACAATCAAATATAATTCCCGCGTTGTTATACCATAACGCTTCAACAAAGTTGCTTTATTTGGTAGCTGCCAGATATCAAAGTTAGTATTTTCTATTTAACATGGAGGTCTGCCCCGTGGCTAGGAAGTTAGGTACAGTTATGTTGGTTTCTGTGGTTGGTAAGGTCAGGTTCTCTCAGGTTCTAGTTAATGTCGCCTCTTTTAAAATACTTCCTATAAAGATAAAAATGGATGAAACACGAATATTACCCCACATCCTGACGAAACTACAATAAATAAAGAGGTAACCCTCGACCAGCTTGTTTTCCTCCCCTAAGTTGTCTACTATAGTATCCTGTACTATGGTAACAAAGAACTTTGTTTCTATAAGAGTTAGGCTTGTGAAGTATATATATATATATATATATATATATATATATATATATATATATATATATATATATATATATATATATATATATATATATATATATATATATATATGTGTGTGTGTGTGTGTGTGTGTGTGTGTGTGTATAATATGTCATTAAACAAGGATCATTCTTGCGAAACATGAAATGAAAAATGTTTCTGCAAGCCAAGGCCTCCTAACACATCTTACTGTATTCCGTTCTACGTCACCACCACCCTTTATGAGTTAACTCCGAGTGAACTATACCTGTTCATATGGCGTAGGATTTATTTTGGCAAGTGTTCTGGCAAGCTGTAGGACACTCTTGCTGAAGAAAGATTGGTGACATTGGTCTTCTAGTGTCATCCTCTGTATTTACATCTCTGCTTCACTGAACTTTGAATGAAGCAGCTTCATTTTCACTGACTCGAGACAGCCCGAGCGTTGTGAACCACTAATGAGCTAGACCTGATTTAGAAATCTAAATAAATTTTGAAATTGATAAAATTTATGTATAGTAATATATAATCTGCGTTTGTTTTCATTGTTTGGAGAAATGAACTTTTATTGATAGCACACGGCCCTTTCATAAGTATATGAATAATTACTCTCACTATAGTCATCTTTAGGTAAGAAATTATTTTCTTTATCCCTTAAGGGTAAACTATAACAGAAAATGAATATTTCCCGATCACAATTATAAGATCGTGGGCTCGAATCCTGGCTGGGTGAGGTGTTGATTACACACACACACACACACATATATATATATATATATATATATATATATATATATATATATATATATATATATATATATATATATATATATATATATATATATATATATATATATATATATATCATGGTATTGTATTCATATAAGGATTAATCGAAGAGAAACTTTCATTATGTTGCTTATAAGTACAATATCTTATTCAATGTTTGTAATTCATCTTACAAACAACTTTTACTTTTATCCTCTTTACCACAACCACAACATTTTATTTTTATTGAACGGCTATACTACTTTTACGGTCTAACAAGTTATAGAACTGTTGTACAAGAACAGGAGAATCGACCCAGAGGAATGTAAGTTCAGTATTGCTGGATATGACTCAATTACGAATCTTTCTCAAGAAACTTGCAAGAGGGGTGTGGTTATCTATGCTAGGCAAGACTGTGGGGTTATTTGACATTATGTTGCCTAGCACTCAGGATGGATTGATGGAACTCTACGTAGGTGGTGGTTTTGTTATATAAAATATATTACTGTATATACAAGACAGTCTGGTGCTGGAGATGCCGTGTGGTGAAAAGCTTGGTCAAGAGACACGTTCAGTGAGTAGGGTGCTTGAGGAGGTAGATGTGCAGGAGCTTCGTTAGAGGAGATATTGCGTGTTGCTGTCCTCCAGGTTGAATGAGAGCTGGACAGCGAGGAGCTTGCTTGGAGGAGGTGTTGCGTGTTCAGGAACATAGGGCAGAATGAATCTCAATGGAAAGACAGCGCTTATATACACAGCAGCCGGAAGTAAACCCGTGGGAACTCGCCGATTTCTTGACTCCGTTGCTAGGGTAGACGTAGCAGCTGGTGACCCCCCCCCCCTAAGCAGTTAGCTGGTTGCTAGGATACTGTCTCATTGGAATGCGGATGTAGTTGTAGGGGAGAGATCCACTGCAAAACCTTAGAGCCAGCCAGGCGAGAGTAAAAGGAAAGGATGTTTTTGAAGAGTCCAAGTGGGCGGCTAAGTGCTGTGTTTTTTTTCTCTCTTTATTTTTAAATAGGTGTAGATCTATACAAAGTCTGCACCCACCCCCCACAACAACAACAACCATGAGGAAAATGATGATGTGTGACTACTGCGGGGGGATGACGGATATGGATGATAAAGGCCTGACCAATGCAATGTTTAGGAAGAGGCAAACTGCCGTAAAGCAGGAAGGCTGTTGCTGGTATTGCCCTGACTCCATAGTCAAGGTGAAAGAGGCGATTGCAAGCCGTAGGAGAACTAGTTCCCAAGGGACGAAAATAGATGAAGCTGGAGCCTTCCTGGTTGCCAAACTAGAACTAGTTGGGACAGAGATCCTTGCTAAGACTGAGGAAGTAGCCGGCAGAATGGAGGTGGTTGCTAAGAGGAGTTATGCTGAGGTATTAGCAGGGCCACGGGAGGTGGCAGAGAGTAATGCAGGATCAGAACAGGTTCTACAGCAGCTAGGGACTCTGACGACGTGTGTCGGAGAAATGAAAACCCTTAAGCCCCGGGTTAGGGTGCTGCTGGCAGTACCCCCCACATGGGGTTAAATTGAGAAAAAAAATCAACATTTCCAAAAATAATAAAAAAAAATGGCTGGAAAATAGGCGGACGTTCTGGAACGTCACCCGGGGCGTGCTAGTCGGCCGCTCTAGAACGTCACCCGGAGCTTAACACGCGATAAGGTGCAGTTTAAGAATATTTGTACAGAGGTTCTGAAGATGCCATCAACCCCTCAGGATGTGAGGAGGCTGGGACAAAAGCAGGGGGACCAGCCTCGCCCCCTCAGGATCACACTAGTGAGTGAGGAGGAGAAATGGGAGGTTATTCGGCAGGCAAAAAACTTAGCAAGGAGCGAGGCATCTCGGAGTGTATTCATTCACCCAGATCGCACGGTAATGCAAAGGGAACAGCACAGGAGGCTCCTGCAGGGCTTGAAGCAGAGAAGAGAAGTCGAGGAGGAGCGGGGACGGGTGTACATGGGTTGTATTCATGGAGAGAGCGGTGGAAGTAAGTGTGCCGACACAGGGCCAGGGGACAGCAGCGCATCCTCCACCTGCTCTACCCCCCCACCTTGTAAGCAATGACATTTCTAACCACACCCTGCAAGATACAGTGTACTTAGCAAATGCTGCAGCTTCTGATAATGGTGGGGGGGGGGTCACTACTAAGAGCAGAGACGTTACTGAGATCAAATTCTGGCTTGAATGTCATGTACACTAATACTGACACGTTCCTTGATAAGAGAGAGGAGTTTGAAAGACTACTGAAGGTACACCAACCCGATATTGTAGGAGTTGTAGAACTGTTGTATAAGAACAGGAGAATCGACCCAGAGGAATGTGAGTTCAGTATTGCTGGATATAACTCATTTACGAACCTTTCTCAAGAAACTTGCAAGAGGAGTGTGGTTATCTATGCTAGGCAAAACCTTTTTTTGTAGAACCAGCCAGGCGAGGGTACACGGAGAGGGTGTTTTTGAAGAGTCCAAGTGGTGTAAAATTAAACTAAAGGGAAGGAACTTACTTATTGTCGGATGTATCTACAGATCCCCAAACTGTGGCCCACTAAATCAGAGGAACTTAAGAGCCTTAATAGACAACGCGGCGATGCTCAACCCTAGCCACCTCCTTATCACGGGGGACTTCAACTATGGCGACATCGACTGGAGAAACGAGTTCACCCCAAATGACTTGAATAACTCTGCTACTCTTTTTTGTAGAAACTCTGAGAGATAATTTTCTGTTCCAACATGTTAGAGACCCGACACATTACAGAGGGGAGCAAACACCCAAGCCACTAGACCTCATCATAACAAACGAGGAGGGTATGGTGGCCAAACTGGAACACCTTGCCCCAGTTGGCACCAGTCACCATATAGTGTTGTCATATAGATTTAACTGTTACCTAGTTCAAGGTAAGGCCAGGCCAAGGTGCAAATACTACAAGGGAAATTACAACGGGATGAGGGAAGAGATGAGGAGTATCCACTGGCTTGACTCATACTTTACTTTTATCCTCTTCACCACTGATCGGTTCGTTAGCCGCTTGGGCGATCGGTCACGTTTCTGTTATGCACTGTTGGCAAGAACTGGGCATGCACCGGATCCTGAATGTACCTGAACCCGCTCCAGTGTTGGTCAAGTCTTGTCTTGAAAGAGCTCACACTCGGTGCCGTCACAACACTTTCTGGTAGATTGTTCCAAGAGTTTACAATTCTCACTCCGAAAAAGTTTGCCCTCACTGTTTTCTGGAATTGCGGCTTCTTCAACCTTGAGCTGTGACCCCTTGTGGGGCGAGCGTCCGCCAGATCCAAGTAAGGACACTCGACTGATTAGAGTCCCTTGAGATGCTTATACATCTCAAATAGGTCGCCCCTTGCCCGTCTGTAGTATAAGCTAGATAAGTTCAGGCGCTCCAATCTCTCAAGGTAGCTGAGGTGCCGAAGGGTAGGTACAAGAACGCAGACACTACGCTGAATATCGTAACTAGTTAAGTGACCCATTTGATCGATAAATACATACCCAAGACCAAACCCAGTGCCTCTAGGAGTACGGAGGGATCCCTACACATGAACCATGCGGCGGTCGACAAAGTTAAGAAGAAAACCCAGAAATTCAAGACGTGCGTTGGCTCAAATGATGAGCAAGACAGGAGGATGTATGCAAGAGCCAGAAACCAAGCAAAGATAGAATGTAGGAGGGCTGAAAAGGAGTTCCAGAGGCTGGTTGCATGCGAGGTCAAGTCAAACCCAAAGACGTTTTACCGCTATGCAAAGTCGAAATTAAAAACGCGAGTAGGAGTATCAGACCTGAGGCTTGAAGATGGTAGTTACGCAGATTCTGACCAGGATAAGGCTGAGGCATTGAACAGCTTCTTTTCCTCGGTGTTCACAAGAGAGGATGCGATTAACCTTCCTGCGTTTGAGGACAGACTGTTCGACACAGCACTGACCCACATTGTGTTCACGGAAGAGGGTATTAGAAATAAAATGTCAAAGCTAAAGGTCCATAAGAGTCCCGGCCCTGACATGGTGCATCCGAGAGTGCTAAGAGAGTTGTGCAACAAGCTTGCTGAGCCCTTGAAGATCATGTTTTGTAAATGCCTGGATGAACAAAAGGTCCCCAGTGATTGGAAAGGGACTTATGTGAGTCCTATCTTCAAGAGGGGCGATCGTCATTCCACGAACAACTATAGACCGGTATTATCAGAGATGCTGCTCACCAATAAACTGAGGTTTGTACAGCTAAGCTTGATATCAGAATACACAAAATGGCTGAATTTTTGTTTCCAAGGACAAATATTTACTTAAATATGTGGATATTTTGATGGTATGTTTTATAATACACACGCAGTTTACTAGCCTCATATGAAGATTAACCCATACTTATTTCACCTGATAGTTAAACAATAACCTATCCTAATTTAATTTAATTCCTCCAATTGCTATAGGTATATATATTTTGTTCTCAGGTATTATTTTTTAACTTAGGTCGTTAATCCCTAGGAGTGTTGAATAAAGAATTTTATCCGAAAATACAATTAAAATACTGTTATTTATTATACAGTAACATGTGTAATTTTTAATATATCATAATTATTTGTCCATAATTAATGGAAGTTAAGTTTTGTAACAATGATTTTATTCAGGTGTTCGTGATCAAGTGAACTAGTGAACGAGCATCGTGGTTGGTGGGAGTATCGCTGTCCCGCCTATTATTAGTTCTAATAATATCATCATATTTGTCTTCTTACACAGCTCTATTTCCTCAGAACTGGAGTTTTAGTGAATGAACTCTTGAGGACGTGAAGGTATGGCCTGGCCTGATTGTAGTAGGGATATGTAAGTGTTAGGAGGCATCCATGACGCCGCTCGGTGGTTCCTCCTCCTTCCTCTGCTTTATTTCTTTCTCACTTCCTTGGAGTTGTTAGGCTACACCACGTTACGAACTTCCCTGTTTTACGGGTAATTAATAGGTCTTAATTTTACTTCACATGTAGAGTTATGCGTATTTAGTTGATAGAGGTTCCCAGTGAGGTTACTGTGTGTGCCGCAGCATTATAACAAGTGTCCAGTCCAGAATAACGTGTCCGGAATCAAGCAAAGTTCACTGTAACGTTTTAAATCACACATAAATTGCTTAGCTTGCTTAATACAACAATTTCTACTATTATGTGTTGTAAAAGTGGATTATAATTTTTTTTTAAACTTTCCTCATATGCTTAGCCCATAGTGGTCCGCCAAACTAACGAAATGTATGAATCGACCAAACAAATTGGGAGAACATTAATTGATTGAAATGCTCATGTTTAAAGGAGACTATGAAGGTGTATATTGGACTGTTTTAATGTATAAAAGGCAAATCTGATGGGGGATCAAAGAAAAACTGGTTTTAAGAGTACAGATTGCAAGTAGCTGTGAGGTATTGTATATTTTACAATGCCCTGGAAATGTTTTTTGAGAATATAATGTGCAAGATCTTATTTCTTCAATGCCCAGTGGTTTGCTTCTGTTAAAATTAGTAAATTAATAATTCATTAATGTTTTTTGTTATTTTTCTGAAAACAGAGAGGTCATTCCTATAGTACTTTTACTTTATCCTCTTTGCCACTGATCGGCTCGTTAGCCACTTGGGCAGTCAGTGATATCTCTGTCACGCGCTGTTAGCAAGTACTGGGCATGCACTGTATGTACTTATTCTATAAATATATTCATGATGCACGTTGGTAAAACTTTTGTTTCGGTCATCCAGACAATTTTTGGAATATAAGTTTTAGAATCTTTAGTTTGGACAATTCTAAGACACTTTTCTCCTACAGGGGGTCCCCGGGTTACGAAAAGGGTTCTGTTCCCGAGGACGTTCTTAAGTTGGACTTTTGTGTAAGTCGGAACACATGCTATGTGCATACTGTACTTACAGAACAATGTTTAAATTCCCACTATATCATAGCCTAAGTCCTTATATACATCTAAAATCACTTAATTTAAGAGAAAAGAAGAAATAGAATGATAAAATACAGTAAATAAAAGTAAAAAAGTCATCAGGTACAAATAAAATACTGAAAATATAAAATTTAACCTCGTTCATATTGATTGTTCGTTCGGAAGTCAGATGTTCTTAAGTCGGGGACCCCCTGTACTGGTATAGCGTTTCCATCAGAAATTGATATTTTTCGAGTGTTTTATACTATAAAATTACCAACAATATTACTTGTTTAAAGTGGGCAGGGGTTTGAAATGATGAGAAAATGTGGGCTAAAATACAAAAAAAAAACAAAAAAAAAAAAACACTAAACAAACTTTTGATTACCTGACCTAACATTTCCTAACCTCTAAAAATCCTAAAAAATTTAAAATATTTACCTTATTCATGTTTTCGGTGTTTAGTATGAGTTGATTTTCAAAGGTTTGTTTGGTGTTCTTTAGTATTTTACCCCACATTTTCCCTCTGCTTCAAAACCTGCCCACTTTGAACAAAATAATACTGTAATATTGTTGGTAAAATTATCAGTGAAAATACTGTACTAAAATTATTTAAATATTGACACAAACGCTATAGAAGAAAACTGTCTTAGAATTCTAAACTAGTGATTTCCAAACTTAAAATCTTAAAATTTGCTGGATGACTGAAAGGATAATAATACCTGCACTTCTTGCTTCTTTCGGTAAAGTTATATATTTTTGGTAAAAATTTGGGTCAATTTAGGATAGTAGCCAGATTTCGAATTCCGTTATTTTATTGTTTGCAGTTACATTACCTAACGAAAATAAGACGAATTTGTTCTATGACACTTTCTGCGTTGATGAGGAATAACAGCGATATAGAGAGTTAAAAAACCACAACATCCCCTTGAAGAGCGGTCCAACGAATTACCCAAAAGTATATTAAATCAGGGTAAAATCTTAACGAATATATGTTTTACATCAATAAAACCTGATTAATAATGTTTTCATTGAAATGTAGTCAAAATAATGAAATAATAAACAGCGAAAAATGCTAAATTCCAAAGAGTCGCCTATCCAAAATGGAGATATAATTACCGATGTTTCTGTTACTTTGGGGTATTTAACATAGCCGTAGGATTTACGTTTCGTTAGGTTAGCGAAGTGCATCACGATGGATCTGAGTTATCTCCCTTGTTCACGAACTCATTGGAATTTAGCGTTCGCTAATACTGAAAATTTTTCGCTGTTTATTATTTCATCTTACAAATTATTTTTACAAAATTACACTAAAAATATTATTAAACATGTTTTGTGTATGTATAACAGATATTCGTTAAGATTTTACCCTTATTTGCTATACTTTTGGGTAATTCGTGGTTCCCCTTGAAGAGCACTGTTCTAGGCAACAGGTAAACAATTATGGAAAATTTGGGGAACGTTAGGTTAGGACCTTTCATCATCCCTGTCATGGGGGAGGGGGCTTGACTCAAAAACGGGTGGTTAGCACCAGAAACGAAGGCCAGATTTGTTCGAATCGCAAGAACCATAGGAAAAATCAAAACCTGGCTTCTGTCATAAGTTGACCAAAATTCGTTTTTATCCCATTTTCCCAAATTGTTATAAGATATTCTTCTATATTGTATACTATAACGTCTAAGTCCTTATTTACATCCAAAACTACTGTAAACCTGTTGGGTTCATGTACGGTCATAATGTGTGCTTTAAAAAAGATTAATGGTCTAGCAATGCTTTTGATGGTACAGTATTTTTGTAACATTAGATTATTTTACTTACAATTTCCAGCCTTTCCTTCAATGTATTGTGGACTTGTGCAGACTACTCTCACACTTATCTGTGGCACATTTAGGGGTTGTAAGAAAAATTTAGGATAATTGTTAATTTCATGGAAAAATCATGATTGTGTAAGACGTAGGAAAGTAGATTACAGGATTATGGAGACATTTGATGAGGTAATAAAGGGATTGGGAAAACGGCCATGTGAAGGATGATGTTTAGTGTAGCTATAGGAAAAGATCACTACCAAATGTGGGTGTAGAATGACCGAGGTGTTGAGAATAACTAAAAGTGTTCAAAATACATTCTCTCTCTCTCTCTCTCTATCCCAGGGTAGTGCTTCCATGTACAACAAAGGCCACGGTGTACCACTAGGTTTATTGTTTTTCTCTCCCAAGGGAAACTTCAGAATTACCACTTCAACCATCTGTTGATTTATGTAGCCCCATAATTTTTATTTTCCCCCTTCATTCAAACTTTGGGCTCATGGGTATTGTCTACACCCCATGCTATCCAATGTTTGTTAGTTCCTGAATGTAACCAAGGTATTTCAGGATAATTTTTGACATCACCTTTTCTGATTCATATCATGGAGCCTTCCTCTCACCATCTTGTAGGATGAGTGAAGATGAGTGACTGGCATACTTTTCAAGGTCATGAGGCCATTCATTGAAAATGGGTTAAAGCATCCCCCTTCCATATTGCGGAGTGCATTTTATTCTTGCATCAAAACATTCTCTTGGTTACCTCCTATGTATTCCTGATCCCTAACTCTTAGATTGATCTCGGTTTTTTCACTACAGTACGGTAGTTGATATATTGCCATAGATTTTAGGTTTGTTTTCACATTAAGATAATTTCTTTGTTCTTAAATACCATGAACCATTTCTTATGATATTCATATCCCTTCCTAAGACACTTTGATTTATTTTTTGTTTCCTGTAATAAAGTGAAAAGTGTTAAGTGTTTGTAACAATGCAATAATATTAGGCGAATTACTGTAGTGAATATATGCTAAAAAAATGACCATAGTGCACAAATGGGATAAATTTTGTTACTTTCAGTTTTAAGATATTCAGAAATGATATGTTTTATTCATACAGTACTTGCATTATATAGATAAAAGTCATTGTCGGTATGATTTCTTCCCTGAGAACAGTCGTAGGTCTATCCAAATCTAGTTCAAAATTTCTCTTCACACCCTGAGAAAGGCAACCTCATCACTCTTTTACAAAGGTAAGTGTTTTGGAAAGCAAGGAGTAGCAGATTTTGAACTTTTAGATTTTAGTTAGGGTTAGTATAGTTTTGTCATAATGTTTGGGGGAAGACCAAAACATATGTAAGCATTTAGTGAACATAATATGACTTTATTGAAAGAACAATATAAGTTTGCATATCCAAAGACCTTCATATCCATAAAACCCCATTGAATGTCACTATAGTTTCTCCGGAAGAGCTCATCTGCATATCAAGAATTCCTGTAAGATCCCACCGATTTATGTAGAAATGACTACGGTACATCATTAAAACTCATGTTGCAGATACTGTACCAGATTTACAGTATACAGAGTGCTTATCCTTGCATTGTATATTTTGAAATTTGTTTGTTCTCCTACCATACATTGGACTTCAGGATATCTGTAAGATAACCATTTATAAGTGCTTAAAAATGTTTCCCTTTTGATATGCCAACTTGTGCTGTACTGTACAGTATATAAAATGTTCAGTTTTTATCTGATTTATTTTATATTTAATTGAAGGCAATGTTACACAATTCAGGGTTCTCATGTAATTTTTCCAATGATGGATTTGATCTCATAGTGGGTCTGGTCAGTTGAGCATTCACATAAATATAATTGTAAGGCATAACTAACAAAGGATTACCTGTATTAGGGAAGTGTACTTCAGTGTTTCAGTTCCAAGGATTACAGGATCTTATTTGTATTTTGAACCTTCTTCATGGGTGTGATTTTGATTTAATATATTACGGTAGTTTGGTGTGACTTTTTCAGTATGTTACTAGAAAACGGTGCATCAATAATAGTCAGGTAAGAAGCAGTACAGTATTGCAGGTGCTTTACATGGTAGATGGATTAAAGCAGTAAAGGAATAAGGTGTCTGTTTGCATCCGTAATCCAGCTTGCATCTTCGGGGATGCTGTGTGCTGAACCAGGGATCTTGTATCATTCTGTTGTTTTCTTTTAACATTGGTTTAAACTACAGGA